GAATCTTGAATGATGACGATCGAGTACCGGGTAATCAACTTTCATTACCATCTATACATTCAGCAACACTAAGAAATGGGCGACACATCGTTCTCATTGGAACTAGTAAAAGCTTGGAAATACTCACACGAGCGCCATTGATATGTAAACGTCTATTCCGATTACACAACTCAATGCCACAGAGACCCTTCTATAAATGCTCATCATTTCATGCGTGTGATATTTTGCTAGTATTCATACAGTCCATCTCATACCCGTCTCTAGTGTACAGCCCAAAGAAAGAATGTTCTATGCCAAGTTTATCAGTTCAAAATTGTCGTGTGATACACCCATAACCCTATATGTCTGATTCTCCGCGCTGCCCTCCAAATGGCGCAGAAATATCCAAGCCGGTGCTAGTCTATGCCTTTTCCCTTACTCGTCTCTTTCACCACCGTCATCCTTTGTAGGCGACTGATGAGTCGTTCTCTCCGCTCTACCCGCATGCCTCCGCGCACCCCGGACTCGCCTCTTCAATTCGCTGGACACTGTCCGCAGCGGGCTTCTCGTTCGTCGTCTCAGTCGTTTGCTCTGCTGTACCCGAAGCTGTCTCTCCAGCGCCTTCTTCATGCCCTTCAGCTCTGAATGCGAAAACGGTCTCAACATGTCCATAGCGCTCTTCTTTAGGCTTGCCTTCCGGTTGCCGTCCAACGCCCCCGAAACATGTTCAAAGTCAGTATTCGTAAAGGCGTAGTGCAGGCGGGGATATTGTTTCTCAATCTCTCTCAGCTTGGCAGAAACACTAGCCGACCAGGCGGCCAACTTGCGCAGCTTCAGCCACTGCTGTTGTAAACTGAGGACAGCCGCATTGGAGGCCTGGAGCACGCGCGTGTTTCTCATATTGCGGCGTTCCTGGAGACTTCTTTTGCCGGGACTCCATCCACGCCAGCGCGGCATCAACATGGTCTCGCACCAGCGCATGGCAGGCTCCCATTGGCCCATCTCGGCAAGATAACGTATCACAAGATTCCAGTTGCTCCGAGTCAACTTGAATCCAGCTGATGTAACCTGTTGAACGACTTCGAGCAGTTCCTTTCCGCTGTTTTCTTCCCTAAGCGTCTTGGCTAAGATTGTTATTGGTCTGGAGACATCGTATTCATGGACGGGATAAATGCCCGTTGCTTGGCGGTGCCGCGCTCGAGCGAGGACCCTCTTCCAAGTCTGGTTCCATATATCGTGTACCTGGCGGAATTTCCTGTCTTTAAAGTAGCCCAGCATGAGTGCGGAAATCACTTCCGGGGGGAACGGCTCGCTTCCTTTATACTTTGGGAACATTCCGCCGTACAAGCTGATGACCTCTTCGGCTGTCGTAAAGTCTCGTAGCTCGACCAAGAGTTTGATGGCGCGGCCAATGCTCTTGGTTTGTTTCTTTAAGTGTCTGATATCGCTCGGAAGCGTTGAAACAGCATGAGCCTCTCCACCTCTGGCATTGCGGATAAACAGAGAGCGCAAATGAACCACAAATTCTTTTCCGAGCTGCCGCGTTCGGCTAGAAGACGGCCTCTGCTTGAAAGAAGCCTCTGCGAGTGCTACCTTGGCATTGAAGTTCATTGACTGGCCAGCCTTGAGAAGATGCGAAGCCAGAATATCAACCAGTCCAAGGTCGCCAATACGAACAGCGCCAGCCATGACAACGGCGAAATGTTCTGGACCAACTGGAAACAGCTTCTCCTTGTAGGCAGTCCGCAAGAGGCGATAGGCAGGCTGCACTTGATCTACCCTCACAAGAGCCTGGAGGAGAATTTCATGAGTCTGATGGTCCCAGGCGAGGTCAAACGATTTCATGGCCTGAAGCAGCTCGTAGCACTTGCTAAGTCTACCTTGCATGCCGTTGAAATGAATCAGCTGGTTCCAGATGGCAGTGCTTGTCGCGTTTCGTTCCGCCAGCTCCATGATAATCCTTTCGGCCTCCATCAATCGATCGTTGCGACAGTACGCCATGACCAGGGCCATTGCCATCTCTTTCGATACGGGGACTCGACTTTTTTGAGATTGATTGAAGAAGCCAAGAGTGGCTTCTAGGTCACCCTTCTTGGCAGACATGGCCATTATATGAGCATACGTGAAGGAATCGGGTCGATACATCTTGCAGATCTCGCCGAAGCAGGCCACCGCTCGATTGTAATCTTGCGCTCGCATATAGCATTTCAACAAGGTATTCCAGATATCAAGGTCAGGCTTGACTCCGTGGTGGTCTGTCATGAGTCGAAGCTCCTCTTCCGCTTTGGTAATGTCGCCAATCTGCGCATAAGCGTTCATGGTACTCCTGAAGGCCCTGGGTTTCTTCAACACGCGGGGATATTTGCTCACATACCGCCCCCATAGTTGTTGAACGGCTTGGACATCACCCACCCCAGCGTAGTACTTGAGAAACTTTTCATATCCCCATTGGTCCAAGTCTCCCCAGGCACGATGCCAGTCTTGGTAAATCTCCTCTAGTGTAGCAGTCCCATACGGGTAATGCAATTCAAACATGTGCTGCAGTAAAGCGATGGGCGGGTGAGCGTCTGGAAGCTTGCGGTATGTTCTATATAATTCGGATAACCATGTGAGGTTGGATCTCAATTCAGATTTGCCATGCCAGCAGTCCAGCACGCGCACCAAATAATCTTCGTATAATCGGTGGTCATTAAAAATGTACAAGATAGCAGTCGCTTGCCTCGGTTGACAGGGTTGTGCCAGTGCTAGCTCTGCCATTTTTCGCCTCAGAGCATTGAGACCCAGCCTTGTCGTCTCATAGATATTAATGGGGCGAACCGTCTTTGCACCGTCGGACGAGAGATAATTCTCAAACGAGAAGAAGAGCTTGTCGAGGCCAGGCACGTGTTCGAGTCGTTCTAAGCGAATGGCTTCAGGCTGGCTAGCTGGTTCAAACTTGAGGCGAGATGCGTAGAATTCTAGCCACACGCCTATAAGCATAGACCATTTTTCATTGGCAATGGTATCAGCCAGGATGTACTCAAGCCCCCCAACTAAGCCTTTCAGCTCCAGGCCAACCTTGAGCCTACCGATAGCATGCTCCAAGTCGCCAGATCGCATGAAAGCCAGGACTCCAGCGGCCAAGAGGTCGTCGTCCCACTCGGCAATATCAATTTGGCGAAAGAGTGAGATAGCCCTCCCGATTGCGACTATTCCGCGCGATTTTGAGAGATACAAGACCATGGCGCGGCGAAAGTCCAATTGATGGTGTTCATCTAATCTGCAGTACAAGTCCCAAACGTCGTGATAGCGCTCCTCGCTTTGATGTGAGAGCAAATCTTCCAGGAGCACCGCATTCGACTGCAGCCGAGGTATATGACGTGGGGCTAAGGAGGCTGAAGGCTGCGAAGCTTCACCCAAAGAGGCGGGCTTCGAGTGAGTGGTATATTGATATGAATCTCTCGCCACAAATGATGCTCCATCGTCTCGCTGATATACTCGGCTCCCCACCGAAGAAAGAGCTTCTATTCCTGGCGGGGCTGAGGCATCAGTCGAGCCGTGTTCAGCAGTGGCCGTAGACGAGGTGAAATGCCTTCGTCTGGCACTACTCCCCGTATGACTTGAATCTTGAGGTCGCGGTAGGCCAGGATACAGTCGCCGCAGGAGAGAATATGTAGCGCTCGGGTATAGAAAGTCCAGCAGAAAAACTGAAGCAACCAGTCCAGTCTGTAGCGGGCGGTTGGCATTTTCGGTCTGTTCCTGTTCGCCAATCCGACCTATCGCTGGCCAGATGCTGGAGAGCTCAATGGCGGAAGCTCCATGCTGCCAGAAGCCTGTATGAAGCTGGCGACAGCGTTTCGTCGAGCGGCTCGGCTTCGGAATGATACGCTGGATGTTGCATGATTCCAGACTCGCCGCCGCCGTTCTTTCGAGCATTGGTCCTAGCAGGGAGCCCCGAGTCGCAGACTTCCTGCTAGTAAGTGATATAAAGTAAGGCGAGTGTCAAAATTGGCATGCCTCGGGCGGCAGCCAGGTCGTGGACGCTGCGTCTCGAGTAATGGAGGAGCTGGATGCGGGCCCGCGGGTGTTGTGGTGGCCAATCGTCTCTGGAATGATGGTGAGTTGGATTGTAATTCTGCAGAAGACATAGCCCGCAATGGCATTCAGCGTGTTTGCCTAGAGCTTCTGCAGACCGAGGCAGAGATGCGTGGGAAAGAGGTCGTTGTTAAGGCAGCGCCAGCTTCATCTTTGCACTTTTAACGATGGTCTGATCGAAAAAGATACCAGAGGTCCGGGTGGGTCTCCGGACCGGTAGTACGATGGTTTTTGCGCTGCAATACCCGCTATGGCCAACTGTCGCCAGCTGTGGCCGGCTGCAGCGATAACAGATAAGAAGGTCCACCTAAACTTTTATGATCTGATAACTGCATTGAGCGCTCCGAGTAGCACGAGTACTCGAAACCGCTAGCTGTAGTATGCGATGCCTACTAAATTCTCATACTAGGAACGAAGTTGGCCTAGCAAAGTCTTGGAATGTCCAAATAGCCGATATGGCATGGATCTACTGACGAGATATAGTGCCAAATGTGAGAAATATCGCCGCACAAGAAGCATTCAGGGGTAGCAAAAGGTTCACAGACGAAGAAAAGATGTAGAAAAATAGGTAAATTCTTGAATTGCAGACTATTAATTACAAAAATCTTGCACCACGAGGTGACTCTCTGCCTCTCGCTGCTATTAATGAACCGCTTAAAGAAGACATATTGTAAGCTTCGCCAGCGCCAAAAATAAGAATAAACAAGGATAATAAAACAATTTTCGGGACATGCCAGTCTCCGATAGTATCCAGAAAGATCATTCTCGAATAATAATCCCAATGCGTTGCCCTCATTAACACCAATATTAAGAAAAGAAAAAGCACCTTTTCGTATCCCCGTCGTGGTGGTCATCGTACAGATATCGTTGCTTTTGAGATTGTATGCCGCAGCATTACAACCACTTGCCACATCCGAGTTGAGTGGCCATAGTAATGTCTTCCCATGTCAACAAGTCTTGTTGTGGTCGGTCTCCTCGTCGGACAGGAACACCTCGTTTCGAAGCCTGGACAGATGATCGACGTGTCTATGGAGTTCTTGCTCCACACGAGGTCCGCGGCCTCGGCTTCGGCTCCTCATACGCTGCTGCGACTGAAAGACGTCTTGGCTGGCCGGCGAAGCGATTCTGGAAGGGCAGTGCTCGCGGCGCTTCTCTCGTAGACGGTTGTGGAGTATGAGGCGGTTTGCGGAGGACTTGACCGAGGGAGAGGAGGTTCGAGAGGTCAGGCTGAAGGGAGAGATGGAGCGCCGACGAGATCGCCCTCGCAGTGTGCTCGATTCATCTGGGCGCAAGCTCTTGGAGCTGGGAATATTGCGGTCACGTGTCCGCCCTCGGAAGCCGTCGTGGTCGGAGGGAGGACTGATAGTCATTGTGATGTCGTGGAATGTGTCGCTAGGAGGTGCCATTGGAAGCTGATAGCAGTCTTAGGGCTCAGTAGGTTGTGATATGGCGAGGTAGAACCACGGAATGGTCGGGAGAGAATAGAAGGTCTTTGGAAGAAGTTATGGAACTCGAGTCAACCAGGGGGTGCGGAGTTTCAGCTAGGCCCCAAGCGTCTTGTCGTTTGCTACTCGTATTTGCGCTGAAAGTACGGAGTAGGTAGTGATAATATGGAGTACAGTATCGTACTCGTGTGGAGAATTGGGAAATGGGCCACGAGGTGCAGGTGCAGAGTTGAGCAGGTAGAAGAAGAAGCGCGGCGGAGGGAGCACTCGTGGGCAATATATAAGTGCGAGTATGGAGGATGGGGTGGTTCTTCTAGAAGAACCGGGGCAGTGGCATGAACAAAGAGGCGGAACTGCCGACAAAGATGTTTCAGACAGAAAGAAAGCAGCTGATGGATGCGGTATAGCGAGAGAAGAGAGAAGCAGCCGTCGAGAAGATGAGAAGAAGCCAGGGGTTGGAGGCAGGACTCGATATTAGTAGGAACTAGCCGTGTGGCCGCGGTACGAGTACGCAGAAAACAATTTATAGACTTGCAATGCTCAATTTAGCTGAGGCCGCTCCATGCTCGGCCGTCCAGGGTCTTTTGGCAGGGGGTCCGACTGCTGTGCAGCGTGCAGCATCCCGGCAGAGCAAAGCGTCCGCCGGGTCACCTGAGCAGCGCCGGCGAGCAGAGGCCTGGGGGTGGCTCATTGTAGCGGCCTTGGGGGTCTTGGGCGCCAATCAGACCGGCTGGGCGCCCGCCATGACTTGACGCCTCCAGCAGCTGTTATTACCGGTAGCGTTCCTTGGAAGAGCAAGGCGGTCCTCAGTCCTGGTAGCGTCAACCTTGTAAACTCTGGGCCAACAAACGCCAAAGCTGCCTGTGTGTGGCATTTGATGCAATTGCTCCCCTCTGGATTGAAACCTTGTTTTGCTCTCAATTGGCGTTGACGCGCCCAGTGTGATCGGCATGCCATCTCTGCAGAATTTGGGGGTCTCGCTCAGCGGTTACAGTGCCCGCTACATGCGACAATGGAAGTGACTGGAACTAACAGCATTTTGCCGGCCAGCCCAACCGCAGATCGTGACACCATTCGCAGACACGGCAGCGTCAGTCACGGCGCCTGCAGCCAACAGCTGCCGTCGTCCAACGCCACCGGCCCTGTCTGCAGCCATTTTTGGGACAGCATCTCTCAATGTCAGCGTGACGCCGGCGTGCATACGAGCGCAGGGAAGACGCAGCCTAGACAGCCCTGCAGACGATGCATTGAATGCGGCAGTGGCTCGCATGCTGCCCGGCCAGAGACGTCGCCGAATCGTGGGGCCAGCAACATTCATCAGAGGGCCCTGTCCTCTTCAGGCTGCGCGGGAGGCACAGTGGAGAGCCTGAATTGGCTTTTGTTAGAAACCGGCCGTAGTGACGGGTTGGCTGTCTGCTCGCTTGTGGTGTCGATTCCGTAGAGAGCTTGTCTCCAACACACCATGGCCAGGCGCCTATCGACGACAAGTTTGCGGCCATTTTTAGGTTTGATACTGGTCGAAGATGGTGGCGAGGCACTACTATGACATTATTTGGAGGCACATTTCCGTGTCTTGGTCATCTTATGCATCTCGACCTCGATGGCACACATCGGCCAGGCAAAGAGGCGGCAGACATCCCGACTACCGCGCTTCTGACTGCAAATCTTGACGCCTCCCAGTCTATCTGGTTATTTTAAAATAGCTACTCCTACTGTGACAGCATCTCCAAGCAAAACAGGTCGACGGGAATCAGCCGCGTCTTCTCCACTTGGCCCAAAACCTTGAAGCCTCTGATGCTGCTTCTCCATGCCAGAGCAGCTGAGCATAGCAGAGCTTGCTTGATAAGCTGATAAGAGGAGCAGTGACATGCGTCTCCAGATGTTTTGCTCTTTGGTGGCAATACCTCACCTTAAGGCGACTACATGTGATGCCCTCCCGGCACTAAGGCACGCCTGGATATCCGGAGGGGACGGCCTCGACTCCAATTGCGCTGAATCGACGGGAATAGGGATGTTTGGTATGCTCCGGTATACACACCACTACGACCAATCGCTCCCTCCCAGATTATTTAGAAGCAATCTTTTCACGGTGAGATCGAGATGGCCCAGCGTTCCAAGACGTCAATGGACAGGGACGATCAAACGACGTCGCCAGGGATAGCCATGATAGGCTATTTAGACTAACGTTAGTGCAAACCGGGGGTTCAAAGAAGCTGGTGGTGGTCTCCGTACTGGCCCCTTTGATAATATGGACGCAGGCACATCCTGTAGATTGGCAGCCTGCGGTTGGAGCTAAGAGCGCCACTGAGCCAATGGCCAAACTATGCCGTCGCCTTGTTGACGGCAGGGCGATTTCTCAGCACAAAGAAGGAGAATGAGCTAAGCTTTGGACTTTTTTGCCTCCCCAATCGCCCTGTTTTCAATCGTGTCGGGGCAACGCATCCGGATGCATCTCAAAATGCGTGATTCATTGTTTGGACTTGTGATCGGGCTCAAAGAAGGAAAAAACGAAGCTGCTCTTTGAGGGCCGCGTAATGCGGAACGGCTGGCTAGATCTGATGACTTGAATGGACATGGCATCTGTCAGGGAATGACGAGTGCGGCGAAGAAACAGTCATTGCCCATCTAAGCATCCATGCTGCCGCGCGGAGACTTTCATCTGTCTTCAGCGGCTTCTATCCGCGCTTTGTGTGCCCTGTCAACGTGCTAAGTATGCTGGTAATGACAAAGCCCATGGAAGTAGGGGACAGGGCAGGGGGCTTTTAGTCTGGAAGCATGGGGTTTGGCTTCTAGAGATTCCTCGGTGCCGCCCCCTTTTTGGGGTGATTCCTTCCAATATACGGCATCTGGCAAAGTTGCGAATTCCATTCCAATCGAAAGACTGGGGAGCCATTGATATCCTTGCGCGGCTGAATATAGAGGCTGGTATCCATGTAGTTGCAATTTTGAATTAATAATTCAGTTGTTAGATGAACTGTATGTCAATTCATCAGCTGTGGTCAGTCGCGAGTCTCGGAAAGTAGTTGAAAGTAAGTACTTGTAGCAATTGCAATAGGAAGCATTCAGTCTGAATGAAACACTGGCTAGAGCTTTAGCCCATTTAAACAGATCCACTGAGCGTGAACGAATTTGGCCCAAGCAGCTACTCCGCTTCTAGCCTGAACTTTGTCTAAGTGAATTAGCATTATAGATGTAGAAGGACTAGTAGATTCCCTGTTACTTCTAGGCATTCATTTTCTTTTGAGAGCATAAGACTCTCGGTGCTTTTGACGTGTGAAGCAAATGACATGTATGCTAATCCGATGTCTTGTCGCCCTATCTTTTACTTGTCGTCTTATCTGATTTTCACGCACTAAACATTCGCTTAGCCGTGTAGAGCGCACTCTGCCATTTCAAGGCGTGTTCCGTCTTTAATACATTTAGAGAAAGCAGTAGCCAGATCCAATTGCATGTGCATTATCACTTAATAGGTAATAGAGAAGACGTTCCCTATAAATGCATATCAGTGGACTTTTAGGAGAATACATACATCAGCACGTTGGAGCGAAAGGTACATGTAGCTTAAAGACCAGATCACACCGCATCTTTGCCTCGTTAATCTAGAATCAAGCTCTCATGCCCAAGCTACCACCAATATGGCAGACCAGACAAATGGCTGGAGTCCCCTACGCGAGATGAATTATAGACTTTCTCAGGAACTATCCGCTACAAACTAATTTTACGAAGTTCCTTGAACATAAAGATGTCTACGCCTTTTTCTGGGGACTTGTATCGTTGGCATTCACGGCCTCTGCTCACAACAATCGAATATACCCAGATTGTTACTGGGTACAACAAATCAAATGGAATGCAGCATCAGGACGAATAAATTTCCCGACACCAGGAATAATCGTCAAACGCTGTCCCCACTCAAGTGATGTCAAATACAACGGACAACAGTCAGGCTTTAGGGAGAGTCACAATTAAAGCGGGCAACGCTTCTTCTGAACAAAGTGCAACTCCAGTTCCAACTCTAGTGACTTCGAACAACAGTCGGGCTTCAGAGACAGTCACGGTATCAGCAAGCAGCGCATCTTTTGCAACAAGTGCAGTTCCACACGATAGTCCAACGCCAGCCAACTCAGAAGGTGGCTCATTATACGCACTTAGAGATCTCGCACAATGGAGCAGCGATCCAAACTCCTTTTGGGATCAATCAGCAGCACTGCTGCGACTGACACAGCCAATTTACAAAGAAAGATTTCGAGTGTTCCTTGTGCAGGCGCTGAAAGAGGGAGCCGAGCTTTACAACCAAATCATGTTGACACAGCCTGCCGATATCCAAGCGATTCGAAGTTTCCGCATGCACACGCGGAGAGTGATGCCCCAGTTTCAAATGCAGGCCTATCGTCATAGATTTACCTGCGTCCTGGCGAATCAATTCTGGATGCATGCAACGCGTGATATTCCAACTACCAGGCTTTACAAACTGACGTCGTCCAATACAAGGGAATTGCTATGTTTGGCCGGTTTGTCACCAGACAATGAATGCGCTTGCTTCAATGTACTTTTTGGCGGCGGAAGACGCCATGAACTTTGCCAGAAACTCCAGCCAGATCAAGAGGATGTTGATTATGGTCCCTTGTTCGAGTCAGATATTCCTGATGCAATGTATGGTCTTTTTTTCTTTCTTCTTCTGATTATTACGCAGGCAGGAGATTGTGCCAAAGCTACCTTCGTCATAGATGGGATCTCCAAACAAACCAAGCCCGAACCCATTGCAGAAAACATGTGAAAATTTTGAAAACGAACAGTATTTCAAAATGGTCAGAGGAAGTTGGGGCCCAATCGGCAGCAAAAGTCATTCTTGACTTTCGTTACACACTTATAGGCCTGATGGGGCTGACTCGTGGGATCACCCTCCGCAAGATGATGGTTTTATCCAAGAGAAAGCGGCCTTCTTCACATGTATCAAGACCAGAGAAACGCCAATGCAACAGCGCATCGACCAATGTTGCTGCTTCTTCATCTTTGATGGACTCAGAAGCCCAATTCATGCACCATAGCAAGCCTCGACAACATACGGAATCTGGGCCATCTTTTGCCAGGAAGAATTCACCACCTCTTGAGGATGCTCCTGGCAGACAGCCAACTGAATCTTGCAACAATGGTGGCGGTGGCGAGATATTAGACACTTATATTTACAGGGCGGATGTTGACAAGCTGCAGACAAAGGCTCAAAGTGGCAGTCTTGGCGGGGATATCCATGCTCAAGCTTACAGCTATCAATGGCTATGAGAGAAAGCTCTCTATGGACGAAAGCTCTCTATGGACGAAAGCTCTCTATGGATAATTTGGATATCTCAGTGTTTAACGAGCAAATAAAAGATGGCCGTGGGGACGATAATGGTAGTAGCAACAACTATGAGCTACGGTTTGAACCGCAACCATCTCCGATACTACAATGTTGGCCTAGGTAGACAGCGCTAAGCACAAAAACACAAAAACACAAAATAGCGTTAGAGATGCTTCCTAGAATGCAAAGTTTTCTATCTGTACTAGGTATTTGGAACACTTTTACTCAGCGTATCCAGTCGATGAGCAAAACTATTAGCCAATGCTGGAATGAAGAGTTTCCTACTGCAGAGAATATAAATCATTTTCGGAACCCCCAAATTATCGATCCTCTGTGGCGCAATTGGCTAGCGCGTCTGACTGTTAATCAGGAGGTTGGAAGTTCGAGCCTTCCCGGAGGAGAATTGCAAATTGCTTGTATTTTTGCAGATTCAAGACAACAGTCAAGCATCTAAATACTTAAGAAAATGGATGATGGATGGATGATACTAGATGGCCGTGTCATTCTTTTTGTCTGTTTTATAGCAGATGATCTGGTGACTCAACGTTGAAGCTCCCGAATAGGCAACTCTGAGCCACGATGACTCTGTAGTGTGGATATATCTACTTTTTGGGCTGAATATCGAAAAACAACTTTTTCTGCTTCCCCCAGCGCACATCCACAGCGTCTTCATGTTTGCCATGCACCACGTTTCACCACTCCATCTCGCCTACAAGGCAGCAACGCCCACCTGCTCGGGGCGGATAAGCCGCAGCTCACCGAACAAGAGTCACTGCAGCTTAACCAGATGAGGCACTGCTCTCCAGGCAGCCGCTGCATCATCCGCCACCCAGTTGGTACCTGAAAAGGCATCCGGCTCGCCTCTCGTATTGGCATTGGATATACTTGGGGTATACGCCGTGGTACAAGCCAGCCCCTCGTCCGCTTCCAGCAAGCATCCGGCGTCTCTGATCGTCAACTGGCCAGGAGCTCTCCTCGTCAACCCCGCCGTCTCGCATTGCCAGCAGTCACGCGGGGCTGTTTGTAGATTCTTTGTAGCCAGTCGTAGCAAATCGGTATCTGCAGCAAGCCGTATCTATTCCGTGGACACGCGTGCATGTGGTTCTGCACCAGGCAGACGAGGCAACCAGCCGCACCAGCCAGCAAAGAAGACAAAAAAAAATATATTGCAGTCATATGCGAAGATGTGTTGGCTTGGGGCTTCTGGACTTCTATTTCTTACCTCCCTGTAGCGGTGGTTTCATTGGTAGGTGCTTATAAAAGTAGCGGGAGTTTGCGTGCACACCTACAGCTACAGTCGTCAGTCAAATGACTTCAGCGGATTTATACAGCTTAGCTCTACCTGCCTGCATTTTACCTTTCTACATCATTTGCAAACTGTCTTTTTCTTCAGAGCCTCAGTTTTCGCATCTCGATTTTCTTGGTTAATCCATTGACTTTGCGCTTGCGCCACTCTCGTCTTCGTTTTCGCTGCTGTTAGTTTGCCCTCTTTATCGACTTCAGCTCTTTACGGGATATACATGTGTTGGTTAAGCTGAGCTTTGCCCGCATCGAGGACGAGCTGTTCAAGCTACTCCATTGTATGCAGCTGAACAGTGCATTCCAAACTTCATCAATCGTTCGCGCAAATCCAACCTCGCTATTCTAAACTCTTGCATGTGAGTGTCTTATTTCCTTGACGGGCTGTATGCGATAAAGCATACTCCATTGCATCAATTGCTATGCACATGCCGTCTACTACACGTATAAGCATTGGACTCGTTGCTTGCATAGCCTGGGTGTCGCACTTTATTCACTGCCACAATCCTTCCTCCCGCCGAATACTAGACAATCTATTTATCCTTGGGTTATCGATCACTAATAAAGGAAAGAGAGCTCAATGGACGCTCATACGTATGTCGACGAGCCATGGCCGGTCACTTCGAGAAGGGCGTCGATTATTGTTCCCGAGGTGGTGCAGGATCAAGGGAGTTCAAGTGTCTCACAAGACACCACTGCCCAAGACACCATCTCAACTGAAAATATGCAATACCCTGCCCACAACCAAGAAGCTGGAGATAAGCACGGTTCGTATTTGGATTGGTTGATAGAAGAAAATAGCAAAGCTCTACGCGATCCCGCGTATTCGACCAAGAGGCTGAGAGACGAAGACGAAGACGACATCAACCCCAGGCTCAGTAAACTGTCGCAGTGGTCCAAAGTCATGCAAGGCCTCACATCCGACGAGGCCATCCTGTCTTCTCGCTTTGTCGAGCTCTGCAGACTGCGCTCTGTCAGCGCAGAACTCGACAAGGGAGACACGCTTGTCTTCATCGACTACCCAGAGATCAAACGTCGCTACTCGGAGCAAACTGATTGCTATGGCATCAGATATTCGTCTCAGAAATTTCGTGTGCACTCGGAAAAGCTGCTCGCAACTGGATCTGCCAAGTTCGCCGAGATGCTGAATCCTACATATCAATTTCGCATCCAAAGACGGAAGAAGCTTACAAAGAGCCTCCCAGAGGGCATCAAGTACGTCCTCGATCTGACACCGCCTTCTGAAGGAGATGATCTTGTATTCCAAATGACTCAGCTGTCGCTCACGCCTGGCATCATCAAATGGTGGGCCGCCAGTGACCTTCACAAAGTGACCAGCTGGCTGGTTACCGGACATGATGACATATGTTCATGCGGCCAGCGACCGATTCCAGGATGGGGTGTTCCAAAGGACGAGGGAAAAGGAAAAGCCCCGGCTCAGAATGTGTCCGATGAGCCAATATCAAACAACGACAGTAACAACAATAACAATAGTACCAACAACGACAACGGCAAGGACAATGACAGCACCAGCAGTGAGAAAGTAATTCCGCCCACGTCGCATGATTTGATTTCCAAAAAGATGCATGGCATCAACCGACCGTATGAGACGCCAAAGTATCGCGACATCCCCGACTATTGTCCCACACGCCACCGCAATAATATTATCCGTCTTCTCATGATGATTGAGGGACACGATGTCATGCTAGATTCGGCAAACCGTGTCTGGACACTTGTCGGCCTGGCAAAGATATTTGATTGCCCGTCTGTTGTGAGAGATCCCGTCACCCAGTGGATCATGTACAACGAAAACACAAGATTCATCGAAGTGCTGCCAGAAGAGGCATTGCAGATAGGATTTGCTCTGGAGCTCGCACAAGTCACACAATGCGCTTTTCGAATTCTTGTCAATGAGTTGGCCCTCAAGGAGGCCAGCACCAGTTCCAGCCGCGACCTGAATCGGGTCACCATCTTTGGAAGAAGGCTCGGCAACTTGGATGACGAGCTGCATAACATCGTTCAGCACGCTGCTCGGGCCCTCGTCGAAAGGGTATCCATTATTCCTGATGCGTTCAAGAGCGAGTTTAGCCTCGACTGCTGGATGATTGAAGAATGGATCAATCTCCGGAAAATGGAAAGCGCTCTCGCTGAAGAAACCACTGCAAGCTGCGTGGTGGCGTTGGAGTCTCTCCGTGTCTTGATGACGGGAATCCAAAATAGCATTAAAAACTCGTTTGAGAGGCTTATAGTGGGTGATGAGAACTCACTCTCTGCATTCATCTCCATGGATGAAGATCGAGCCACCTATGTCCTACCTGAAGATTTTGAGTCTCTCCAGGACATTGAACAAAGTTTGAACTTGACTCAAAGGCTTCTTTGCCCCTTCATCTATCGGCAACTGGGCGACATTTGGAACATTAATGTGCACGAATCCCAATGGCTGTCTGAGGCAACTTCAGGCTTATCCGGACCACTCATGGCTCGGGCACGGAATGGCGTCGAACAAGTACTCTATTCAAAGCCATTCAAGGCGAGTATGCCAAGCTGGTGGGTATTTCTGGATCATGTAGGAGAACCTCTCAGCGTTAAGAACCCGCTGGTCGACCTATCCGCTCTCAATAGGCAAATTCATGCTGCCATCTTGCCGTATAGCAGCTCATGGGTGCGATTCGACATCGAGCCGTCCCTCAATATCACCCGCCACATGCTTCTCACGCTCGATAATAACGAGATGAAATTCTTGCCCCTCTGGGCCGGCGGCTGTGATGATGGCACAGGAGGCGTCTTCGAGGCTGAGCTTCCCCCTGCTAGCTGGGGTCCCAATGGCCCTGGGCCTGCGTACCACACCGGCAATACAATCCCATCTACGTCGTCGAGCGTCTCCGGCTCGTTGGCTCATGAATTCTCCACGATGAAATTTAAGGGCAGCACCGTCGTTGGATCATTGGATGCCCAAGACAGCATCTCAACGGTATACGCCCCCGGCCATGTCATTGCCGACAATGTCTCGATTGCGTCTGAATCCTTCGATGCGGATGAGCCCGATAACTATCAAGAAGCCAGGTTTGTGATTCCGGCAGACCACCAGGACACTGGCCGCGCAGTGGATATGATGGTCGAGTCTCTGCATTCGGACACGGATACGGCATCTGTCGTGACGGATATGGCTGCTACTGTGAGCAATAATGATAGTAGCGGCGATGAGTACGTTATGAATATTGATGATCCCGCGACACAAGTGATTGCTCAGAGCGACGAGAGTGATGCTGAGAGTGATGCTACATTGGAAGCGTGGGAAAACATATGGCCTTGAAATGAGAGACTATGGCAGACTTTCTTCTTTTCTTCTTCTTCTTCTTCTTCTTCTTCTTCTCTTTTGTTGTGCTGTGAAAGGCGCACCACTTTCTTTCAGAATTTGGCTATCTCATTGGATCTCTTTTACTTAACCTTTTTGATACGACTTGATGACTACAGGAATGATATAAAGGGATATAAGCTAGGAACATCAAGATAGTAAGGCAAACAAATTAGGTTATGTACACCAGCACAAACACCTATAAACCGCCTCGTAAGCATGATCTTTAAGGAGTTTTGTTTTAATCGTGTTCTTTATTCTATAGTCAACGCTAAATATGATATCCATTGTCTAATCATTTTGATATGATCCATTAATTAAATGCGCAAATGTCCATCATCAAATCCGCTCAACCCTCCATAAAAAAAAAAAGAACTATGCGTATGTACGACTGTTTCTTTCACCCCATATTAAGCGTATTCCCTGACCCTTTCCTATTATCATCCTTGAAGTCATCCCAATGCCTCGCCTTATACGTCTCCATATCCACCGCCTCCATGTCATCCTCATCGACCTGGCGCCTCGGCGGCTCCGTCCCGCCGCCCTCAATGATGCCGCCTCGTTTGCGCTCCTCCTCGAGGTACTCGTCTATAGACATCGTAGGCAGGTTATGCCCCGGGCGGAAGACGCCCCGGGCGATATCGGCGCGCGAGCCGACAATCGTGAACGGCTGCAAGGGCTCGCCTTTGGGTCCGAGGATGGGGCCGCCGCCGGGGCGCATTCGGCTGAGAGGCTGGTCGAGGCGGAAGGACGTGTCGGTGGGATCTTCGCCCGAGTTCGACGGCGCGGCGGTTGGTGACGGCGCGGATCGCAGCAGCGGCAGTTCTCGGTTCAGCGAGTCGAGCGCCTGAAAGGTGTTGTGGATGGCAAACTCTATGCTCGTGAGATGCACTTCGCGCACAAGCTCCTCATCGCCGTGCTCCAAGTACCGCGGATTGCGCTTCAGCACCTGAAGCTTCTCCTTCAGCGCCTTCTCAGCCCTGAAATTCGCAATCTTGCCCTCCCTCTTCGCAGCCATGTCCGCGCCAGCAACAACCGCAAACGTATCCTCATCGTCGCGATACCGCTCAAGCAGCTTCCTATACGCGCCCCTCACAAGGCCATACCCATCCACCAGACTCAAGAACCGCTCATACGCAGACCTCGACTGCCCGAGCACCTGCAGCCGCTGCTTCGGCGCCAGATGCGGCGTCCGCTGCACCAGCTCGGCAATGTAAAAGTCGACGAGCAGGTACGGCAGCGCCGTGGTGGCGACGTCTTCGATGCCCTCGTTGGCGGAGAAGAGCGACACGGCGGAGATTTGGTCGAGGGCTTGAGCGTAGAGCTTGAGCGCTGCGGAGAGGTCTGTTGCGTATTGGGGGGAGGTGGCGATGGGGGCGTTGTAGACGTCTTCTCGTTTTGACTCGGCGGCTTCGAAGATGGCTCTGAGGGACTGAGGCTCGTCGGACGAGGCCATGGTGGGTGAAGGGCGGAGTGTGCGTGAGTATATACAGTGATGTTATGAAGTTGTAGGTATTTATTTGTCTTGCTTTATTCGCAATTCCTTTAGGAGCGTTGATGTTGTGGTGCTTGCGGGGGGTTCTTGTGGTGTTGGTATGACGAAGAGAGGTGCGCAGAGAAAAAGAGCTAGAGTGGAGGGGCTGATTGCTGTTTTGCCCCTCCAAGCAGCGTGCTTAGATATCGATAACAGGTGACGAGCAATTATAGCAATCAAGCGACGATGGATTAGAATGACAAATCTCATTTTACAGATCATGCCCTCGCAGGCTCGTCACTGGTACGTTGACTAACACTTTTATATACAATAGACTAAACACAAAGCAATGTTTTATCGAGCTAAAGAGCCAATATACTCGCAGACCATCATGTACCACCACAGTCATGCAGGACCAACCTGTCTACGACTAACATGTCAAATAAACCTATGCATCAGAAAATCCAATCTCCAAAAAGATATCATAAACTCTCAACGACATGGGGCAATCGGCCATTGCTTCAATCATCATCCTCCACCATGAAAGGGTCGTCACTCTCCTCTTCTTCCTCTTCCTCGTCCTCGTCCTCGTCCTGCTCGTCAACGCTCATGGATGAGTCTTCATCGTCGATGACAACCTTTCTGTTTGCAGCCGCAGCCCGTCCAGGTCTTGCCCGTGCCGCTGGCCTCGGAGCGACTGATTCATCTGCAAACGAATCTTCCATGTCATCATCTGAATCGTTCAGCGCCTTCTTCTTGGCAGCATATCTCTTTGCGGCTGGAGAAAGAGTCGAGGTTGTGGTTGCAGCCTTGAGTTGTACCTTGTGCTTGCTCACTGCTTTGCCCTCATCCTTATTCTTTGCCGCTGCTGGCCGGCCGCGTTTCTTGGCATCCACTGCTGACGCTTTCACTGCAGGCTTCGATTTGGGAGCGGCCAAGTCGTCCTCGTCGTCGTCGCCCGGTCCTTGGCTCCCAGCCTTTAGTGGCGACGGCTTGGCCAACAATTCGTAATTGGTCTCATCATCGGTGTCAAAGTCAAATAGCTTGGCTGACTTTAGTTTTGGCTTTGAGACTGCTCCGGAGCCTGTATTGCCGTGGCTCGAGTCAGGCCGGCTCATTGCGTGCAGACTAACTCGCGCGCCGGATTCTCCAGACGGCTTGCTGCCAATGCCCTTGACCAGCGCTCCGACATCGCCAAGCATCTTATCGTCGTCCTCGTCGCTATCTGAGGACGCATCGAACAAGGTTTTGGCTTTGGAGGCTGCTGCTCGCTTGTTGCGGACAGGAACCGGCACCACCTCTGGCTCTTCAGATTGTGAAATCGATGGGGCTTGTGAAATAGATCGTGGCACTGAAATTGATCGCGCCTCGGAAGCTGATCGCGACTGTGATGGTTTAGCCGCAGCTGGTTTGGTCGCAGCTGGCTTGGTCGCAACTGGCTTGACCGCAGCTGGCTTGGCTGCCGCTGGTTTGCTTGCCGCTGGTTTGCTTCTGCTAAGGGCAGCAAAATCATCATCAGAAAAGTTATCAGAGAGCTCAACTGCCTCCGGCTGCTCCTCTTTCTTGACCTTGGGCTTGGCACTGAACATCTCAGCAAATCTCTGTGCCGTCTTGGTCTCTACCTTGGGAGCTGCCTTCTTTCGACCCTTCTTCTCTGGCTCATAATCATCGTCTGCTCCCTTCGCCTTCTTGCCGCGGCCACCAGCACCAGCTCCTATCTTCTTAGATACTCGGCGGCCCATGCGGCGAATATTGGTCTGGATTTCTGCACTGAGAGCCAGATGCCTCTCCCACTCAGCCTCAAAAGCAGCCAGATCTTCACACCACAGATCTTTGTCGCTCTTGGCATTGAGGTCATCATATTCAGCCTTCTTCTTCCGGATGGCTTCCTTGAGCTTCTCAAGACGTTCTGCAGTCAACGACCAAATTGGCATCTGGAAAAAATACAGTTAGAGTTTACTTTTGCTATACAATAGTCGTTTGGATTGACGAAAGATCAAGCTTACCGAGAGAAGATAATCGTAATCACGAGCGCTTTCCTCGCCATCTTCTTCCTCTTCCTCTTCTTCTTCAGTCGATTTCTTCATATTGTTCTTGACAGGAGGGAATGCCTCGTATTTGCGGTCACGCAGCTCTTTAACAAGGACAGTCTTCTTCTTCTTGCCAACGATCAAGTCGCTGTCGATAATCTCTTGGATAAAGCGCGCCTGGTTCTTCAGTTTCCGGTGGTCGGCATCATAGACGCCAAGCCAGTGGTCCTATATACAGGTATTATTAGTCAACCGTAAACCAGCTGCGAGTCTGAATGATGTCATACCTTTCGCTTCTGATACATTTCGAGTCGATAGACGTAATACTCTTCCAAAATATCTTCCACCTTTTCATATTTGCGAATCTGGCCACGGGTATTGAAAGCGACCAAATTTGAAGTTGCAACTTGTTTGGTGAGCTTGAATCGCTCAAGCAGGCCTTCTTCCAAAACTTTAGCCATGTGCTTCTCATCCACTTGAATCTCAAAGTGAACAGTCTTGTGGTCGTTGAACTCCTTGTAGTCCTTGATCCAGGTAGGGCCATCGACGCCGCTGATAATCTTTTCAAGGCGAGCCTTGAAATCATCAGTCCATACGCGAATTGGAAGCTCAGTGATGACCACTTCGTTTGGATTCTTTTCATCTTGGTAGGCAATACCGTTGAACTTGTATCGATCCTGGCCGGCAGCCTCTGGCGCACCTTTCCAGCCCCTGAACCAGGGAGTCATTGTCTCAAAGGGTTTCTCCTCAGTATCATCTTCCTCAAGACGGCCCATTCGTCGTTTCAGATTCTTTACGATTTCTAGCGGATGATAGTTGGGGATGGAGGTGCTCCAACCTGTGCCAATACCGTCTGCACCATTGACAAGCACCATGGGCAGGACTGGAGCAAATACTTCTGGCTCAATCTGTTTTCCATCCTCAAATTGGTGGTTTAGACTTGGCTCATCGAGAGAAGAAAAGATTGCCCGAGCAAACGGAGACAGTCGTGTAAAGATATAACGAGGACTAGCAGAGTCTGAACCGCCAGCAAGTCGAGAACCAAAGTTACCACTGGGCTCGAGGACGTTGATATTGTTTGAGCCCACAAAGTCTTGAGCCAATCCAACAATCGTCTGCTGCAGCGAGACATCGCCGTGGTGGTAGGCGGTCAGTCCAGAGACGTAACCAGCCAGCTCCACAACCTTCTCATCCTTGACCACGTTTCTCTTGAAACAAGCGTACAGCACCTTTCGTTGACCAGGCTTCAATCCATCAATCATTGACGGGATGGATCTTATGTTATCCGCCATACTGAACAGAATGAGCTCCTTGTTCACAAAGTCACTGTAGGTGATAAGCTTTGAAGAATGGTCCAGGTATGTACCAGGGACAAAGCCGCCTAGCCACTCCTTTCTGGCATCAGCTTTCTTCTTGGAAAAGGCCAAGTCGAATAGATCCGCCTCCTCTGGCTTCATAACACTGAATTCTTTCAAGTGTTCGTCCAGGTTCGTAAAGTACACTTGGGCATCTTCATTGGTGGAGGTACCCAGACCCTTCAAGTATTTGTAATGCCATCTGCTGACTTCGCCACCGCGTTCTTGTTTCCATTCCTCATATTGCGGCTGTGTAAAAAACGACTTCAATCTTTGGGGTTTCTTGGGGTTGGGACCTTGCCAGACTTTGACGATGGGTGTGATGAATTCTCGGAAAAAGTCTGGAATCTGGAGCAGTGAGGGGAACTGCACCTGGAGGAAGTTGATGAGAAGCCCCTTGATGTGACTACCGTCGTGATCCTGATCGGCCATGATCATGAGGTGACCGTAACGCAAGTTCTTCGTATCAGTGTACGTCTGCTTGTGCTTAAGGCCCAGAAACTGCTTGATGTTCTGAATCTCTTGATTCTTGGTGATTTGGTCAATGGAAGCGTCTCGAACATTTAGCAATTTACCACGAAGTGGGAAAACACCGATACGGTCGGGATCAAGAATGGCTCGTCCAGAAACAGCCAGACCCTTGGCAGAGTCACCTTCAGTCAAGATTAGCGTGCACTCATGGCCACGCCTGGTTCCCGCCAAGTTGGCTTCCACAAGTTTAGCATTGCTCACTCGAGAGCGCTTGTTTCCATCGCTCTTGGCCATCATCTTGTCTGCCTTCTTCTCGGCAAAGGCCATGATGTTTTGAATTGCGTCGGATTTGGCAACCTTTTTCAAAAAGTCATCTCCCAGAACACACTTGCTACCGAATTGAGAAGTCTTGGTAGTCATCTGCTCCTTGGTCTGCGAAGTAAATGCAGGGTTATCAACCAAACAGTTGACAAAGATGAAGATGTGGTTTCGGAGATGCGCCGGCTTCAAGCCGTGTCCTTTTCTCAGCTTTGTCACGGCCTTGAGGAGATGTGCTGTGATTTGGTCGGCTATGTAGTTGACGTGAGTACCTCCTGACGTTGTTGCAATCGAGTTTACGAATGAGACCTGCTGGAATGTACCATCTGATACGGTGAAGCCAACTTCCCACCGGGGATGGCTCTTGTCTTTGTCGATCTCAACGGTACAAGTCGGAGTACCACCTTCTTCCTGGCTCCTCTCACCAGCAATAGACTTTGCGTAGAGGTCGCAGTATGCTTTGAAGTCCTTGATCTTGATCAGCTCGCCATTGAGCTGGACCTTGACACCTCGCATTGTGCCGGCCATGTCGTAGACTCTTCGGTAGAGCAGAGCCTCAAGGTCGTCTGAAATGCCTTCCTCCATTCCAAATCGAGTGTAATCAGGCTTGAAGGTGACCCGAACAAAATCAAAGGTTTTGCTGGAAGTGATCTTGGCCTTTTGCATGGTCTGCATGTTGTCTGTCCACGTCTGCTTGTATCGTTTTCCATGCTCGCTGTCCTGGCACTCCAATGTGAATTCTGTGCTGAAAACGTTACACAGCTTTGCACCGTAACCATTTCGGCCACCAACCGTCTTCTTCTCGTTATCGTCGAAGTTGGATCCAGCCAACAGGTGACCAAAGATCAGCTCAGGAATGTATACTTTCTCTTTCTCATGCATGACAATGGGAATACCCTTGCCGTTATTCTCAACGCTAATCTCGCCAGTGGCTCGATCAATGGTGACTTTCATCATGGTCATGGAGCTGTCACGCTGTTTGTTGTCGGCAGCGTTGACCAGAATTTCATCAAAGATCTTGTAGAAACCCGGGACGAAGGTGATGTTGCGGTATTCCATCTGCTTTGATTCTTTGTTGTAGACCCACATCTGCTGGTCTGTCTTTTCCACAGAGCCAATATATGTATCGGGACGTTTGATGATGTGTTCGAGCTGGGTCAGCTTTTGGTAGGTCTCCGTCGCCGTCTTCTTCTTGGCGGCAGGCTTGGAGTCGTCGTCAATTGCCATGCTGTCATTTTCAACCTCTACCAGAGGCTTGGTGCCCGACTTCTTGGGCGGAGGCGCCGTCTTCTGCTTCTTAGCAGTAGGTGGAGTGTTTGAAAAGCCGGACGACGCTTCCACATCTTCGTCGTCTTCATCGCTCTCAAGGTCAATGATCGGCCGTTTCTTCGGCGGCGCTTTGGTTTTTATGGTTGTCTGCACCATTTTCTTGACGGCCGGCTTTGTGGCTGCAGCCTTGGCTTTCTGCAGAGGATATGTTAGCTGCCGCAGGGTGAGCGCACAAAATAGAAGTGGTAAAAATGTGTAAAGGTCGATTCTCGTAGGGTGGTGAGTCGGCGCATAGGAAACGAGCATAGTCGGATTGTCGCAATCGAAATATAGAGGGGAGAGCCAAGTGAATTGCTGCCCAACAGCTAGATGCGCCGAGAATTGAATCTCCTTTGACGGGAGAATACAAAGGCGCTTCACACAAAGCAAAGGCAGCGCATCATAGGCGCACAGGCGCACAGGTGTAGGAATCATGCGATGTGGTCAAGAGTAACTTACGGGCTCGGGGACATATCCGTCAGAGTCATCTTCAATTTGGAAGACAGAGTCGTCGTCGGAATCCATCGTATCGATCTCTCTTGGCCGAGAGCTGTTGGGCTTGTGGTGAGTCGTAGATGATATCGAGCGCTCGAAAAAGACGGTTGATAAAGTGCTGGGCAGGGGTGCTCCAAATAGGCCTGAGACACGCAGCAAGGAGGGATGGATTGAAATAGCCCGAAGCGCTCGAGGATGCTGCAAAGGGAAGATGAAAGAAGAGATGAAAGGAGCGACAGTGGCCCGCGCTGAAAAAGAGATTATCTTTGTCACATCGGCTGGCCAGCAGAAGCAGAAAGAAAGAAAGAAGCTGGTTGAGGCGGTGATATTTTCCTGTTGTTGAAAGCCCCCGCGTAAACAAATAGCGATCCTTTGTTTGACGCGACCTTGCTGTGGTTGTCGCATAAATCCCAATCCGGACTAGCGGGCATCGATAGTGGGACGCGTTATACATGCCTGAGGCAGAAGCGAGGCGGCCGGCCAATCAGGGTATCGGGCGGTGAGCCCAGAGTGAGATGGCGGGGAGGTACCGCAAGGCGATCCAGCGACGAGCGGGTACCTGGCCGGTAACCATCTGAAGTACCAGGAACCAAGATGGGCGATCGAATTCCACGAGTGCACTGCACTCGTTTTCGATTCCATGTAATTTACAACTTTTGAACTCGCAAGAATAGGGCATGACAAGCATCTAAGGCCTTTTAAAAATGCTATCAGGAACCGGCAGAGACGTCCTTCCGTTATTGGTTCTTGTTCTCTTTCACCCACTAACAGCTCATAGGCATGAGCTCGCTTGATCTCTCATATACGCCCCTGCCATGAACTCTTTTCAAACAGGATATCCAAGCTACTATATCAGGTGCTCAACTTGATATTACAGTGAACATTATGATTTAGTCATAATAGCCTAATCTCAGCATCAACAAGGACCAAGAGCTTTCGTCAATCTTCTCAGAAGTCCATGATGCAAGTCGTGCTCTTCTTACCCTAGATCTCGTCGGTTGGCGTCAGCAAACGTGAGTATCCGTCTTCATACAACAATGCTACCTCCCAAAGCGAAACAGCTGCAGTCATCGTCTCTTCTAGTAGAGATACTACCTGGAGAAAGAGAAGACTACGCTTTGACTAACCTTGATATAGCAAGACTTAATTTCCGACTACCTGTTGGAGTGGACTCACGCCTCGGCAGACTGCAGGACCTCAAACGGCAGCTGCAAATGAATTTTGTCCTCCGACTACGGAATCACTTTTGAAATAACTTGCAAAATGGAATTTGGGTCCTCACGGTCAGGTGCAAAGGTGATGCAGTGCGGAGCACGAGGCGTTTACATTATAACAGATGCAAACACCCGCCGCTCTCTCATTTCTGCGCGGGCAAAGGTTACGTTCAATGTCCCGTGTGTCACCTGAAAACTGTGCCATAATCTGAAACTTTTCACCGGAAGCCGCCCTGAGGGATTAGAAGCGCTGCTTGTGCCATGCTGGTTACATTTGCCTGTGAGCATTTTCTAATTGCCCCCTATCCATGTTTGTCTGACATATTGCAGGCGCTAAATGCGAATATCTCTGTTCGCCCTCTTTTCAAAGACCAAGAGAGTGATGTGATCAATAAAAGTATGCGGAAGAAGGGGAAACTTGTCTGCAGAAGACTTCCCACTCTCCAAATATGGGTATCTGACATAATGACAGCTATGCCGTCCTAACCCTCTCGCTCGTTTGTCACAACATCCTTACCTCGCTGGACATTTTTATTTACCGAGGTATGGTAATCCAACCAGGCTTTCCGTCTCTCACGTTGCATCTCGTGATGACATATGGGCAAATACCCAGTACGAGCAACTACCGATAGCTTGCCAATGCCGAGCTATCGGGCCGTGACAATCAATCTGCTCAGTGATAGAATAACTGGCATTGACAGGTGTGATAGGTATACCCGGCTTGACTCGATTACCATTGAGTATGCTGATTCCGATCAAAAATGAAGGTATGCATTCTTATTAGAAAGCTGTTACATCTGCTCGATGCCTAGACTTCGTCTAACAGATATACCCTGCACCTTGATGCTCTGACGCGAGCTGCGATTGGAAGAAGAATTCCAAGCAATTAAAAAGCACAGATAATGGCTTTTGGCGATAGGTATTGCTCTAAAAAGAGCGATTGAGTCGGCAGCCTCTCTCTTTTCTCTGCTCAAGCTCTCTGCCACAAGGTCAAAGATGATTGAACTTGTGCAGCATCGGAGAATTTCCCCGAGTCTGTACGCATATGCTTCTGCCTCTATACTAAATTGGTGGCATGGAAGATGTTTCCTCTGTGTTTGTTGAGCTGAGCCTGTTATGGAAGAAGCGAAGTACATCGGTTCGTAATGGCTGAGAGACTACTGAGCCTGTACGCCTACCATTGCATGGTCAAAGATATCCTGGATGAAATCCCATTACTATCATCCTGAACAGCTTACCGGATGGAATATTAACGTTATCACTCAAATTTGATGACACAACATGCAGATCCGAATCAGCACTCACAGCCATATGATGCCGCGTTTTCAACACGTGGCTACCTCGAAGATATCCTGCCACACGTTGGAAGAAAACGTCAACGGATACATGGAACACAACCCTTAAACCTCTTGTCCTTTCCCGTACTTCATCAAGGTGGTAGCCGACTGGAAGGATATTTGGTCAAAAATGCCGCCAATGCAGCTACCCGTGGCGATAGCCGCCTCTGTCAACGAAAAGAAATGACGTTCAAACAGATGGCTGCCTTGTTCTGCGTCTGGCACCCCGATGTCTGCGCTCGTCGAACCCATTTGCTCTACTAAGCGACTTTCCGGAATGCTTCATCTAGAGTAACGTCGTCTTCCATTCAAAGTCGACGGATGCCTGCAGTAGTAGAATCATGAACATGAGATAGGCAACTAGTGTATAATACCCTCGAGCGCACGTTTGGTCAAGGCATATTTGAGTTTCACTGCTGGTTGGATGTTGGTGTACGAAGACGATGGCTTCTTTCGCCATTTCCATGACCAGAAGTGCGTAACGCGTACTTATTCATCTACAGAGGTTATGGATGGGGTCCATATGATCTGAGCTAGGACCCATGAGACCAATTTGGCTTCCCGTCTATGATGCTAATATAGATGTTCATCAGCGGCAAACGGGCGCGCGATACTTGCTGTACTGCACCTGAGCCTGAAGCAACTGGACCTATTCGGATTTGGATACGAAGCTGGAGAACGATTAACCTTGAGCTTTTCCATCTATACATTGCAGCATGCAGCGTGATAATTGAAGAAGATACATTTCAAGGCTTGCCTACCAACATCGACACTCCGAGCTTTATTGCGGAGATCTCCGGATATTCTAACCGCGGTGGAGACTTGCAAACGCAGCAGCAAGAGGCCCATGCATACTGGAGGCTTGAAATTAAGATTCAGCATTCGGAAATCTCATTCCGGAAGCTTGGGAAGCAAACCTCATCGAAGACGCACATGATCGGCGGCCGTACCGTTGATAGTTCAACGTATCGATCCCTGCGACCTCTCTGTGCTCCGGATCTGTGACCCCCTATTCAAGAAACAAGCAGCCCAAGATTCCCTGCCCAGATAGACGATACTTTTAAAACAAATCGTCTTCTCATTTTGTTTGCCTAGCTGGGAGCCTAGGATGTGAGAAATCTGGTGCTGCGTTTGGTCATTCGTGCCGTTGATGAAATTCTTGTGGGAGCTATATGAAGGACCTGCATCCTCTTCCAATCGCAAAGTCAATACCACGCTTGCTTTCTTCTGCAACTTTGCTTCATGTTTGTAGCCAACAGAGCACATGGTAGGATTTTTCCTGCATGCCGACTAGATTATTTGATGCCTACAGACACCGGAAAGACAATGCTCTCTCTGCAAGCTCTCATGAATCCCGCCTCGCCTGGCTATTCTGTTACTTGCTTTCGACAGTCTTCTTCAGTGTTAGCGACCGAATCTAGATTATTGCCGACGGAAGTACAAACTGCTGTGGATGTGTCGCCTGTGCCGAAGATCGAGCCATCGGCAAGCATCGCCAGCATGACAAAGTTCAAACCGTTGGGGCCGATCAACTTTGCACCTTTCGAAGGAATCGATCAAGCATCATATCGAGAGATGTGCCGGTTTCGCGTTAGTCCGCTAGGAAAGATACGACAAAACTGCCAACATATCCCCTACAACAGTTCAAAAAAGGACTTTTTCGAGAAGACGGGAAGAGAAAGTATTGAAGGTAAGGGGGCTCCCTCAATAAAGAAATAGAAGACCAGTCGTCCTTTGAACGAGAGTAACTTAGACCTTACGACAGTTTTTAAATACGAATTCCGATTACCAGACAAGGAAAAGATCTATACCGTCATGTGGGATTACAATGTCGGCCTTGTTCACATGACTCCATTCTTCAAATGCCTGGAGTATACGAAAGTAAGGCTCAAACTGAGCTATTAGTTTGCCTCTCGAATTCTGCCTTTTTCTAATTCTCAACAGACCACGCCGGCACAAATGTTGAGTCAGAATCCAGGTTTGAGAGAAATATCGCCCAGTATCACTGGCGGCGCCGTATCAGCCCAAGGTAAGCCCAAAAGCATTTGATCCCGCGATTAGTCGCTCACAAGCCCCTCTTCTAAATAGGATATTGGATGCCTTACCGGTGTGCTAGAGCGGTATGTGCGACTTTCTGTCACAAGATTGCGGGCGCACTGATTCCTCTCTTTGGCCCTTCGTTTCCCTCCGAGTGCGCTCCGGCGCCCTTCAACACTACTCACTGCAAGGGCATGGTGATTAATCAGCAAATCATACTCAAAGCAACCGAAGAAGTCGAGAAATACCGCCAAAGGCAGAATAGCGGGTTCATCAAGGCGGTCGGTGAACTGAGCAGCTCTCATCGGGTCGAAAACTATACATTGCGTCGTAAACAGGAGAACCAGACTACACTTATGCCCATATTACCGTCGCAATATCGTTCCGCTTGGACACCAGTCGATGGATCGATGACCAATAGCCGCGCTATGGAAGCTTCAACCCCGAGGATGGTGTGCGACAGCCGCGAGGCCACCAGGATATTGCTTGGATCGAGTCGCAGTGCTCTTCCGAATCAAGCTGTGCCTAGCCAAAATCCATGCCAGAAGGAGAAAACAAACGCATTTGGTCCGTCACGGACAGAAGTGAACGTTTCTGAGGGAAAATGGGGGCCAAACCGGCGCAAACGAGCTTTTGACGAACGGATCACGATGGATTCGCCCAGCGGAGGAGAGGGATCACATCGAGAAGAGCACTTGGGGGTAGCTGAAGTTCTACTGAGCCTGGCCACAGATGTTCGAGACACGGCGCATCCAACATCACTGGCTGTGGAAATGTCAGACAACGGCGAAGACTTTCACGGGCGACGTCGCAAAAGGAAGCGACCAAAGCCTCTCTTACTTTAACCACTGGATGGTGTTGCTGGTGTTGAAGAATTATTTCTCTTTGTCTTTCTCTCTATCTCTTTATTTCCTGTTGGATCTTGAAGCCGTTCATCTATGTAATATTCGCTAATTGCTCTTTAAGATACCCCATTGGGCTGGCACTTGCAAATCAGATTGTTTTCTTCTTCTTTGTGTTTGGGATAATCTTTCGGAGAGGTGTTGGCGTACCTGTTTTACCTTTTGTTTTTGTCTTGCATATTTGGAAATCCTGGATTTTATCGAGATTGGGGATTTTGTTCTGTTCGTTGGTTTCTTCAAAAAGCGTGGTGCAATTGTATCATCGGATTCGTTGATCGGAAGTTACATTGATTGTTGGAATTTTGGCTTCTTTGTTTGTTAATCTTGTGTTGTAGTAATCTAGGCTGTTTAACCTAATTTCTTAATCGGACCATATCGAGGTCTTCATCTCTCTTCTCATACGTGCCATCTATTTTACTTGGTTCTCTTTACCTTCCGTCAAAAACAAACTTTTCGCTTTCCCTTCTAAAACCATGTCATCTTCATGTCCCTAACTTAACATTTTCAGCTCCTCTCCCCCTTCTCCGCCGCCCTCTTCTCCTTAAACTCCTTCACCCATCCATCCGCCTTTGCCGTTGGCACCACAAATATCCTCACCACCTCATCCACAACTTCCACTTTTCCTCCGGCCAGCACCTTCAGCAGAGGCACCTTCTTGCCCATCTTGATCAGCCCGCCCTCCTTCGTCTCCACGTAACACGTCACCCCAGCCAGCGTGTACGCGCCCTCCTTATCCCAAGGCAATGGGAGAATATATCCCAAATGGTCCTCCAGCGTGTGCGTCTCCTGAAAGGCCTTGATGAAATCAGACTCCAAATGCAGCGGGTAGAGCAGAACCGTCGGAAACGCCAGCTCGGACGAAGGATCGTCCTCGTTAGGCACGAGTGTAATCTTTGCGTCTTCCATCTCAGGCGGCTGCTCCGTCTTGCGCGTCTTGATGCCTCTCGCCGCAAGCGCTGCCTTGAGGAGCAGTGCCCTACGCTGCTTCTTGGCCTCCCTCTCCGCCGCCTTGCGCTTCAGCTCATCCAGCGTCTTTGCGCGCTTGATGATGCCGTCGGCGACGGTCCTTAGGGCTTTATTTTCCGGTTCAATAGCCAGACCTCTGGCACACACGTCGTCTGCCTCCTCTATGCGATCCACCGCCAGCAGCGCCTTTCCACTGCGATAATACGCCTTCACGTTGCGCGGGTTGAGCCGTATGGCCGCCGCACAGTCTGTCCAGCAGCTGCGGTAGTTCTGCATCTCCAAATGGCACGCCGCGCGGTTGACATACATGGCCTCGAGCGTCTCCTTCTGCTGCTTAATCTCCTCCTCAGAATCCGGCTCCCCCGTCTCAGGGTTCTTTGTGATCTCCCCCTTTGCCCGTTTCCGCTCCTCCACAAACAAAATAGAGATGCCCTTTCCGTAAAACTGCTCTGCGTCCCTGTACCCCTTTGCCTTGAAGCACTCGTTTCCACGCTCCTTGAAATCCGTCGCATTCTCCAGCGGCGTGCCCTCATACGCCAGAGCCTGCAGCGCCGCAATGTCGTCGTTGTCCTCCATCTCCGTCATGAACAGCGGCGACTTGTTCAGATCTGCGAGGATCTCATCCACGGACTTGTTCTTGGCGATGGCCAGCGCCGGCGGAAGGCTTGGAGTTGTGGCATCGGATGGATTTTGCTGGCCGAGGCTCATGGCCTGCTCAATCTGGTCTGCGAGCTGATCTATACTCATCGCTGTGGAGATGCGCCTCACTTAGATAGCGGTTGAGTATAATACTGTGTATTTAATGAAGACGGCAGAATTAAAGAGTGTTTTTTCACTTTTTGACTTTCTGCGCTGTTGCTGTAAGAGGTGCATGTACAGCAGGCAGAGCTTGATTCGGAGTGGGGCAATCTTGAGTATGAGGAGACAAAATTTTGTCAGATCGATCTCGACGCTTGATCCTCTAGTTCCTAATACTAGCGGCCAACGAATTAAAGGCTTGACATGCGGTAACAGACAGAAGAATATCCAACATGGTTTGCAAAACAAACACCTTTGCATTTATACTTGAGTATTGTTGCTCGACCTGCTTTCTTTAATTTCGAATCTCATTAAGTTCTTCTTCTAGCAGCAATTTCCGCTCACAGAGGAAGCGGCATCTGTACTACCAACGAGCCGAAATCACTTCAATCAGCAAACAAGTCTTACTTTTTCAAACAGCACTGTTATTGCTATCTTTTCTAATCTCTAATACTATCTAGTCCTTTTCATTTTGAGGACAGAAGAGAGAAATATATATGGTATCAAAATACACTTTTCCGTGCCCCCAAACTCCAACAAATTCAGCCAACTCCAGATGCAGATACAAAAATGGATATGTGTGCGCGTTCTTGAATATCGTCTGTATGTTCTCCCAATGCGCCACACCCAAATGTACTATCAGCCAATATCAACCTGCGCCATGGGGTATATAGCCACCTGAGCCTCGCTCCATTAAAAAAAAGCGCCGTTTATTCGTGCGTAGAACCTGTTAATCAAAATCAACTAATCCGCCACTGCTACTTGCAGATGACGTTCCTTTAGGAATGTGACAGCTCCTACCAGGAGGATGCCGTGTGTAAGAGACTTTTTTTGTCTATTCATTCTTCTCTTCTTTCTTTTTTTTTTAGTCAAAAATCATTTTATGATTGTTATTCACTCCACATCCTCGACTGAAACTTCAGCGGGGGTGGCAGGGGTATGTTGTCGCTCAGCGTCGTCCTTGGATCGTGAGCAATCACGATCGCGGGGAACGGTGAAGCAGTGGATAGCACCGGCAATGGCGACCAGAGAACTAGCGTACCATGCCAACGCAGTGCAGTCAATCTGGCTGCCCAACGTGTAGAGGTAGCCTGCGATTGGCGGGGCAATCATGCGACAAGCAGCTCCAGCGCTGGCGGCTAAGCCATTGACTTTGCCCAAGGCACTCGCGGAAGGGGTAGCTCCTTTGATTAGGATAAGGAGGAGGGGGTAGAGTGTGATGGAGAGGACGTTGCGTACAGCAAGGCACAGGTAGATGGCGGGGAAGAGGCAGGATTCGGGGACGAAAAGCAGCATTGGAACAATTGCATAGATGATGGGGTGCAGAACCGTGACAATGAGGAAGAGTCGGAACACACCGAACCTTTCCGCTGCCAAGGGGAAGACGAAGGCCTGGACAAAGAGAGCGATTACTCCATTGACAGCCATGATCATGCCCACTTCGCGAAGGGAAAGGCCCAAGCCACCAGGAGAGTAGAAGGGTGAAGAAGCACCGAGTTTGGAGAGGGTATTTACCGAAACACGCTCATCTTCAAAGAAGATTGGCATGAGGTGATCGTAGGTCATTGAGTGGTAGGTGAAGATGCACAGAGACACGATGAAGCCGACGATGCGCTGGTTCCAGATACGGGCAGGCTTCGTCTTTTCCGTAGGCATATCGTTTGAGCTTCGCTCCGGGCACTCCTCGCTGCTGCTGTCTCGAATAGTTCCATAGGTCTCCGCGCGAAGGTCCACCGCTGGTCGCTTGATGGCGTCTGAAGTCTCGAGCAGCGGGGTCTCTTCTGAAACATAGGTATCTGCGGGGAGTAGAACTCGAGGTTGCATATCAGGGTGAGTTTCCTCTAAGAGGAAGAATCCCATGACGATGCTGACGAACAAGAGAGCGGCGCAGACGAGGTTGGGCAGGAGATAGGGATATCGCTCGAACAAGCAGCCTTTGGGGAAAGCATTGGGCCACGACTCGTGAGGGTCAGCAAAGGTTCCACCAATGCAAGGGCCAATAATGGTTCCAATGCTCCACACAAAAGGCATGACGGAGAAAGCGCGCGCTGATGAGATTGTTAGCAAATCTTGTCCAATGACACTCAGGACGCATCTGGAACAGAGTACTTACGTTCGTGCTCAGGCTTGGTGACAAGTTCACCGACCATGGTCTGGATGACGCCAATGTTGCCGTTGAGAAGACCTCCGATTGCGCGCCCAGCCAAGGCGATCCAGATGTTGGAAGCAAATCCCACCATGACCATGCTGAACATGGTTCCCACACATCCGAGAATCAGTACGGGCTTGCGGCCGATGCGATCAGACAAGCCGCCCCAGTACATGCCCATCAGGGCCTCGGCGAGGGCGAAGGATGAGATGAGGAGACCCGAGTAGAAGGCGGCATCTTGCTCGCTTCCGATGTTGAATCTCTTAACAAGAGCCCAGGCATAGGGAAAGATGGAAGTGAGGGCGATTGGCTCAGCAAGGCGAACAATAGCTTCGTAGATGTTAGCTTAGATGTCTTCCATCTTCCTCTCTAGACGACAGAGAGATGACTTACCGAGGAGGAATAGTTGAAGGGTTGGGAAGTCGTCCGGGTTGCGAAGACGTGCCTGCTTTGTTAGGACCATGTCTTCTCTGTTTGGTATGAGCTTACGACAACAGACACAGGCACAGATGCGAAGAAGTGCGTGTGTTGTGTGCGTATAGAGAGGCTTGAGTTTCTCTCTGGAGTTGGTTGGCTGCGCGAGTCGTAAAAGATGACGAGTTGAGCGCGGAGGCGAAAGCAGATATAAGTAAGAGCGGTGGGAAATGTTTATGCTGATGTGTTCAAAGCGAATGTTGCTAAGCCCCGCACACGAGAGTGGCAAGAACGAAGCAACAGAGTTCTAGAGACGGATGACCTGAGCTGATGGAGGATCTTTGTTGAGAAAGGTTGGCAGAAGGCGAGAGAAAGATGGTGGGAGCAGGCCTATTTCAAGGCGTGGTGTCTGCCAAGGTGGGAGCGCACAGTGAGGTACAGTGCCTGGACGGTGGCAGCTGGTGGAGCCGAATGCATCGATAAGAGAGACATGCATGTAAGGCGTGTGGCCCCGTGTGGCATGTGGGGGTTGAGACAGGGCCTGCATGCAGAGTCGCAGCAGTATGCAGCAAGCGAGGCCGCACGAGCCACACGCTAGGCACCCTCGCGAGTATTTTAGCCTCTGGCAGCAGCCGCAAGCGTCGTACCCCGGGGGTTTTACTATCGCTTGGCTCTATACTGCTAGGCGACATGTCTCGCTCTGATTCAACTGCCTAACAGCTGCGACAACAGCTGTTTTCAATGACAGAATCCAATTCTGGTCATGCTAAAGAAGTCGAGCAACGGATCTGCTGCGTCACAATCCATTGTTTCCGAGAAAACGCCACATCCGGGGAAGACGAATGATGCTCGTCCGCACGCTCCGCGATGCTGATGCCAGTCTCCTAATCCCCGAACCGCGAATCAGTGTCGGTACCTCCCAAGCGAGGAGAGAAGAGGAAAACCACTCAACCGAGGAGGCGAAGTTAGGGAAGAGCCGATCAACTAACAACCTAGCAACTCTAGCTCACCTTGTTCTCTTGATAGAGGGGGCTTGTTAGTCTCGTGTTGCGCTCGGATCCAGACATCACATGCCCTGCCATTGGCTTATCGCTGCCTGCAACTTTTAACCTCTTTTTCCGCTCCGAACTAGGAGTTTTGAGGTGCAGTGCAGATTCGAGGCGCCACTACACAGTATATGCATCTATCGCAGACGCGCGGCCAATTGGGCTTGGCAATTGGCCCGTAGAATTTTCCCTGCGTCGCGGCGCTCCACCCAAGACGGTAAAGCCTAGACAACTTCTGCATGTCGCTGCGAGATTGTCAGTGCGACGCCGACGAGCCGACGCCTTCACCGGAGATCTCTTCTGCTAGGAGTATCCATCCATTACTTGATGGCTTCATATGTCGGCCGTGGTTGATGCTGACAATGCCGCTGCTTCGGCCGTTGAGATACTTGTAGAGCGGCAATGTTGTCGCCATCATGACTTTGCGATGAGAAACAGATGATCGCATGACAATGACAAAACGATGACGATGGCCGCTATGACCAGGATCCAGGCGTCGTGACGGACAACATCGTCAGAGACAAGTCAACTAACTCATGCCATTCGCATGCTCTACGATTGAGCCGCGCACTCACCATGCTGCGCTGCCCTTTTCGCATCCTCATGCGGCTCGCGCCAGAAAGGACCAGGAGCAGCGATAAGTCGTTTCGGATGCAAGCCGGCCATTGTCCCATGCGACAGACAGTAAGATTGACAGCCGAGCGAAGATGGGGATCAATTGCATGCCTGTACTTGCATGCATAGCCTAGAACCTGCTGGATCGAGCCATCTCGGCTCGGTTTGCTGGGGTCAATATCCTCATACAAGCGCGGACGGCCTGAGTAGCCATTACTTAATATCACAGATTGCGAGATAGGTAGGTCTCGAGCCGTGGTGCCAGTTTTTGCACGGTCACGCTACACACTTTTGCTCCCTCCAGCCTCCAACTCCAATTTAATCAGCTTATGCGGCTTTCCCGCACTAACTTTGGATCTGCAGCGGTTTGGCCAGCCAAAAGGGCAAATCAGACCAAGATGGAATGACGGCTGTGGCTGTCTACAGTAGAAGCGTCACTGGATGTCGCCCGGTGAGCTGCTGCAGGCATCGAATCCCGCAGAAATTGCGAGAAGAGACGCAGGCGCCAGCAGCAGACAGGCACCGGCTGTGGCCCACAAGCATCTGGATCTGCGCCAATGAATCACCCGGAGGATGTCCCCCGCCTCGTGCCCCTCCTCAATCTCTCTTCTGTCTCCCTTCCAGTCTTCCCCCGCCGCTCACCTTGGGGCCTGGAATGTGTCTCGAAACGCAGCGTGAGAGCAAACTGGCGGTCTGGTCGAGTGCTACCCCGGAAACAGCCAATGGATAGCTTGCACCTATTTGTGCTGAGATTCATCTAGTCTCACAGCCTCATGACCGGCTTCCCGTGCGGGTGTCGCAAAGGAGACGAGCAGACAGACCGTCAAACGCCAGACCCGGGACGCCTCTCCGACGACCTCGAACTTGGCGTGTGGACACTCGATGGCGCGGAGCCGAACCCTGAGGGCTTCCCACCCCCCCTCCACTCTTTTCCATCTTCTTCGATGGCCTCGGCGCCAGACAAGGAAAAAGAATCTTTCAAGGTGGAGAATGACCGCAGGCTTTATGCATCTATCCAGGGAGCGCTAGACAAAGACTTCATCTAGTTCCCGAGGACTGGGCCACACTGGGTGGAGCATCTTCAGCCAACGCGATATATAGGAAAGAAAGCGGAAAGTACTGATAAAGAAGAATCGAATCGAGGTATTGTTGGCCAAAAGTGGCTGAATTTGTGGCACAAAAGCTATAAATGACGCCTGGGCGCTGAGCATCCGATATTCTGGATCATTGGGGACGATAAGAAACCAATTCTTTGTTGTAAACCTCACGGGTCTGCAATTTTGATGCTTTCTCCCATCTGTTGTGAGCGGCAACCGGATGCCGACTATCGCCTCGCCGGTCTCGGGGCGCGAATCAACTTCGGCTATACCGACTGCAATGCATTGCGAATGGTGATCTTGCAACTCTGTGTTGCATTCAACATTATTTGGTTGCAACGGGAGTTTCAGTTGTAACAGTACACAGCCGTCGTTTGGCACTTATGCTTGTCCAATCGCAAAATGCCTTTTTTTTTTTCAAATTGTAATAACTGATAGGAGTTCATCTTAGGAGTCCTACTGTCCTAAAGGGAATGCGCGGCTCTGGGCGAGCAAGTCATGATAATTTACAGATAATACCGAAAGAAGATGGATTCACCCCCAATGAGGCTGGCTTAGTCTCCTGCCCTTTGCTGCTAAAGTGACGTTGTGGTAGCACGATTCTCCAGACTATTATGCTCCTCCATCTGACATATACGCAATTCATCGTTATTAACCAATACGTCTCTCTATAAGCTTCAATAAATAAGCGACCTGTGTCAATACTACAACTTCATGACCTCTGCAGACGTTACACCGCATATGCAGTGACAGTATCTAGGTTCCACAAAGCCTCCTTGCCAAACATTTCCTCGCAGCCCTCACAGTCGCTCACCTGCCTTGGCGCTGCCGACACCCATCTCTCCCAGCACAGACTTATACTTGTCCGCCTCCTCAATCATCTGCTCCATTGTCCGCAGATTGCGTTCTGCATCCTCAATGCTCGGCATCTTCCCCGCCGGCTGCGGTCTCCCATGCTCACGATCCCACAAGGCGCCTCCTACATTCGCCTCCTCGCCGGACAGCTTGACGTAAATCTCGTCTGCCGCCTCGCCCATGTCGCCCTTTCTGCGGGGGATAATGTGGACGTGCACGTGCGGGATCGTCTGGCCCGCGTCGGCGCCGTCCTGAAGCGCGACGGTGAAGCTGCCGGATGTGAAGTCCGACGGATCGGGGAAGTAGAGCTTCGCGAGGAGCTTCTGCGCGAGCTGCACGGTGGTGAAGAGATCTGTTGTCTCGGCGGGGGAGAGGTCCAGCAGGCGGCGGTGCGGCTTGAGCGGGCAGATGAGGATGTGGCCTGGGAGGAGAGGTTTGAGGTTGACGAGGCCGTAGGAATGGGGCGTTGTGAGGAAGACTTGCTTGGTGACCTCGAAGGGGCCGAATTTGATGTTCATGCCGTCGGTGTTGGTTGAAGTCATGACGCCTCTGACAAATGATGGTTTCTTGAGACAATCTAGTTTAGATGCTGTAGTAGGGTGAGCTGAACAACGTTGCTTGACAAGTTGGCTCGCTCGGAACAATAACAATCTATTCGAAGCTGTAAACCGTCCGAGTCATGTTAAAAGTCTCATACGTCAGCGAAACTTGAAAACGAGAGAGCCAAAGTGGCAGTGTATGTAAATTTAAATCCAGCTGTAACTAACCCGATCGATGAGCTAGACTTTGAAGAACTAGACTCATGAGTTTAAGAAGAGAAAAGTAAGCGAAAACTAACTGGCGTCTGCTAATTTAATATATAAGTGAGATGTGAGCGTGAGATTGTGAGACTTGTGAGATTTAAGAATGTTTGTTTTGGAGGAGCGGGGCCGAGTCGTCGATTTGATTAGTTTTGTTTTCTCTGCGATGTGGAGAAAAATGTCTCGGCTCGCTAGGATCGGTCGCTCAATGGCTGGTGAGAGAGCTTCAGTTTGCCCCAGCTAGTACCTAGGTAGGTAGACTGAATTGACTTATAGATGGGCTTCGCCTATATAAGGCTGAATGAAATACAGCTACATTGTACAGTTTATTTGGTTACCTTCTATCGTATATTCTAACATTACATATCGTGCCAAATCCCCTCTTCAGATGCAACAGCTGCTTGATACTTCCCGTATCCTTCCAATAAGCCAGTCAATATGTCCAATCGCTTTTGGATTATTCTCCTTGTAATTCTCGCCACTTGTCGAAGGAAATCATCTCCCGCACAGACCGCTACGCCGCAAACCGCTAAAGACACAACGCTTAAAGACAAAAAACCGCTTCCCAAGAGTGCACCGCCCGGTTCATCTGCATCTAAATAATCGCTTCCTCGTTGGCTGTTAGGAGGGCAGCGCTGTCGTCGAGACGCCTCGAGGGTTGACTTGGTGGCTGCTCATCCTGTTCCTCTCCAATTTCTTCCCAGTGGACTATTAAAAGTTTTGTTAGCATGTGAGAGACCACAAGAGTTGATATGGATATACATACTATGAGGCTTCAAGATAAAAGCACATGTCAGGCCAATGCCGAAGAGTCCAGCAAGCAGTACAAAGATGGCTTGTGGGAACACCCCAACTGTCATCGCATACAAGCCGTTGAATAGGACGGGCCCAACGACTCGTGAGAGTGCCTGCATGAACCCAACAGCGCCAAGAACCTGCCCAATGCGCGACGCGGGAACATGCTTGGTGACAGCTGCTTGGACGGTGGCGCTTCCTAGGCCTCCGAGGGCAGTGACCATTCCACTGGCAAAAAAGAGGTGTTGATTCCGAGAAAAGAGATATCCGAAGCATCCCAGCAAATCCGATGTCAAAGCAAATCTGAGAATCCAAACGTCTAGATTGTCCGCTCCAGAGTTTGCTTCTATGAGGGGTGCCCCGGACTCTCGTCGCCGGCGTGCTGCTGGCCGGATGCGGAAGACGTAGTTGATTATCGGGAAGATGGCCATCAGAACAAAGACACGGATCATGGACAAGGAGGAAATGAAACGAGACGTCTCAAAGTTGCCCCAGCCGAACATGTACTCGCTGTAGAGCATCAGCACGTTACCCACGGCCATCATGGACCCCATGATGATGGTATCAGCAACGGCTAGTGCGACCAAATTGATTCGGAGTCTTGAAGAGGTTCCGGGGCCAGTTGGCCACAAGATCTTGAGGGTCGCAAAGGGGTTATGAAGGAGGCGAGATGATGACCCCTCATTGCCGGCTTGCTCAGCTTCAGACCTTAGCAACTTCTCACGGGCTAGCAGCTGCCTTCGCTTTGAGAGGGACTCTGGCAACACGAAGCGGACAAAGAGAATGAAGAATGTGTGGCAGCCGAGAGCAACATAGAAGATTGAGATGAGCGTTCCAGTCCATTTGACGAAATAACCGGCCATGAGAGGGCCAAGAGCGAGACCGGTGAAGAGACAGGCGTGGATATAACCAATGGACACGGCTCTCTTGGATGGAGGAGTGCAGTCGCTAGTGTAGGACTGACTGAGAATGCTGCCAGCGGTAAAAGAGCCCGTAATGCCATCGAAGACAGCGCCGAGAATCATCCACCGGTAGTTGAATGTCTGAGGGTATTTGGCGCAGAGGATGGTAACAATCTCACTTAGAACACCACCGCAGGATGCAAGAGCCATCAGCTTTCGTCGGCCATAGCGGTCAGAGAGATGGCCCAGCTTTGGAGCAACAATGGCACTCAGACCACCGATGACGAGGTTGAGGGTCAGCATGAATTCAGCGACGTTTCGCTGAACGGCTGGAATGTTGCATTGCGGGTTGTCGGACCCCAATACGATGGGCTTATACGTGAATTGGGGGTCAGCGAGCTGTTCGTCAGCAAAGTATTGCTTGCAGACAAGATCTAAGATTCTGTATTATCGAGCAAGTATTATTAGCGACCTGCAAGCGGTTGACAGGATTACTCGATTATTGCTTACAAGTTGAGCTTGGGAACGATGATGCCGCCAAAAGCGAGGGTGAAGACGGCATAAGGACCGAGAAGCCAGAATACCTGCAATGCTTGTTAGGTCTTATTTGTATTGCGAACTGCACGTCGGCATCATAGGACAGCATACAGAGGGCCTGCGCCACCAGGGCAAATGCTGAAAATCAAGATCGTTGTCCCAACTGTCTTTCCTTGCTCCAAACCCATTAGTGCCAAGCAATTGGGATGTTTCTGTGAGGTCCGAGTTGCGATCGTCGATTTCGCGAACCGTCGGACTTGGACTCCGCCCGTCACCTCTCCGCTTCGGCCCAGCCATGTTGTGAATTCGATGCGTCTTCTGAGGCTGGAAATGATTGAGAAATGCCGACTGAGTTGATGCGATTCAAGGCGGCTTTGTCCGAGGGCGGGAAATTAAGTCGGGGGTTGCTGATGGCGGACGCGCTCAGCTCAGGTTGGGAAAGCTATCAAGTAGCTTTCGGAGTTGTGATGCCGGCGCAAAGCTTGACTCAGTCTCATTTCTCACTGGAATGAAGCTACTCGGTACTTTCCGCGAACAGAGGGAACGGCCATGTAGTATTATGTACAGATATATACACAAGAGGACGAGAAGGAGGTAGACAAGGTTCGGGAGGAGAGACGCGAGATGAGCAAGCCCGACGCAGCGATTTGCCTGGAGTCTGAGCTTACTATTACATGTCTAGCAGTCCATGCTGCGTCTCCCAGCAAACCGGGGCATGGGCTCTGCGCATTGATAAGGTATCGCTGGCGGGTGGATCCAAGGAAGCGCTCGCAGAAGCCCAAACACAAACCGCAAGCCGCCAAGTCTAATCTCAAGCTGCCGTCAATCGCGTGGACGCCCTTGAGTGGACTCGGAACCAGAATCCGGGGCCCAGGGGGGAAGGTCGACCAGGATTCGAGGGATGGCGCACCACCAAAAGTCCCAGCCTGCTGTCTGACGCCATGGTTGAGCCCGTGTCGACGGAGTTAGGCTGGTATAGATGACGCCTCCATATTCCAGTCGGTATCTGCAGCACCTCTGCCTTGTGTTTCTGCGACGCCATGCGAGCTGCAAAGCATGTCAGCGCGACCGGCCCTGATTGCTGCAACTCCGCGATTGCCTCTCCAGATGCCCGCAGGCCACGGCGTCGTTGACGGGGCTATTGCTGCTGCTAGTTGCCCAGCGCAGCCAGCAAATGCACGCATGCAGGCGTCGGCCAACCAATCTATGACGCCTGGCTGCTGCGAATGCCGTGCCTGACGGGGCTCTTTTCGATAACGAGCCAGCCACACCAACGCTCCGAAGCGCACAAGATGGTGCCCGGCCTCCAGTTCTCTCAGCCTATCCAGCCTATCCGGGTACCGCATCCCGCGAAAACGGCGGGGGCCAGCGATACGCTTGTCGATGAAGTGGCAGACTTTGCGACCGCGTCCGTTTAGCCGTGCTTTGGCGGTGCCAGGACTGGACTTGATGATGCTGAGCAGACGTAACTGGCCAATTCTGCGCTTTGTAATTCGGACTTTTGGGCCACCGGGAGTCCGAACTCCGCCTCCGCAGGCTAAGAGATGTTTTAGGTTTCAGTGGACTTTGCGCTATTGGATCTATAGATTCTATTGGGCCTTTATTGTATGCAGTATCTGCTTAGATAGACGTTTCAGGTGCAGATCGAAGCCAGTTGGCAAAGTGAAGAAGTACACCATAATAGCAGATACTGAACTCGGTGTTCTGCATGGAGATCAGTCTAGGTTTTTCTTCATATTTCCACCGCTTGGCGCGGCAGAGCAGAGCAGTGTGCGGCGTAGATTGATTGGTCGGGCGAAGAGTGAGACTGGAAAATTATCTTTTTGTTGTTTCAACTTTATCCATTTGGTCCAATCATCTGATAGCTGGCAGTACCATTTTACCGATGATAACTGTGGTTGGGCTCAGTGTAGGTTGAGGTACTCCATAATTCCTTCACTAACAGTAAACAAGAGGCTCTACGTGGCACTTCATGCAGGTCGCAGTATTTGTAACAACAGAGTAATCAAAAGCCACATTAGGCAAAACAAAGACACTTATTGGTGCCTCATGTGTACCTGACAGTTTGCATGACCGGGCAGCCCCTAGACTGTAATGCATCCTCTTAAGCTGAGACAAGCAAGCCATACACCTGGGTTGCCAAATCGGGCATCAGGTGAAGAATAGCGTAAGTCAACTATTAATGTAAAAAAAAAAGAGTAAATCGGAGCATTCTACACATTCCAGTGGTATCTATAAATTACAATTACTCCAACAGGCTCAGCCAAGAGTTGTGATAAAGTGCCCAATGATTCTTAGCCGAAAAAGTGACAAAAGAATACAAGCTTCTAAGCTCAACATGCGCTGCTGGAAAGCGTAATAGTCCGCTTCTAATTGGTAGTATATCCGTGGATCGTTATTTAAGGACTCATCTATAAGAAAGAATTCCCAACTGGTAGATGCCAGATACGCGTACATGTTATTTTTCTCTGCCCAGAAATGGCTGTAGTTTGTATTTACTAGGGTTCTGCGCTTGAAGCTCTGAGCCGCCAATTAGAAGCTGTGTACTGATGACTCAGCAATCTCACTTGCAACGCGGTATGGCTGCATGGCTGCAAGGCTCTGGCATATTTTCTGGAGCAAGCCGGCGGCGAACACGCATCAACCATCACCAATTTCCATCGCCGCCGCCACAATGCCGGTCGTCAAGGGAGGTGTCTGGACCAACATCGAGGACGAGATCCTCAAGGCGTCCGTCTCCAAGTATGGCCTCAACCAATGGGCACGCGTGTCCTCGCTGCTGGCGCGCAAGACGCCCAAGCAGTGCAAGGCCAGATGGAACGAGTGGCTGGACCCGAGCATCAAGAAGATTGAGTGGAGCAAGGAGGAGGACGAGAAGCTGCTGCATCTCGCCAAGATTATGCCCACCCAATGGCGCACCATTGCTCCCATAGTCGGCCGGACTGCGAACCAATGTCTCGAGCGATACCAGAAGCTGCTTGACGAGGCTGAGGCCCGCGAATCGTCTGGCCTTGGCCTTATGGGACCAGATGGCGGCGAGACGCAGGCTCCAAGCGCCGACGATGTCAGGAGATTGCGACCGGGAGAGCTTGACCCGGATCCGGAGACAAAGCCCGCTCGACCGGATACCATCGATCTCGACGAAGACGAAAAGGAGATGCTCAGCGAGGCTCGAGCTCGTCTAGCCAACACGCAGGGTAAAAAGGCAAAGAGAAAGGCCCGAGAACGCCAGCAGGAAGAGTCCCGTCGCCTTGCGACTCTGCAAAAGCGGCGAGAGCTTAAAACGGCCGGCATCAATATCAAGGTTACCACGCGAAAGCAGGGTGAGATGGACTACAACGCAGATATCCCTTTCGAAAGGAAGGCTGCCGCTGGATTCTACGACACCTCGGAAGAGAAAGTAAAAAATGACTTACAGCGTGCGGCATTCGATCCGAGAAAGCAACAGCTTGCTAGTAAGCGAAAAGGCGACGGCGACGAGGATAACGACCGCAAAAGGAGGAAGAACGACAAAGAGGGCATTTCAGAATCACAAAAGGCTGCTATCAAGGCGGGCCAGATGCAGAGGATTCGAGAGGCTGAACAAAGCAGCAAACGCCGTCCTCTGAACTTGCCAGCACCGCAAGTGGGAGATGGCGAGCTGGAGGACATTGTAAAGATGGGCAAAATGGGCGAGGCTGCCAACTCTTTGGCTAGAGAAAGCGACAACGATGCGACGCGAGGATTTGTCAACTCGTATTCGACGCTCAATTCAAATGCGCCGATCCGAACACCCAGAGCGCCTGCACAGGAGGACCACATTGCCAACGAAATCCGCAACATTCGGGCTCTAAATGACACACAATCTGCTCTTCTGGGTGGCGAGAACACCCCTCTTCACCAGGGAGCTGGCTCAACTGGCTTTGAGGGCATTACTCCTCGGAAACAGGTCATGGCGACTCCCAATCCTCTAGCTACACCCTTACGAAATGGTGGAGCGAACGGCGCCGCTCCTGGCCAAACGCCGATGCGGACTCCACGAGATACCTTTGCTCTCAACCAAGAGGACGGAATGTCAATGACAGGTGCAACCCCTCGAGACATGAGAAACAGGGAGATGGCCATGCGAAATCAGCTGCGCGCTGGACTGGCTGCGCTGCCCAAGCCGAAAGACACCGAGTGGGAGTTTGAGATACCAGACGAGCAAAAGGAGACTGCGGCTGCCGATGATGCCATGGAAGAGGATGCTGCTGACCGGGATCGACGAGAGCGTGAAAGAAGAGAAGCTGCAGAGGCGCTTGAACGGCGACGACGGACTCAAGTAATGCAGCGAGGGCTTCCACGGCCCGTAGTTGTCGATTTGAAGGACTTGATGAAGAGAGCAAAGGCGATTGATGATCCAGCCGCGGCGCTCATTGCGGCCGAGACGGCTGCTCTGATGGCTCATGATGCTATTAATTTCCCGCTGAGCGGCTCCCAAGTCAAGGGCAAGCCATCGCCTCTGGCCCAGATAGACGATGGCTCTCTCGCTGACGCCCGCCTCCGAATTATCTCGGAAACTAAGCCGCTGCCGAGCTTTGAGGATATTCAAGCAGCCTTTGAAAGCAGAGCCAATGGAGACTCTTTGCTTCTGGGTTTAGGCTGCTATAACGACGATGAGGATGAGCAAGATGCCGCTATGCGAGCTGCTTTTGACGTAAGTTTATCTTGAACCTCAGATCGGTTATTATCTGCCCACTGTGATACTAACCAAGCAAATGACAGGCTGTTCAAGACTCCATTATGACTTCAGCAGAGGAAGACGCGAAGCTCGAGAAGAAGCTCACGTTGCATCTGGGTGGATACCAGAAGCGGCAGAAGATGCTCAAAGACAAGGTGTCGGATGCGGCAGACGCCTTGGACAAGGCAAAGGTAGCTCTCAGCGGATTCAAGACACTGGCCATCAACGAGGATACAGCCATCAACCGACGACTGGCGTCACTGAGAGACGAAGTCAATTTTATTAGCCGAAGAGAGAGAGAGGCTCAGGAGGAATACCAAAAGGCCAAAGAAGAGCTAGAAGCTCTGCGAGCGGGAAACATTAACGGATACCATTAATTAGGGGACAACGCAATGAGTAATTTCATCTTTCTTGTTTACTACCATGGGGTAATTGAATGATTGGGCATTAAAAGAGGGGTTGCTGTACAAAGGAAATCATCAAGTAACTGTTTTTTTTTTATTCGACATATGCATTTTGACGTTATCATGCAAGAGTATCTAGGCTATGTACTCTTTTCTTTCCAGTCTTCTAAGCTATATATCTATATCATATGCATCATTTTCTCATTATCAAGCATTTCGCGACTTACGCTTCATCGGTGCTAAACGAGGCGTCTTCATCGGCAGAACAATCAACACCGAAACAGCAGCCAGCACGGTGCAGAAGATAAAGGTCAGTCTTAGCGACGCCTCATAGCTACGTATCACTTGTTCCCTGTACGGCTCTTCCAGCTGAGCGACAGCTTCGACAGACGCCCTGACGCGCCTAATGATTTCCAACTTGTCGTCGCCGCGAACGAATTCATTAAGATAGTACACCAGCCCATTCTGGATGACGAGGCTGCTCAGCGCAATACCGAGCACTAGACCCAAGCACCGCCAGAGGATAAGTGTGCTCGAGACGACGGCCTGCTCGGCCTGCTCGCCGCACGCGAGGATGGCGATGAAGGTGCCGGGGAACTGGAACCCCTGTCCGATGGCCTGGGGGATGAGCACGAGGAGGTAGACGATTTCGGGCATGCCGCGGCGGAGGAAGCAGAGGGTGATGTTGCCGAGGAGGTACCAGACGGTGCCGGCGAGCACGGGCCACTTGAGGCGGCGGGTGTAGGTGATGGAGAGGCCGGTGAGGGCGCCGATGATGGAGGCGACGACAGAGGGGATGACGAGGCGGAGGCCGGAGGAGGTGGCGCTGGAGAGGAGGACGGCTTGGAAGTATAGGGGGCTGGATGTACGTCTTTAGTTTGAAAAGAAGGAGAAGAGGGGATTTTTTTTCTTACATGTTGAAGCTGATGGCGTTGGCGAGCACGGCTGCGATGAAGTTTGCAAAGATGAGGTTTGCCCGAGGGGATTTCTGGATGAGGTGGAAGGGCATGATGGGCATGGCGGCGCGGGTTTCGAACCAGAGGAAGGATGGGAAGGCGATGGCTGCGAGGGAGAGGGCGGTGAGGACGACGGGATGGGTCCCTGTGAGATGATGAATGAGATTATGTTGGTTAAGAAGAGGCAGATGCTGGAAAAAGGGGGGAGTGAGGAGGATGCTTACATGGATAGATGTTGCCGCCAAAGCTCTAAACAGTGAGTGAAATGGATTATTAGCTTCATTTTCTCCATCACATTGTTTCCACAAGAGATTAAAGAGCAAAGAAAGAAGAATGAACGACTTACCAATCCCAAAATCGCAGTCGTCGTCGACACCGTCAACAAGGCCGAACCCCCAAAGTCAAACTGCCGCATCGCGTCAAAGATGCCTCGCCGCGGGCCCTGCAAACCAATATCGTCCGGGATCACCACCGCCGACATGGCCATGCACAGGAGCAGCGGCGGGACTTGGACGCCGAATTCCCATCGCCAGCCGAGCGCTTCGGCCATGGCGCCGCCGAGGGCAGCTCCGAGGGCGGAGCCGGCGCCGAAGTTTGCGGTGACGTAGGATTGGTAGGTGCCTCGGCGTCTGTATAAGTCAGTTTCACATTTCCTCCGAGTTTATCATCTTATTAAGTGAGAGAGAGAGGACATACTCTATCGGCACCAAGTCACTCGTGATGATGCTCCCCAACGCACCCACCCCCCCAGCACCGAGCCCGCAAAGCGCCCTCGCCGCAATAAAGCTCTCGATACTCCCCGCCAAAGCACACCACATGGTCGCAAGCGTGAAGACGCCAATGCTGGCTACAAACAGGGGCTTTCTGCCTACCGCATCGGACAGCCTGCCCAGCAGCGGCTGAAACGTCGTCGACGTGAGTAAGAAGGCCGTGGAGAGCCAGGAGGCCGAGTTGGCTGCTTTGAAGTGCGATGTGATGACCGGGTGGGATGAGGCCATGAGGGTGCCGTCGAAGGCGGCCATGAACTGGGAGATGAGGATCTGGGCGAAGATGAGCCAGAAGCGGGCTGGGCAGGTTTCGCCGAGGAAGATGAAGGATTTGGTGGTGGAGGTGGCTGAGGCGGTGCTGTTGCGGCGGGGGAGGAGGGGGGAGCATTCGGTGAGGGGGTTTGTGTCGTCGTTGTCGTTGTCGTTGTATTTGATGTGGTTGTTGCTGTTGAGGTCGTTGTGGGTTGTGAGGATGCCTTCTTCATCGTCTATGAGGCGACTTATACTCGTGTCTGTGTCCGAGTCTGGACCGGACTCGACTTGAGGCCCCTCTCGAGCCATTTGGAAATGGCTTCGGCGCTGATATAGATCTATTCGATCTTATATCTTTGACTTGAGCCAACTGAGAAGGGATGCGAGGAGAAACCAAAGCTCCTTTCTATTGATTCTTCAGAATGTTGTTACGGGGAATTGTTTGAAAGAGGGAGAATGGATATTTGTCGGTGGGAATCCTGCTAGCCGCCCTCTTAAAGACACAAACTCCATATATCGGAGCGAAAAAAGGCCATGCAAGCGCAAAAAGATGCAAGGGGCGTATTCCGTAGAGTACTGTAGTAACCTCGCATCTAAAAGTCTGGGTGTAAGTGCGGGCGGATCTCTCGTATCTCGTACTAACAAGGATGGCCTGTACACGGCAAAATAGAGAGAAGCAAACAAAAGATTTCCCCGCAAGTGTGAAATCTCCAACTTGAAAAACAACACAAAAAAGAGATTTATAGAGCTGAATCTTCTCGGGCCGTTGTCGCAGTTTGCTCTTTTGCTTTGTCGGTGTAAGCCCGCGCCGTCGCAAGACATCAGCAGCGGCTTGTCGCTGCACGCACTGCAAGTTTGACGGTCAGATGCACCCGTCCCGCCGCTAATGCTGCTCGACCCCTACAGCAACCCCCCCGGGGAAGCGGGCAGAAATATGGAGAGAGCAGATTTGAAGGTGGCTGCGCCCGCATTGGCTGGAATATGCCGTGGGAAAGAGGTCAAGTGCCCTATGACGAGGTGAAATAAGCAGGGGATTTGGGCTTGGACGCATTGGCTGGGATGCGGATGCGCAGGGTCTGGCCCGCTAATCCTGGCAGAGCGTGCATGTGCATCCTTACTGAGACTACAAGTAGAGCGATCTCGCAGTTTCGTTATTGGAGCGATTTCGCGGAGAGGAAGGGTGGGGGAGAGGTATATTTGAGATTAGCTATATTCTTACTCATTGGGGCAGTGGCCCTATCGTCTTAGGTGATGAGGCAAAGAGGCGAAAAGGGGAGAATTGAGTGCTTGTGCCGTGTATGACAGATTGCGTGAGAGGCGTCAAGGTGCGCCAAAAATGTCTTCAGCTTTCCCAGCTATTTGGTCAATTCCAAGTTGGTACAATGAGATTTAGCTGGGGTTGTTACCTGTTAGCGTCATGCAACATTTCAGTGCCAATCAGGAATAATTCGTTCAGCCATCTGGATATATAAGGTATATACGGATATATACAGGGTATATGAGTAGATATAGGTAAACGCAGACTGCTTCCCAGATCCCTCACATCGTCCCCTCATATGCCTGGATTCGCTCCACATGCTATTCTATCTCGTCATGACAAGCTCGTATCTCTAGCGCTCAGTAATCCACGCTGTGCTTTGCAAGTAAAGGAGAAAGGGGCAAAGTAAATAAAAATAACAGGAAAACAAAGACACTCGTTCGCTCACGCCTCTGACTTCTTACTCGATGACGCCTCCGCAACCACCAGAATGCCCGCTCCCGTAACACCGCCATCGTGGCAAGGCCTCAGCACTACCCGCAGCCGGCTATCGCTCCCAAACCTGCGGGCCAGTAGCTCGTCCAAGAATTGCTGGCAGTCGGCAAGATAGTCTTGAAAGTGCACGATGCAGCCACCGGTGTAACCCACGCCGAGCTCGCGAATGGGAGAGCTCGAATCTGCTGTTGCTGCCCTATCTTCGGGTAGATCATCAGCTAGTGTGAGCAGGGCGATGATGGCAGCGGCGATTATTCCTGAAGCGCGGACTTCAATGGCCTTTGCAATGTGGTACAGTGCCGTGGCCAGGTCTTCTGTCCAAGTAAAAGAAGACTTTGCATCTTCAGGGACCTGCTGTCGTAGTTTTTCCAGCAAGGCAGAAGGTGGTTGGAATGGCTTGTAATGGCTCAAGAACGTCGTTGTTACGCTCTCTTTCTCTAGAAGCCTCTGTGGTAATGTCTCAGTAGCGACCTTCAACTCATTAATTAAGTAGTCAACCAAGATGATTCGAGCCAGCTCGCCCAGGTAACGCCCCGCGGTCATGTATTCCAACGGCTGGAATCCGGGTCTCTCATTTTGCAAAGACAAGACATCGTCCCATTTCGTAACTAGATTCATTTCCTTCATCGGCGGCAGCGAGCCATTGATGCTCCACTCAGTGTTGACTGCAATCTTGGCATCGGCCACACTCTCGCCTGGAAGGACGCTCACTGTCTGCGGCCGTTTACTGGGATGCAAAAGGTCCAGCTTCATGGGTATCGTAGCGTTGGTTCCAGTTCCCAGAATGATAGCCATGGCGGCTCGTCGATGCTCTGTGCCGCCGTAGCTGAAGAGGCACGATACAAGCGTGGAGACTGTGTCGTTGGCGATGGCAGTGACTTTGACAGGCGGCAGCTCAGACGTTCGGTACCTTTCGTAGCCTTGTTCGATGTGGGCGCCTAGGTCGATGCCGGATGGTAGAGCAAATCCCTTGCCCATGTCCTTTAAGAGGGCGTGAGAGACGGATCGCTGCTCCATGGGAAAGCTAAAGGTGACGCCAAGGGGTACAGGCTCATCCTTGGATATGTCAAAGACTCTGCAGCCCTCCTCCACAACTTCGGCTATGCATCTTCCAACCCATGAGAAGAGGCTATCGGCGTTGTCATTCTTGAGGTGATGATCTATGGGCCATGATTTCTCCAGTGGCCGCTGGATACGTGATGAAGGATCTTGGGCATCGCCATGCAGCTCGACGAAGCCAACTCTGAGATTAGTTCCTCCACTGGATGGATTCATATTAGCATTCTGTTCAAACATACAAGTTGCAACCAGTCAGCAATTTCGAAAAGGCCGCCTCACATGTCTATTGCTAGATGCCTATCAAACATTCACTCGTCAGCTTTGTGTATCTTGTGTATCTTGCAATGATCATCACCAACGCTGCAGCCCTTGGCTTGCTGTACTGTGAAACAATTCTCATTTTGGGTCAATGCATCACTCACTGTCCAGTCCCTTGATCAGAAAGATGCCTCAGAATCGACTCGGATATCGGCGTGGGCAGCCATTGGTCCCTCGAATCCGCAGCCAGATCCCTGAAATTGGCCAGAAACTTGCGCGATAGTTCGTACGATCTGTCGACATCGATACTCAGCGGCTCCAAGAACCGGTGGATATCTGTTGCAGAGGCCATGGCTCCAACTTTGCGAAACGCCCCAGTGAAGTCGAAGAAAAGACGCTTATGACGGAGGTATCATGATAACAGCGGCAGTAATTAAAGAAAAGCACTGGCTGCTTTATAAGGAAATAAGAGTTCGTAGTTCGTATAGCAATTCACCGCCGGAGATCTTAATCCGAGGCAGGATGACAGCTGTTCACCTCCCTTTATAGGATGGGCTGATAACAAAGTAGCAGCGTAGTCGTGTTTGAAGTAAAGGTGGCAGTGATGAAGGGTTTCCCCCCCTTTGGGAAGAGCAAAGCCGGCCGGATTTTCTAGTGGACGTTGCCTTATTGGTGCTATCTTGGCGGGATGGGGCCAGCTTGGCGGACCGAATGGTTGCCGGGACGTGCTTTTTCTAGAAGGGCGTTCAGGCCACCCACCAGTTTGCAGCTAAAACGCACCATGTGCATCTACATGCATGGGGTTCTCTGACTGAGCTACAACGTAAATTTCATAATACTGATGGGACAAAAGTTCGTTGTCTCAACTGAAAGCGGTATTACAATTCGAAATCGTTAACTCAAACTGACTATACAAATCCGATGTTACGTCGCATACTCACAAACGAACCCTACCAGCTGCCCACTTGGTAGCATCTAGTGCCCCATTCTATATATAGCGCTGAGATAATATAGTCGATACATGTAAATAGCCTTGCTTGTAGTAGGCAAAAGAAAAGTAGAAGGACCCTCCTCTCGTATTACGATGACTGTGGAAGCAATCTTTGCCTTATTTGAAGCGGTTGTTACACTCCTCTTATCGGCAAAGAAGGGTTTGTTGTACATACTAATAGCTTCTACCAATCATCTGATTGGAATAACAGCTGCCATATTCATCTAGACTACGATATGTAATACATATCCTAGTTGCTGCAACTTTAAGTCACGAGTTACTGAAACGCCCCAGTTCCCAGATCCCGGGTAATAGTGAGGTAGTATGCTGCCGTTGTAGTGATTAGGACTTTACCTCTCTGAGATGCACTCAAAAAGAGCCGCAAAAAGAAAGAATACGCACAGTGAACAACGAGTAATTCACGAACGATGTATAATCCATATTAATATTCCTGATGAAAATTAAACTAACCTCTCTTGTATTGTCTGCGTGCAAACAACAGTGATAAGCTGAGAATAAGCAGCAGAATACTTTGCATATGGCAGTGAGGCAGCGTCCAAGGACTGGTGTACGCTCTTCAAGTTGTCTGTGTTGAAGCTCTCATCTAATTAGTTGTCTCATCATTTTGAAAAATAGTGAAGGTAATCATCAACTATCGTAATCAATTCAACAGCGAAATAAGACTCTCAACATCTTGGTGCCTCGGTATCCAGATACTTCGGTACCTCGACACGCGACCCCAAAAGGTCCCTGCGGAACCGCTCTATTCGGACTAGCGCCATCACCAACCACGCAACCGCTCCTCACCATGACGCTATGCCGTCCGACCAATCTCGTCGCAGCAGCTTCGCGCGTGAAGCTATACTACTGCTAAAGCTTTCAGCTCTTCAAACTACGTTCAAGCATCGCCATCATCAGCGTGCCATCATTTTGGATTTTATTGCTCTTGCGAACGAATATCACGAAGTTTGGATACCCGCATCTTTATCCCACCTACGCTTCAACGACTTTCTCCGCCACTTCAGCTCCCTCCATCACCGCCATCCCGACCTTCATTATGGATGAAAAGCACCAGCAGCTGCCGCTTCCGCAGCCCATGAACATGAATCCTCCTCAACGTGTGTCGATATTCGCCAAGGCGCGCCGGCTGCTCCTGATTGCAGCTGTTCTGATCGCGAGCTTCCACTTGGTCGCTGTGCCATTTATGCCGAAGAGCTTCCTTGAGTGCAACCACGGTAGCACGACAAAGGCCCTCGTCCCGTTCGAAGCGCACATCATCAGCAAATGTCCTGATACCAGAGTACGCAACAACTTTACGCAAAGATACTCTTCTCTTCTGTTAGCTGACCATGTCTTCTAGCATGCCCTTCGTAACCTGATCCTGCCCGCGATGCAAAAGGTCCACGACAAGGTCGACTTCCAGTTGTCATACATTGGCAAGTATGTCAAACCAACCCTCTATCAGCTTGTATAACCTTTCATATCTAACATCCGCCATCCAGGCCCACCGCTAACGGCGGCGTCGAATGCAAACACGGTCCCTCCGAGTGCATCGGCAACATCATCGAACTCTGCGCCCGCGAGCTCTATCCCGACCCCAAGATCCATCTTGGCTTCGTCATGTGCCTGACCAAGGACTACCCCCAGATCCCCGATCGCGCGCTCATCGAAGACTGCGCTCTCGAGCATGCCATCGACTTCAACAAGCTCAACGAATGCGCCGCCCGTGATGAGACCGCCCACGGCATTGAGCTGCTGCGAAACAGTGTCCAGCGGTCTGCTGAGGTATGTCTCTATAGCATTTGCTAAAATCGAGAAAACTCCAATAATCTAACAACTTTATAGGCCAACGTAACCATCAGCTGCACCATCCGTCTCAACAACGAAATCTACTGCATTCGCGATGATGACCAGTGGAAGGACTGCCCCAACGGCCCCGGCGTCAACGACCTGGTCCTCGCTATTGAGAAGCTGTACCACGGCTCGTCGTAAGCGGCTCGAATATTCCCGTCCATAGCTCGCTCGCCTCGCCCAACGTGTAGCTCATCGATAGTGCATCCATACCCGCCTCGTCGTCTCCCCCCATGATCTTCAGTGTCTCTATAATGCTGTCAAGGCCAACAGCCTTGCCCGTGGCTTGTGTGGCCCCGGCCTCTAGGGCAACATGAACAATATGTATATGGAAGTGGTAATAGGTCGGTTGATAGTGAACATAGAGCTTCAGCTGGTTCTCCTCGATGCTTGGGTACGTCTTTGTTGTGGCGTCGATAACCTTGGACTTCATGTGCTGTAGCCATGGGATGTGCTTCTTCTGCAGGTCTCGCAGTGACCAGATATCCCGCCGCTCAACCAGCGCCAGCAGATGCAGACCTTCGAGTGTCTTGCGGTCCCAGTTGAGGTCTGGTATGAGCAGGAAACCTTCATCGCCAGCTTCGCCAAGCTTAGTTCTGTATATAACGTCTTCCACCTCGGTTCTGCCTTCAATGATGTTGAATACCCAGTTTAATCTTCCCTCCTCTCTTTTAAGCTGCATAAACGGTCGGATGTGATTCTTGTAGATCTCCGGTGTCTCGGTAACGAATCGGACGGCCTGCTTGCTGTACTTTTTGACATGTGCCTCTGTGCACGGGTATATCAAGTTGATTTTTAGATCCGCAAAGAAATCGACGCCGTTGTCGTGTCCGTTGTCCGCCTCGGGCTTGATCTCCTCGTCCACGGATCCTGTCCTCGCCATGCTCCACGAGTAGATGTCGTTTGCGCCCAGATTTCGCAGCCGCACAAGCGATGAGGGCAATCCAGCAAGATAGGCCTTTGATGTGGGAAACGTCGCGCGCTCGACGACCATGACGGCGGGCTCATTGTCGATTGTGCCGTAGAGGGAGACGCGGCGGCCGGCTTGGTCTACGTGGGAAAATTTCTGTTAGCTAACAAGACGAGAGAATGTGAAATTTTATTATTGAGCACAAGACTGGCTTGATAAGTTGCTATTTCGGCAGTATCGAAGGGCTATTCAGTCCATAGGCAAAATATGCAAGTGGAAGCTTACCTTGGTTGAGCACCTTTTCAAGCTTGAATTTGGGCAGCGCTGCCTCAGCCCGAGCCTTGAGATCAGCCATTGTGCGACAATGGTCGAGAACACTTGGGAAGTTTCGCAGGGAAATTGAATGCCAGTGACAAGGCGATGGAATGGCGCAGTTATTATCTCAAAGTCCAGATGAAAAGCTGCAACCCTCGGGAACAAAATCGAGTGTTGGTGGATGGAGTTGGAAATGACGGCTGCTACACAGCTGGAGCTTTTGAGAAGCTCGAGAACCCCTCCTTAGCCTTCCGCCAACAACGCCCCACGACAAACGCTAGATAGACACCAAGCACTATTTCACTAATACATGCACATGTACATTGGAAACTTCAATACAACGACTATCACTACGAATAAACGTCAAATAGCAGTAATACATATAGTGAACTAGCTAGAGCGCTGGATATTAGAACTGGGATGCTGGACTTTTCCTTTATTTTATCAACGTGATGAAGATGACTTTGCCGATTGAGAACTCTGTGACGGATTCACTACACGTAAAGTAACTACATACACTCCCTCTCTAAGGTTTGAGAACAGATACATACCTGTCTATGAATTACCTGTGCCTGCGCCAGCTTTTTCGTCAACTGCTCATTTTCCTGGGCTTAAAGTATAGGACTCGGGCGATAATAAAGACTGCGTGCCATTCTCCATTGCGCTAGGGCGTCCGCTTAGCCTGTGTGGTGATGGAGCGTTTAAGTGTTTTGGGCTGTTGTTATAAATGGAGAGTTAGCCGGTTGAGGCCTTTGGGTCCCTGTCGCCGGATGGTGGACGCATCTTTATCGCAAATTGAATCTCAATATCCGTTAATTCACGAATTGATGGTAGCGTTAAATTCTGGCTGCTGTTACTATCGGTTTTGGGAGAATCTATTTTCAACGGAGCCAGCTCGCCGGACTCGGGCGATAATAAAGACTGCGTGCTATTTTCCATTGCGCTAGGGCTATTGTTATAAATGGAGAGTTGGCAGGTCGAGGCCGTTGGGTCCCTATCCTGGCTGTGGTAAGGCGAAGGCGAGTCGAGCGCTAACGCTTTGGCAGCAAAAGCTTGGAGATGATGTGTGCTATCGCTTTTGGCGTCTTGAGGGACACTCTTCTGGGAGTTATCTTTGTCTTCGGTGGTTTTAAGGTTATCTCCGCCGGGTAGCGCCTGGTGGCTCGCGGTATGTTCCATCTCGGGATTACGACCTTTGCCAAGATAGGAGATGAGGACAGTATCACCAGATACAGGTTGGAGCTTTGGGCGATTAGACTTAGCATTGCCGCCAATAGGAGGAAGACTAGCTGAAGCAATTGGGAAATCCCAGGGAGGGCTCTCGGTTGGTTCGAGTCTGGGATGCACGGCCTTAATCTGAGGAGAGCCTGGGTCCCCATACGGGTCTATCGGATCATAGTCGTGGTATTGTCCTAGCGGCGGCTGTGGCGATCGCGGTGACTGCATCAAACGTTCCTGGTATTGATCTTGCCGCTGCCTTTCAGCTTGTTGGCGCATTTGGATCTCTCTAGCTTGAGCCTGCTCACGCTTAACCCTCTCCATGTATGCTTGTCTCTGAAGACCTTCTGCTGCAGCTTGTTGCGCGCTCTGCAGTTGCAGCTCTAAGAGCCCAATCTCTTCCAACTCTTGATTCCCATCATCTGTATCTTTCTCAGTGGTGAATGATAGAGAACTTAGATGAGATAGTCTTTCTAGGTCAGCATCTTCGGAGTCGGCGCTGTTTCTCTCATCGGTATCAACTGAGTTGCTTTTGATGTCATCATACAGATCCTCGCCATCGCTCTGCAGAGCTGCGAACCGGAGTGTCAAGAGCATTAACACTTGCAAATGTGCCGCTATATGTCGTGCTACAGCGTTTGAATGCTCTTTTCGTCTTCGCTCATCTAAATCTTCGTTGTCTGAGTCAGAAGAAGTGTCTGACAAGTCAAAATTCGAAGTATGATAACCAGGGCTTGTCATCTCCAAATTCGCTCTAAGGCTTTTGGTAACCTTTTGCTTTTGCTTTCGTCGCCGTCGTTTAGAACCAGTTGACGCATCCTTGTTGTTACGCTCGTCTATTGTGAAACAGCACAGAAGACAGTCATTCCGGGCTCTTTGTTGCTCGACTTTGCTCTGCCGTGAAATAGCCTGAAGCTCTGTAGCGGAGAAACCATCATCATGAGACTTAGTCAAGTGCAGGTACAGGGCGTTTGAGTCCGTATATGCGTTATTGGAGGGTCCACAGAGGGGGCACACCCAGCTAGATGTTAAGTAACTCTTTTGGTACCATCGCCAATCATGAAGCTCCATATGCCTATGCCACTGGTTAAACGTTGGATAAGCCGAGTGCGCATCCAAACACTCTTCAGATAGGCAAACGTAAGGTTTAAGGTCTTGATCTATGTGCTGACTACATGTGAGAAATGTTAGCATCATGCATGTTTAGTGCTAATGTCTGTTCGCGTCTCCTCGAAAATCATGGATATTGCTCTAACAAAGAAATGTAGGCATAGAAAAGAATCTTTATGATACGATAATCTTCCACATATGTGATAATAAAACAGATGACACGTACCGCCAGTCTGTTTCTGAGAGATTATTCTTGTTTAATGGCTGACCACACCATGAACATGCGAAAATACTGTTGTTTTCGTCTGTTCTAGGCAGCTGTGGATAGTTGCCCTGTTTGACTTGAATCGATGATGTTTTATACAACTTTGTCGATGCTTCATCAGGCTGCCTACCCCGACTCATAATTTGTCGAGGGTCAACACTGGACGAGTCAGATACAGTAGGGGCATTGCGCCCCCCTCGAAAACGAGATACAGCTGAGTGCAGTACCTTTTCCGAAGATGGAGTCATATGCACATCAGTCTGTGCCTCGTCGCCAGGTATCTCTTCAATTGGTGGAAGAGCTCCTCGGCGGGTCTTAAGATTCTGATTGCGAAAACTGGAAAATGACATTTTTGCATATCTGCTAATCATCGACTCGCTAAGATAGTCTTTGAGAGGCTGGCTAGCACCTGGATATAAAGCCTGTACGGCGTTGACGCATAAACATGCGAATGAATCCATATTTGGACCTGCGGCGAAATGTTTAGCTTTCATGTCGATTTTGCTAATGCTTGACTGGCGAATAGTAATCCCTAGCCGATTTAATCGAGTGATAGTATTGTCTATCGTTTCCAAGGCTGTTGTCTGCATTTGAGAAGCTCCATGCGGATTTCCATTGTCGCTCGTCAACACCAACCGCCTCTCTGTCTGTTTGGCCGTTTCGGCTAAACAGTGCTGCAGGCTCTGTAGACTGCGGCAGAGGATATCCAATAATCGAGCAACAAGATCTTGAAGGTCTGGGAACTTCCGGAGTCTTGTATCTAAGCACTGGCTCTTTCGAGCAAAGACTCCGAGATAAGCCGTCCATATAGCGAAACGTTGCTGATATTCAGAGCATAACTCTACAATTAAACCCTCTGGTTTTGCTTTCTGGAGAGCTTGGATTAGTTTATTGAATTGACTTTCGCACTCATAGGCTAAAGTATAAAGAAGATCTTCGCCGTTAGAGTTCAGCGCCATGGTAAATATTGTACAACAGGTGTCTTGGTGCAAGACGTTTGAAGATCGTAGAATGAGTGAGGTAGATTATCTAACATGTAGTTTATATGAATAGGACGGACACATGTAATCTGTATTTCTGAAGCGGGGAAGCTACATGTAAAGCTACATGTACATAAAATGTCACCTCGCAACCTAATTAACCCAATAAAACGATGGTACAACCTCATGTACCTAAGGTACAGATGACACGTACCTTACGTACAATTATAATTGGTAGGATCTGTGATACATTTGATATCTCTAGATGGTAGCGATTAACATTTTATATCCCCGCACGGCATCTTATTCCTCCGTGTCAACTCCGCACCGTACTATTTAACGCGTCGATTCAATCGCTATAAAGTTTGTGATTGCCATCAGAGAGTCTTGTGAAATGCATCTACTTTCTGATTCGCACGAATGGTCCTTGATTCGAAAGTTATCGGAATGGCTGAGCCAAAAGAAAGCACCGTATAAGTACCGTGGAGTACCCATGAATGAGCACAGAGACAGTCACCCTGACGCTGCATCTCTCGAGTTCGAGCTCCGCCATACCTTCTTAACGATCGAGAATTTCCCCTCATATCTGAGTCCAGAGAAGTTTGAAGATTTCCGAAAAGTTATAAAACAAATTTGTTCGTTGTTGGACCATCTTGCAGCGCATCAAAGAACCCGCGATGACTCCAAAGGCGGAGAGTACCATCACTTAGAAAAATTGATAGGACTTCTCAACCCAAAATGCGGCGCAGTAGACTTGGTGTATGGTCATGGAAAAAGACTTTTTGAGCTTCCCAATGATGCTGCTAAGCTTCACGAATGCCTGATCGCTCTTACAAAGTGCAATGACACTCTCAACGGGCTACTTGCGCCTCCTCCTCTGAACTCAGTCATACAGCCATCGCGAAAACAGCGAGAGAAAACGCCATGGAAGAAGGGCAGAATACGAGACCAAGCCATATGTCTTTTTGAAACTTTGTTCAAGCACTTCAAGTGTGGGATACCGCATGAGGTCTTGTTAAAGCTCATTGAGACCCCGAAAGAAGATTTAACAATACCAAATTTACAGTTGATGCTCCCATCTTGTCCAGAGTCAAAATCGTGGCAAGAAGTCCAATACAACAAGGCCGATATGTAAGTCTGAGCTTCCTGAAATCCTGTCTCCTTGCTTATCTGCTTACATGGTTTGCAGAGACGACGATTCAACCTCACTTATTGCTGATATTTGTACAGATGTCCACCAATATGCTGATCGAGGAAGGGCCTTGATGCTATATATTAAGGAGCATAGACTATACGGTGCCAGGGCAGATCCTGTCTTCTCCGGGATAGGCCCGTCGCCGAAGGATTCCCTTGACCAACTTATCAAGATTGGTGCATTTAAGAGACTTGAGGTCGGAGACTTCAATATCAAACCGTCATCAGTGAAATTCAGCATTATAGACAAGCGAAAACTTGCCGTCAAATTCGGATACTGCCTAATGGATTTTTTCGACGCCAACTTCGCTTCAAACAGGATCCATTTCTTTGGCTCGTCAAAAGCAAGTCTCATGGAAGTTGCGTACCTAGCATTTGATTCAAAGTTTCCGACCGCAGATGATTCATACAATTTTCAATTGGGCCATCCCACGTTCTTATCTTTTGCGAAACTGTTGATAGAACTGGAATTAGGCGGCATTATGGAGCTAGAGGTCAGCCCAGATAGTAGTCAAAATCTTTTGGCGTGGGCTAGGCTTATGAAGTTTACGGACGAACTCGAAAAAGAGACAAAGGATTCCTATCGAGAAGCTATTACGAGCTGCTTACTCTTTCATAAAATGGTGGACTTTGGCGATTCTGATAGCCAGGATGCAGACACCATTAGACGAATAATATATGAACAGATTGTTTATAAGCTCGAATGTGGGCTGAAGGAATCGATGCCTAGATCGAAACGGCAACGGTCAGAGTCCCCGCCTGTTCTCGACCCTCAGGATACAGCTCAAACCGAGGACTCTGGGAAAATGTCAACAAACTTTATAGACTCTCAACGCGCAACGCTTAGAAACAAAAGACAGCGTGGCTTCGAATTCCGGCGACGGTCATTTTTTGCTTGGAGAGAAACTAATAGCTCGCTTGAGAATGGTTTCCCGAACCTCGAATCGACGGCGAGCCTCGATCTGCCCAGCAGCCGTGATGACTTCGAAATCGCCCTCATTTGTGCGCTGCAAATAGAATCCGATGCTGTTGAAGCTCTCTTTGATGAGTATTACGAAGACTCTTTATATGTCAAAGCACCAGGAGATCCAAATGCCTATACTATTGGGAAAATGGCCGGACATAATGTGGTGTTGGGGTTTATGCCGGGCATGGGCAAAGTCAACTCGGCCAACGTAGCGGCAGGTTTTCGCATGAGCTTTCCCAACATCAAGCTTGGCATTGTCGTGGGTATCTGCGGAGGTATACCGGGTGGAAGAGATGGCGAGAATGAAGTGCTACTTGGTGATGTTATCATCAGTAACGCACTGAAACAATATGACTTTGGCCGACAATATGATAACGGAACTGTAGCGAGAAATACTCTGGAAGACAACTTCAGCCGACCAAACACGGGAATCCGCTCATTTCTTTCCAAATGTTCGGGATTAAGGGGCCGAAAAAGATTAAGAGAAAAGACATCGTCTTACCTTGATGATCTCTGTGCAAAGGACGATTTCAAAAAATCTTCATATCCCGGCGCCGACAAAGACGTACTTTACCGTTCTGATTACCGCCATAAACATCGCGACCCAAATGTTTGCAACGTCTGTGCGAACTGCCAGAGTCCATATGATGAGGTGTGTGATGTCGCGCTAGAGTCTTCATGCACTGAACTGGGTTGTGAAGATGGTATGATAGTATCTCGGGGTCGTGTTGAGCAGGCGAAGGGCACTACTTCTAGCACAGCTACACGCAGAGATGACGAGACTAGAGAGGCACAGAAACCCTTTATTCATTTTGGCACAATTGCCTGTGGAGATTCAGTCATGAAATCTGGGCTGCGGCGCGACGAAATCGCACTGAGAGAGAAAGTAATTGCGTTTGAAATGGAGGGCGCTGGGGTTTGGGACAGTTTCCCCACCGTTGTTATCAAGAGCGTGTGTGACTATGCGGACAGCCATAAGAATAAAAAGTGGCAGAGATATGCTGCTGCAACTGCGGCTGCTTGTACGAAAGCGTTTCTTGAGGAGTGGAGAAAGGCTTGTTGATGAAGTTTACGCGGATAGGATCTGGATACTATGATGGCAATATGTAGTCGAATTTAAAGGCAGTTTGTTCTGGGAAATACATATTATATCGGCGCCAACTCTGTTATTTCGTATTCGGGTAGATAGAGCTTACCCAGGTATTTTATGGCATCTTACATTGTGGTATAAAGCTATTGTGTATTCTATCTATACTAGAACAAAGATTTGCGGCATCAAACCAATCGATACAATACGGTTTGTTGGCGATGAAACCCACAGATCGCAGATGGCTCAGCGCACGAACGCCTTCAGTAGCTGGGGTCGCGATTCGAGGGAGGGTGGACCTTTAGATTGTGGCTGCTCCGCCGACCCACGTGGAGATTGGTAGCTCAGCGTTGGGACGATTGAGGCCGATAAATTACGCAGGGCATGCTTGTCTAATTATCCGCGTAGTTCCTGGCTATGATGCATGAAGCTGAAGTTGAAGATGTACTGTAGGGAGCTGAGAGCTGAAGTAAATCCAATGTTGAGCCGGCCATAGAGAACATTGAATTGATGCTCTCTCTCGGAGTATCACAGCAGCAGCCAAGTTTCAGATACCAGCTACATGTCCCAAATTGAGTAACAATGTAAAATAACTGCGCTTACATTTAAATTTCATGACAAATTGTTGCCTTGCCCTGCCAACAACCAACTTGGAAGTTGACCTGAGCTGTCTCTTCTTTCATAAGCAGTTGGCCCTTGCAGAGCTCAGGCACCGTACTCGCACAGCTCTTCCTGCAATGGTTCTGGAGCAGAGACCAAAACATGCGGGCTTCGTCACACCCCCTGGCGGCGCCATCCGCAGCATCCCTGCTGGCCCAATTTGCAATGGAGATTTTTCTGCATGCTAGCAAGAGCGAGATTGAGCTCTGCTGATCGTGCGGAAGAGAAGAAAAAAAAAGATTGAAAACGGCCAGGGAATTTTTTCACCATTTTTTTTTTGTTCTCGTAGATGTAAGCGAGAATCCATATCTACTGCTGTTGCATGGCAACATGGTTAACGAACGACCCCGGTGTTGGGCTAAGCACCGCATAAACCGCCAATTACATGCCCTCTGTAACTGTCCTCATACGAGCAACAGCAATGCATCGATGCCGGGGATTTTGGTGGAGCTCCAGTCTAATACGAGACGGTACCTGAGCGAAGTACTAGCACCACGTTTGCCGTGCCACGCACTTCAATGCATCGTCGCCCTTTGGCCGCAGGGTGACTGAGCCAATTTTAGCACCTGGGCCGCTGAAGATGCACTGCAGATGCCAGCAGCCCCATCTGTGGCACCTCGCATAGTACATGTGCTGGCTTTACGGGCTTGTGCTCTCTGTTTGTATATCATGAAGATTGAACATCATGACTGGAAACCACCAGAGCGGCTGTTGGTGGACACAAACTCTGGCGCCGCTACGCCTCTAGAGACCCCTTTCGCGTCCTTTGAATAGCGCAGTTCCTGCGCCTAACAATTCACGGCATCACCAACCGCGACCTGCCCAGCTTAGCCTGCGGTTATTAGCACGCTATCGAGCTACAGGTGCTGGCGCTAGGTGCTTTAGACGCATTAGGTGCCTAGACTTGGCGATATTGGGTCTAGACGGAGCGCCCAAAAAGTGCTAGCGGCCGCCGGACTCCAGATGTTCGTTGGCAGCAGTGCTCGGCTTCGGTCTCGTCCCTGTGACAGCAGCCTGGCAAAAACTAATAGGAAAAGAAAAAACAAAAACACCATCACCGCAACTCTCCAGCCATTCTTTTCTCGATCTGGTGCATGCAGGCTCCACTCTTCTCGATCTCCCTTTGCCCCTGCAGCTCTGTTTGTCTTTTCCTCCCTTTCCTTTACATCCTCTCCTCTTTTATCGTGCGTCTTTGATAACGAGAAACACCTGTTTGAACGCTCATTGTTGCATTCTGCGCTAGGCCAGGGCGTCTTGTCTCGCATCCTCGCCAACCGCTCCACCTGCTGGCCAACCACCCCTACTAATATCCCACGCCCTAGTGCCTTCGAGGCCGCTTCGCTTCGCAGTTTCGTGTTTCCCCAAAGCGCCGTTAGCTCGCCGTGTTTCCTCTGCGCAAGCCTCGTCTCCGAGGCCCTCGATCCTGCGATCTCTTCTTCTTCTTTCTCTCTCCTTGTCCGCAGACCAGGCCTCCTTCGTCCGTGCATTTCTCGCCAAACTCGACCACGGGATCGCTTTTCCCAGCGTCGCTTCTGCCTGGGCACGATTCCGAAGAAAAGACAAGGCCAGGCGGTCGCAACTGGAGAGGAACCACAGCGACCAGCGCAGATCCCGTCAAAATCACTGCTCCTGGTCGGCCTTCTGTCATCCCTTCCTAGGCACCAAAGTTTACACCATCGGGTCATTCTTTCTTTCGCTTCGGCATTGTTCACTTCCTTCGCATTTTTCATTCATTTTTAGGCCTTGAACGGGCTGCTGCTTCCATTTCTGGATCTTTGTTCGCTTCAAGCGTCTTATTTTCATTCGTTTCTTGCATCCTGGCGCTTGCTCTCTTCCACGACTTCTTCTGAAATCGCGTTCATCTAATTTTTCTCAACAATTCACAATCGCCTCTTCCAACATTCAATTCAATTGCGCTACTTAAAAACCTAGAAGCGTTACTTGGTTTTTGGAAATTTTTTGGTTACAGCTCGTGTTTTATATGCGTGTATAGCATCAAAGCCCAGTAACACAGCACTTCACAATCCTCGTCACCGCTAGTTCTCTTCCGTCCGTTGAAATGGCATCCGAAACATCAGGCCCGACAAGGGCTCGTGGCCGAAATCGAGACATACCGACACACACACAATGGACGCTCAGGAATGCATCAATAGCTGTGTTAGCAGCCCTCGTGGGTTCCGCTTCAGCTGAAGATTCGGCGAGCTGCATTTCTCTCAAGGGTTCGACAATATGTCCAGCTTTTCAGGCTGCTTCTATATCCACAAACCAGTCATTAATCGATACATTGTGAGCTACCTGCTATTCTTCCAGCCTGAGGAAGTTGCTAATAGTAATGCTACAGCTCATTCTTAAAGTATGTCTCCGATTTAGAGACATTCGACACGCAGCTCTCCAGCTTCGTCAAGACTACATATCTCCAAGACAAGTAGGCAGCTCTCACCCGGTGTAACCTTGGTCCAATTTGCTCACGTCTTGCGCTTGTTAGATTCCAGTTAAACTTTGGCTGCCACAATATTAATTACACAGATCCAAGCGACATGTACGCGCGCTACACGACTACAGTCCTTTGCAGCTCCATTGTTCAAGCGTCCGCGGCTGGCTGCGGCGTATCTGAGAAAAACTCGGAACCTCTTTGCGCCGAAACCTGCGCCGAATATGCCCAGAGCGAAGCTTACATCACCGCCGACACAGCTCTTTGCGGCAGCCCCAGCAGCGACCTCAACAAATTGATTCGCGCCGACTTTACTGTCTGTTCCAACCCGGAACAGGCGCTCTCTAGCAGCTGCATCGTTGGCTCGGACAATGAGCCGGATAACTGCGGATTTGGTAACAGCACCGTTGGTCTATGCTCATATTGCGGCTCCGGAGGCACCAATTCTACAGATACCTGCTGCTATAACTCCAATGCCGAAAAGCGATGTCAAGGTGTTAAGCTTCCTGATATTACTGTGACCTTTACAGCACCCGTGGCTACTGCTACGCCGACGACTTCCTCGGCCCCGGTTTCCAGTGGTGGCAGCCATCTCAGTGGCGGTGCTATTGCGGGTATTGTGATCGGCTCTCTTGCAGGCTTCGTGATTCTTGCCGCCCTCCTGTTCTTCTGCATTAGGATGATGAGGCGCAGACCCGGCAGCAGCGGCCAGGCCGACAGCATTTTCAACCAGCCTCAGCCTTCCCGTAAAGGACCGCCCATGAGCCAGGGTAGCGCAGCGCCTCCGCGGGGATACGAAATTCTTCCTGGTGGTCGCATTGCACGCATGTCTGCCTTGGAGGGACATTCGGGCGATTCGCCCTCCCGCCACGGCAGCTCTCCTTCTGCTCGTGCTGTTCCTTACGCCTCCAAGGCTTCTGATAGGATGTCTTCATCTGAGTTTGGCGATACTCCCGAGCCCGAAACCCCATATACCGGACTTCGCGGGCCCCCCGCGACTTCGAGACGACAAGGCTCTCTATCCAGCAACTCGATGCTAGGAAGCGATATCGCCGGCAGCCCCATTGGTTTCTCATCTCCGAATGCCCTGGCAAGCCAGCAGTCTGAACAGCTGCCATTTTTCAAGGATTACTATTCACAAGACGACATCCACCCTCACGACAAAGTTGCAGTTTTATGGGCCTACCAGCCAAGGGCCCCTGATGAGTTTGCCCTGGAGCGTGGAGATATGCTCAAAGTTGTGGGTATCTGGGATGACGGTTGGGCGACGGGTCTTATAGTCAACGAGCGAGCGGAGGAATGGGAGGCACGAAGGCAAGCGCAGAGGGACAGCGGCGTTTCGAATACCTCTGGTGCTAGAGACAGCTCGCCACAGGGCCACGGCGAACTAAAGGCGTTCCCTCTAGTATGCGTCTGCCTCCCAGAACATTGGAGGAAGACAATTGAAGGGGACGGTTCAACGGATACAGGAACAAGTGGTCATCTGAGCGTTTCGCATGTTTGATATCATTAGCTATGATCCGATGACATGATTTAACATATGCGCCTCACTCTGCTACTCCTTACGTTTTGGACAACAGCACAAATATCCCATTCGACAGATGCCTAGTCACGACAGAAACAGCTCAGCCTATTTGGCTAAACTCCTGGTGCCAGCATTCCTCTTGATGAAGTACATGAGGTGCAATTCCATAATACCCTAACCCATGGGCGGAAACTCGCGCTGCATTTTGATTCGCTTCCAGACGTTTTTATCTTTTATTTTTTTTTTAAATACCCCATATGAAGAGCGACGATGTTGATACGAGATGGATGGTGAAGGAGAAAAGGAGCAAGCAACTGGTGTTAATATTTGTCTACTTAGCTTAGATTACAAATGCTCTTTCACTTTTTTTTATATCTACAATTGTATTAACGTTGATGTACAAAACATTGGTAGGAACGCAGAGAGAATATATTTAAAATGCAAGAATGAAAAAACAGAAATTGCTTCAGTCAAAAGAAAAGCTCGCATCAAAATAGTCAACGAAGATGCGTCGTGGATGAGAGTAAAGAGGCATGCTACATTGAGCTAACTGAGCGCTGAAGCAGTCTAAGATAGCGAGTCGTCTGATTCGAAGCATCTTACCGTTAACTCTCACGGGAGAAAAAAATTTAAGAGATATCATCTATAGACGGTGTCACAAGTTTGTCCTTTCTCTATCTTTGCATGAATGCTTTCACCGACGGGGTCAGCCTAAAGCTCAATGGCCATCGTTGAAGATGTGACTAGCCCAACCGTGTCATCTATAATTATGGGTAAATGTAAGGCCAGATGGATGATGTAACAATAAGTTTATTGAACTGTTTAATGGTAAAATCCACGAGTATCAATTTGCGGCTGCCATACCATTGCGGCTGCCAAAGTAAATCTCCCAAGAATATGCATCAATACTACCAGTTATTAGACTATGCTGTACACAAACTGTACTTATTTCCTCAAATTGTGCTGCTTAAGCTCATGTTTCTGCTCTGGCGGCTTTTTAACCGCAATAAAGTGATTCTGACCCGTCTCGGAGACAGCGTGAACTGCGATGTCTTCACCAAAAGGCCATTCTCCAATGAACTGCGAGTCGCCTCGGCGATCGTATTCTGCGTACTGTGCTGGATCGAGACACTTGTGCGCTGCTGTCCAAGCATCTACCCGATGGATATACACTCCTAGGATCTCCGTAGTCTGAAGACCACCAGAACGATCGGCGTTGTAGTCCACGGATATCTGTAAAACATAATGTAGGAACTTGGCGCCCTCTGGCAGGACAATGTTCCCATCTGGGGTCGCAGTCAATGCCTCATTGTTCGGCGTAGTGTCTATTCCGACGAGGAACTCTTGTCCGTCGAAGGCGCGGGCAAAGAGCAAGACGCCGTCGCCGTGGGACCAGCTCTCGGATACGCCTCTGGAGCCGCGGATGTGGTACTGTTGGAAGTCGGTGGGGGCAAAGTTGAGGGATTCGAGGGAGTGGATGGCATATTGCTTTGCGGCTTCCAAGGTGCCGTGTGTTTTGAGAACGAATGTTGTACGATTGGCGCCGGATGGGTCATGGGAGTAGTCGATTACTGTGAGGATGGTGTGGAATAATTGTTCTGGGACGAAGTTGGATGATGCGCCGTTGATGGAAGCCATGGTGTAAATGCCGTTGGTTTTGTTATAATGTTACTGAGAGCACGAGATATTACTCGTTTGACGAAGCGAGAGTCGAGTGCAACACTCCGTCTTATATAGAGTGATCAATTGCCACGCACAGGAAATGGTGTCGCAATTATCATGCCACTCTCATTTGTGGCTGCAGATATCATCACATCGTCGCTGATTCTTCATGATGAGAGATACTTCCTTTGATGAGATTTAATAGACGTTTAACATGTCATCATCCACCGTTGCTGTCGCTTTAAGGTTTAGAAGGCTGTCGTACGGTGGGCTGTCATAACTAAAACATGACTCAACGATAGTATGAGATACGTTGTCAATGAGCACGGATCGACATCTAGCTTTGAATTGCTGCTTAATAGTTAAAGACAGAGAGAGATTATGTACTGAGTCTGAAAGTTGCGTCACTAGCTCCCAGACGGGTGATAGTATAAACCACGCCACGCAAAACTCTAACACAGATGCTTCGCTGTGTATCGGTAAACTCGAATGATCATCGTACCACCCAGGTCAGAGTTTATTTCATCACATGAACTGATAACGATATTTCTCCAAAGGAGCGCGTGTTGTTCGTGCTAGGTTACAAGTGATAGTGCGTAAGATGTGCGACAGGCATTAAAGTGATCCTTACTTTGCTCGATTTGTGGCATTCTCGCATCTACGCATCTATTTAGTTTTTCAGCTTATTAATAGTATACAGTAGCAATCTAGTAACTAATTCTGTCTACTGCTTCAGCGTACAGTTAGAGCGGCATCTGCAAAGCTTTTCACTGGTCCAGTGTTATTTCAGCTATTAGCATGACCCCAATGACATTCCGCAATGTGCCTGTAACTAGGCATTTCTATCCACTTACTAATCACTAACTCTTATGAAGAAATGTAGCTGCCTCCCTTTCTCCAGCTGACACATAGTCTAGTTTACATCAGCGCTCGGGTGGCTTGAGTAAAACACACTATTAGCTCTCCTATCTCGATCGCTTGCCATTAGTCATTCAGCTTTCTAGAAAAGACTATTTTCAGGCATATAAACGGTCAGGCAAATAACCGGGGCGTCCGTCCGTAGTCTCCTCCGAAAGACTCAGCTCCTGGAGGTGGGGCCGTCGCTTTGAGCAAGCCACACCCAAGGTCGTATCTAGGCCCCTTGTCTATATCGCCTCTGCATGAGCACAACACTAAGACGAGAAAAGATTACTGGGCATCATACAGCATAACTTTTTCGTTTAATCCCACTTGGTCCTAGTAAACTTGCTGTAAGTCTCCGGTAAATGCGGAGTATATCTAAGCCACTCGCTGCAAAACTTGTTTCTATTACCGTTCTTGTATATATCTCAAAACGCCCAAACAAGTAATTGCACCACCATTGGCAGTTGTCTTTGCAACCATGGACGAGGATCGTGACACAGGTAAGGAAGCATATGAATTAGTCATTTTCATCTTCGATAAAACAAAGGAAGCTAATTTTCAATAGGCAACAATTTCCAGTTTATATCGATAACAAACCTTGCTGAAGCGAAAGACCGCGATAAACGACGACAGGCACGATCCCACGCCGCCAGACAGGGCAGGCAGCGATCTCAACATGTTTCTCCGAGAGATGAGGCGGGTGCGTCGGGCCAATCACTGATACCTTGGTCCATTTTTGCACCAGTGTCGGCATACGGCCCCTTTGAGACTCTCATTGGAGACTCTCCCAAACTGAGAGCATTACTTAGCCATGGTAAGCTGCGAAACAGTGTCGTATGAATAGTTTTCACAGCTGAAGCTCGTTTCAATGTCTCAGATGCTGCCCGGCAAGCCGCAGAGCCTATATTCAGCGTTGCAGATCCTGTAGTGTTTCAGGATTTTGCGTCCGTCTTTCGAACCGATCTCGACGACCCGGCTTTGTTGAATGCTGTTAAGCTCACCTTTGCATTTGCCGTGACTGGAGGAAATATCGATCAAGAATGCCTCGACTTTCAAAATCAAGCCATGAGCACGATACGCGAAAGGATGGATTCGCTAGAGTCGGCTTTGACATTACCGACTCTGGGGGCCATCTTGCTCCTTGCCGGAGTAGAGGTAATGCGACATCAACCCTGGCTATTTTGAAAAAACTGCCAAAGATCTGAACGCTAATTTGATGATACCCTTCTAGGCGCGTCTTGGCATGCGATGGCAGGTTCAACTGCACATGGGAGCCATCCAGCAGCTTCTTGAGCTGGGCCAAACAAAAACCGTTTATCTGACAGATGGGATCAAACGTGCCATCTTCTGGTAAGTCATAACTGACAGGGCGAGAAATTACTAATCCAAGTACAACTGACCGCAATTTCGTTTGAATAGGCAAGATCTGAATTCATCCGTCATGACTGGATCTGACCGCATAGTGGACCACACCACTTTTGCCGAGCTTCAGTGGAAGCGCGATCCCTTTGCTTCTGCTTACTTTGCCCTAGCGCCAGGGTTTCAGAGGAAGTCTCACTTGTTTGACGAGAATTTTCTAGAAGTTCTCAAAGATATCCACGCGCTGCAGTGCGTTCAAGATCTGCCCCGCTACTCCTGTCAGAATCCAGTGGAAATGCTCCGTGTTGATAATCAGCAGGCATCGATCGGATCTAGGCTGGTGGATTTACCGAAGCTTTCTACTACGATGGAAGCTTGCTACCTTGCCGCGTATCTCAGTGCCTGTATGCTTTGCTGCAAAGTGTGGCGCCACTCCGTGATGCCTGTAAGTGACAAGACAAGACGCTTGTGAAGTGTTTGCAACTTTGAAATGCTGATTTTAATATAAACAGTCTCATGTTTCTCAACGACTATTAAGGATACTTCAAGAATCTAATGAGGATCCATTTTGGAATGACAATCTGGATCTACTCATCTGGATGCTGTATATGGGAGGATGCTTCTCTCCTAGAGGAGCTATACATTCAGAATACAAGGCTCTTCTTAAAACTAATCATGAGTCCAGGTTTAAGGATATGTATCGCTCATTGGAGGATTTGATGGAAATTTTACAGGATTTTATTTGGTCGGAGAAAGCGTATCGTATGCAACTTGATAAATTTTGGGAAGAGATTCAACCAGAGATAGCTTAATCTTAATAGATAAAATGCTATTGCACTTGTGTGCATAATCATACATTCAGGCTTTTTCCAAATAAAGAATCATTGTGTATGTATATGTGTCAAGTGAGGTCATCACCAAGTGGTTACTTGGCGTTTCTACAGCCACCCTCTATAGTAATTGCTATATCTCCCCTATCGCTGGCTACCTGTATCAAGCTTGTTTAGTGTCTATACGCGCTGTATTTGGTAATCATCTTCCAGGCGTCTTATTCAGTAACTCTGTTTCACACTGACAAAGTCGCAAATTTCCAGGCCATTCGACCCTCAGCAACTGCCAGAAAAAACAAGACTCGGCGACTTTTCAAAACAGGAAGCAAGCCACACGGCACTATTAATCAGCCCCCTCGACAACGGCGCCCAATTCTGTGTTTTTCTACCCACCACTTTCCTCACTGTAGCATCCCTTGGAGCTGTACGTCATTATTCAGCGAATGATAAATGGGCGCTTCGGCCGAGATCGTCCGCTCAACGCCCAATTATTCAGGGCTGGTAGTCAAAGCGCTAGATGGCTTCCTAGCTGCTTTGGGAAGTGGCTTCTCGTCCCAAAAGAGTAGTTGCACGGCCATTGCCATTAGCTTAGCAGAGCACTCGTTGGCAGGAAGAGGTGCAGTTGAGCTAAGTCTTTGGAAGAAACTCAATTGAAGATGGTGAAAATGTTTAGGCCTGCTATTGTAATACATACAAAAATGAAGTTTATATAAAATCCGGCCATGGTGCTCGTCTTGTTGAAAGAGATTCTGATATCCATCAACAAAGCATTACTTGACATACAAACGAGTTCGCACAGCAATCTTCTAAACTTGTGACTTATACCAATTTACTTTACTTGAACTTTACTTCGGATTCAACAAATTTCTACAATGGCCGAATCACGACTCTGGAAACCACTCAAGATAGCCGGTGTTGAGGTCAAGCACCGCATCGGCATGCCAGGACTCTCTCGCTTCCGAGGCACAGACGACCATACCGCAACTCCCATGATGAAGGAGTACTACAGCCAACGATCTCAAATCCCAGGCACCCTCATTGTCACTGAGGCCGGTATCATCTCTCCCGGCGCTGGTGGTTACCCCAACGCACCAGGCCTCTGGCGCGAAGACCAAGTCGAAGCTTGGAAAACTATCACTGATGAAGTTCACCGAAACGGCTCCTTCATCATTGCCCAAATGTTCCATGTTGGCCGCGCAGCAGTTCCCGAGATCGCTGCAGCGGAAGGAATTGAGATTGTGTCCTCCAGCCCCATTCCTCATGGGCCAGATGCAACCGTGCCTAGAGAATTGACTGTCGACGAGATTAAGCAAATCGTAAAGGACTTCCAAACAGCTGCGAAGAACGCCATTCGCGCTGGCTTTGACGGTGTTGAGCTCCACGCCGCAAACGGTTATCTCCTGGACAGCTTCATTCAAGATGTCAGCAACAACCGCACAGACGAGTATGGTGGCAGCATCGAGAATCGATCCCGCTTTGCAGTTGAAGTCATGAAAGCCGTCGGCGATGCCATTGGACCTCAGCGCGTTGGAATACGCTTCAGCCCCTGGAGTACTTTCCAGGGCATGCGAATGGAAGACCCTCTTCCTCAGTTCTCAGATGTCATCAGCAAGGCAAAGGAGTTGGGTCTTGCCTATATCCATCTGATCGAGCCTCGAGTTGCCAACTCTGACGATCTGGAGCACCCAATCGTCGAAAGCTTGGACTTTGCGATCAATTTGTGGGATGGGCCAATCCTTCTCGCAGGTGGTTACAAGCCGGATAACGTGCACAAGACGATTGATGAGATGTATCCTCAGAAAGACATTATGGTTATGTTTGGCCGATACTTTGTCGCAAACCCAGATCTGGTCTTCAGAATCAAGCACAGCTTGCAGCTCAATCCGTATGACCGCAGCACTTTCTACGCTGTGAAGAATCCCAAGGGTTATCTAGATTATCCATTCAGTCCTGAGTACGAAGCAAAGACTAAGGCATAGGTAGTTTTGGGGCGCAGCATTAAAAGCAGTTTGGTAGACAATTTTATAATTTTCTTAATAGAATAAAGAGTTTCTTAGTTTCTTATTACACCTGATAGACCTCTTTGCTCAACTCTCAACTCTTGACATTGAATGTTAAACTTTCAACGTTGTATTTACTACCTATCACACAGGTAAGGTAGGTAATTACCGCAGGTACTAAGTGCGAACCCCTGGTTTCACCGCCTTCCTCTTTGCTCAGAATATAAAACCGAGTCTTCCAATCTCAGAATACGGCAATCTCACGTTTATTCCCCCACCTCAGCTTTCTACTCCACCTGTTCCTACACGCCCGCATCCTCTCTGCCTCTCCAAAGCCATTTTAGGATTCAGCGACCAGCGAGCCGTCTAAAATGTCTTACGAATTAATTGCGCCCTATTTTGACAAATTTCAGAAAATGGAATCTATGCTCAACGCGTTTGCTAGAAACGATCTAACAGCACGAAGACTTGCAGCATATGCAGAGACATTTCGAAAAGCCGTCGCTTTATGGGATGCTGATGCTCCTAGCCAACCACGAAGGGGAAGCCAGCAGACACGCAGACTAGTGAAGGACTGCTTTCTTAGAATCTTGGATGTCGGACTTGAAGCCTTTATTTTTATGCACGCTCTCACTAGGCATATGGAAGCTAGGCGTCGTAAAAAAAAGGAAGAGGTTTTGTGAGGCTCTACGAATATGGATGAAAGAAACACCTGATAAACTTCCTCCATCTTTTTATGACTTCATTTCCAGGCTTCAATCAGATCATAAAACATTTATAGAAGAAAGTATGTGCTTTACAGAACGAACGCATGGATGCCTATTGCATACTGACACAACATCTCAATGGGGGGCAGGACTCAAGGAGCTAAGAGAGAGAAAAGCTTCATTGGACGCAGACAGTGATTCAGAACCTGAATTGTTGTCGCATCGTGCGCTTCGTCGCCAGAGTACTCCGAGGGAAGTAATTGAAGTTGCCACGTCTCGAGGAAACTCACCGGCCTCTGTTGCGAGCCAAGGAAATTTGGATCAGCACATTTCTGCACCCCGCAGAGGCAACGAGGAAGCGCCCGTTGCGTCTGCGCCAGTCTTGTCAAATGGCGAAAATGGTAACATCCCTGGATTCTGTATTTATATTCTCGCTGACTGTTAAATAGCTGAAGCCCCTACAGCCAAGGCCCGTTCATTCAACAAATCGACTGCTTTCGCATTGGAACATGCAGAAAGTCTTACGGTGTCTGGACAGGCCATCTACGCTCTCACAGGGGATACCATCAGCGGGCCTATACATCTAACGTTACCAGGAGATTCAACCACCCACCCATTTTTGGTAATTCCAATCAAACCAGAAGCAGCATATCATATTTGCAAGCTTGAAACTAGGGCTGCTCTACCTTAGGCTACCCTGACTATTCCTATTTTACATATCTTTGCACTTTGTTTATTATCGTTCACTCCATAGCAAACAAATCCTAATCCCTGTTCCCACGGTACAATGACAGTATGTAGATTAAATTGAAGTGGTGCGATTGTTTTTACAAAGGTAACCGCCGTCCCAAAATGAAACAGCCTCACTTGGGCCGATGCTACAGAGACTTCAATGAGAATTGCCGCTGTATCGTCTGGTGGTCTGATTTCTTCGCCATGCTGATAATACCTCCAGTCGGGCGCTGAGCATTTCTTCTCTACCTAGATACTTATTAGTGTATGCTTCTCAAAAGGCCAAGAGTAAAGATTACTTGTTTCTCGCATTGCTGAATAAGTTCCTTCTCAGTGACATCTACGGTCACTAGAGATACAAGGTGGACCATGAAAACTGGGGTCTCATAAGCTCTGCGTACCGTCCTCCGTTTAAGCTAGTGTAAATTGCTAACGGAAACAGTATTGAATTGAATCGGCAGTATTTCTTCCTTCGTACGACTGCAGACTCTGCTTCACAGCGAGTTCAACTGGAAGATACTCATCTGCCAGCCGAGGCAGAGTTTTCTCTGTATTTGAGTGGGGCTCTTTAAATTATCGCAGTCATAGTGAGCGGGGAGCTTTTATAAATGTTGTTGGTTGAGGACATCTACAACGTTTTAGTGGGTTTCTGTCGGCAAAATGAGCCTATGCTCGTATAAGCCTAACACAATTTGAACAGGCACCTATCAAGCTCATCGCTGCACTTTCTTAACGATTCCTTACTGTTGCTTCGTAGAATGGTATACCATGCCTCCATGGCGCCCTTCTTCAACTAAATATGTGTAAATGCGCTTTCTTGGTTATATTCTCAATTTGAGGTGACTTCACGCTGCATGGGGACAATATTGATAATGTCCATGAAGGTGAACCTCAAGGTGACGGGAAAAGGCTACCTCTTCGTATATAATTGCATCAGCTGTTACGGCATCTTTAACATACAATGATACTTGCGCTAATAAAAATGCTATATTTAGGATATCTGGTGACGGTATTGTCTTCCTTATTTGACTTGATAACTTAGTACAAGCTAGGAACCGTAGCGTGTTATCGCATCCATTGTAGCCACAACTCTGGGGTGTTTGCGCAGTGTTTTCTCATCATTCTCTTCCATTTTATTGCGCTCACTGCCAAAATCATAACAGCCGTCACCACTCATGGCATAATGGGCTAAACTATGCTCATCATCATCGTGAGTTGCAGTCGAGAGAATGGAGAGTTTTTAGTCCATTATAGAGACTTGATTGTGGACTGTGAGGACTCGAATTTCGCACAAAACCCATCACTGCCTGCATCAAAATCAAGCGTCGCAAGAATGCTGTTTATTTGTACGTGACAACTAGTTGTAATTAGGCGATTGACCGAACGTATAATGCCCTCCGTTATGCTTTGAGACGCTTTGACTGCTTGGGGTAGACCAGATGTAGGTGACGTGAGAAGCGCTATAGACAAACACTTTGCAAGGCTGCTCGAGGACAATGACTCTAGACTTTGTGTAGTCACCTCCAAGTAGTTTACTATTTTGACGGTGTCAAGTTTGTTTAACGTTAAATACTATTGATTAGATTGAGTTAAGTAACAACGATCTCATGCGCCTAAGTTGCTATTCTCCAGGTGCATCAAAGCTTCTTGCACAGTCTTGTGAACCCCTCAATTTGCTCCCAGTCCTCGGTACCAGTAGTGGCAATAGAATAAAAGATCCTGTTAGGATCCCACTTCTCGCGGATTGTCACCAGTCTTTCGTAATTAGGTCCCCAGAAAGCATCCTGCCAATTGGGTTGAAATGGATTGCCCTACAACTGTTAGCATCTTTCTCCCAAAGTCAGTCCATCGTATGGATCAAACTTACCTCATTGACGTAGGAAATTGCGTGCGGCGAGGCCTTTCTGAAAGTCTCATCAACCACGTTGGTGAGAGTACGTTGAGCCTGTTGATTCTCTTCCAGGGTGAGGTCAGTAGCAAGCGTCATTGAGGTGATCACAAAATTCGTGACGTTGTTCCAGACTGGATGCTTCGCACTGTCGGTGGCTCCATGGCCCCGTCCGGCATTGAACAGATGTCCCACCAGGAACACACCATTCTCTAGTGCTGTCTTGTACGCGCCCAGAATCTCGTCAGCCTGGTCTGCCATATCATTGCGAGTCATACCAATGCCATATAATCTATACACTAAGAAAAACATAAATAATTATATTAGATTTAACAGCAAGGAGATCATGTTGTGGTCACCATTAGGTATATATTAGGCTTAAAAAGCGAAAAATAGCTATAAAGCTTTTTTTTCTCCGCATATTTAAACCTTAGTATCAGCAAACTAGATGCTTGATTTAATGTTAAGTAGTAAGAAAGAAGTCTGTTTACTATTTCAGTGAAAAAAGTCAACATGCGTGTCAATGCGAGTGTAATTGCCATGATATATTATTGTTGCAAAGGCGACTGTTCCCAGCATGTTAAAAATTTAACCATTACCAACTAACAGGGGCTGCGGGACATTGTCGAGTCTTTAGACTGTGCTGTATAAGTCGGCAAGAGAGACTAGTGGATCCATATAATAGTTGAAGACTACCGTTACAGTCTTCAACGCACGGGATCTTAATAAAGGTTTGTGGCAATGCACGGGAACAATAATCCAGACTGATTGTGGAAAATATTTATATACTATATAGTAAAGATCAGTCAGTGCAAAAGCGTTGGCGAATTTCACAACGACCGAGTGTTTTGACTCAAGACAACGATGACATTTCAATTAGAAATTTTGAACTTGTGCCGAATCCGATAACTGCACGTCTTAGAAGCTGCGGATATGGCTACAGATGGAAAGAGACGAGCTTGGTGAAATGCTGTATAGTGTCTATCTATGAGAGTCATGTCTGCGCTACTGAGAAGAAACGATGCGTGTGCGGCATGACGAGTAGCCATAAGACGAATAGTCAACGTCAAAGAAAGGCACGGAGGCGATTCGCCCCGGAGTTAGTTACAGTGCCCGTGGCGGACGAAGAAGTCCGACTAGTGGTCTTGGAGGAGGAGGTTGTGGCACTACTAGCGCTGGAGGTAGCCTTAGTAGTAACAGGCTCGAAAACATTGATATATTGATCGCCACCGCAGATCTGGTTCTTATTGCCGCTGCACGGCTTGTCGCACTTGCCCTGATCGCTCGCCGACTCTCCGCCGATGAAGCTGCTGCACCAGCATTGGTTACCCGCCTTGACACCGGCGTAGAGGACAGTGTTGTTGACGGACGCCTTCCAGCACGAGTTTTCGCAGCCGGCAATGTCCAGGGCCGAGTCGCCTCCCTTGTTGCTCACCATGTGCTCTAGGACGGGAAAATTGGGATCATCGTCCGGGTAGCAGCCCCGGGCCGTCCAGGAGGAGGGCGAAGGCACATGTGAGCTGGTGCTGCTGGTGGTGGTGGAAGAGGCCCGAGTGGTTGTGGTGCTGGCGCCTGGAGGGGGATTGCGGTCACTGGTGGACACACAGTAGGACAAGGGGAAACGCCAGGGCTCGCAGCCGACGCTGAGAGACGGGTTCCATTCGTGAAACTCTTCTGGGGTGATGCCGAACATGTCCCTGACGTGTTTGCAGGAAGTGGTTTCATCGCCATTGTTCCACCAGTCGATGCAGCTCTTGACGGTTTTGGGGTCGAAAGAGTAGACTGGCTTCTGGGCAGCAGCACAAAGATGAGCAAAGACCAGCGCTACCAGGACACCGCCCGAGCGGTGGGTAGAAGCAGAGATTGGCCTCATGGCGATGGTTTTTTCCACTCTTGCTCTTCTCTCTATCCTTCCCTGGTGGAGCTGAGACGTGTGAGAAGAGAGGAATCAAGAGCCATACGAGAAAGGGCGAAAGACGTGGGAAGACCCGCGCAAGGTCAGGCTGCGATGTGGATGAGGGCAAAGAGTCCAGGCCAGCTGCCAGAGGGCAAAGGCAGCGTGACTACCGGACTCTATGCGGCGCGGGTTTAAGTATTCAAATCCGTTGCGTAGTAGAGATGCGCCACGTTACACGGAGCTGGGAGAGCAGAGATTTGGGACGCCCGAAAACGACCGTTGATCTGTCGACGTAGCATCGGTAAAGTCGGTAAAGCGCCACCGGCTGTGAGGCAGTGCATCTCGGAGGAGTCCGGTGCAGGTAACTGTGCCGAGGAGAAGCAGAGGCGTTCGTCTTGGCGGTGCCTGAGGTGGTCCTCGGGCTTGATTAGTGGCCGCTATTAGGGCTCGGGAGCCGCGCGGTTGGCGCGCTTTTTTAACCATAAATTCTAAGTTTGGCAAGGTGCCAAGGATTCATCGACAGGGAGTACACAGTATGAGATTGGTGGCCTTGGCAGCGGGGCTGAGCAGCGGAAGTCGGCCGAGCAGACGTCGTCGCTGGAGTCTCGCCCACACAATGCAGCAGACGATACTTGCAACATACTGTACATGGGCCTTGGTCGCGGTGATTGCAAGACACCGCACTCTGTCTGTACCTGCGCCGTACATGTACGTAGGGAGGTACGCATACTTTCCTCTTCGGGGCTCGACAAGTGGAGCCTCGCGCCACCTGAAATTCTCATCGGCCGCGCGGGTCTGCCTTTGATTAGATATAGTACTTGGCATCGGATATTCTACGATTACTCTAGGACATTCCCAAGGTACTTTCACTTTCCATTCTCGCATTCATCGCCGGCATTTTCTGCCTGGCACAAAAGATGCTCAGCTCCCCCAACCAACAGACTACCTAGGCGTTGTCCTCTCCTGCGTGCCTCCTGAACTCTCTCCACATGTCCTTCGCCAGCCTTCCCTCCGAGCTCCGCTCCTACATCTGGAGCTTGGCCGTGGCGCCTCGGCGCATCACAAATGTCCGCGCCAAGAAGAGCGAGGGCAGCTTCAGCAAGAAGCAGCGCCTGAAAGGCAAGGATATCCTCTACGAGACCACGTCAACGCCGCCCCCGGCTCTCATGCATGTATGCCACGAGTCTCGTCAGCAAGCGCCCTACCAGCGCGCGTTTACCGCGGGCACCGAGCCGCGCTGGACGTGGGTCAACTTTGACGTCGACATTTTCTGCGTCTCGAGCCTCTACGCCATTCAAGACCTTGCGTCTGTCTCCCAGCAATCCGAGGTCCAGCGGCTTCAGATTCGGACTGACGACCAACCTGACTGGTATGAGTGGGCTACCACTTATAATGGGCTTTCCCCTCTCTGTAAATTAGAGAGCCTCAGGGAAATTCAGGTGGTGTTAGAGCTTGGTGATGCAATGTGGGGAGATGTGTTTACGGACTGGGGCTTTGGATGCTGTCCTAAAGATAATATTACATTCCTCGACGAGGAGTCTGGGCTTATGCTCACTGGCCCTCAGCTGAAGATGGTGGGCGATTGGCAGACGGTATTCTCGTTTGACAGGGAGGGAAACCCGCCTGACCCGGATCATCTCTCGGAAGAGATTGCTCATGCCCTTGACGATTCTTGGCACATGACTTTAGCACAAATGCACGAGATGGATTGAAAAGGTGTAAATTTGACTAGTTGTCTACATGTAGTGTTACCAAGTATAAGAATGAGAAGCACAAGAACATGATGGGGCCTTGTTAGGGGCCGCAGTGGTTCATCCTCTGATCCGTCCGCCGCGCGGCGTCAATGACCGGCTTGTGTGCCACGGCCGCCGTGTCCTTGGTGTAGAAATCCTTGGCGGCGGCTTCCACAATCTTGGCCACTTCCTCTCTACTCTTACCCGTGTCGGTTACTCCACCATTGATGGTCTCCTTCCAGTCGACCACATCCCAGGGTTCGCCGGTGGCCGGGCTAGTGCCGCTGCCTACAGTCTTTGTCTTGACCGTGATGCCTTTGCCGCTCAGCCTGTCCTTCATGGCTTGGATTTGAAACGACCCATGATCGCCCATTCTGGCCTCAAGCACCTTGCTGTTGGCCTTTTGGAAACCGTCAAACAGAGCCTTGTGATTCTTGTAGTTGTCGCCCTTTCTGGATGTCTTCTGCACCAATTTCCCCATATCACTTAGGAACTTGATGTAGTTGTCCGTGCCGCCTTTTACCATCTTGTAAGCAGGTGGGCTGAGAACCTTGCCATCGGGATACTTTTTGCTGGTGGTTGCCTTGAGCATCTCGGGGTAGATGTGCTTCGCAGTCTCTTGGGGATCGAGACCAGCGGCGCCGTCGGCAAGGGGCAAGGGATTTCCGCCGCTGTCTCTGCCGAAAGGCACGAGGGAGTTGCCATTCAGTTTGCTCAGAGGGCCTATTAACTCGTTGAAGTTTGCTCTAGGGCCCCTCGACTTGGTCTTTTCCCAACCGCCGGGGCATTCGCCCGTTGCCTTGTTGAATTCTCCCTTGCAGGCAAAGCCAATGATACGATCTGCTTCTGCGTTGAGGCCATCGATTTCATAGATGTAGTAGAGCCAGACGCGCTCCAACGCGCCCTGGTAACCACCGGCGAAGACGGTAGTGATGAATAGGACGAGCTCCAGCAATACTGTGGCTCTCATGGCGGCGATGGTCGAGAGGGTTGACTAGGAATGGCGATGAATGAACAAGTAATGACCGCGCCAAATGGTCCCCAGGAAGAAGAATGGGGAGCCAAGGGGGGACGATGATGATATGGGAAGATGGAGCGAAATGCAGCCCAGTACGCTTCTAGTCATCGAGCACCCGTAGACCACGGATTCGCAAGGAGAATGTTATATACCTCGGTATGTATCGGCCTCTGGGCCAACAACACAATATCTTGGGATTTACCAATGGAGGTTGAGTTTCAACAATAGAGGGCTTGTACTCCGTGTGCTTTACTGTGCGGGATCGAGGCGAGGCCGGGGCGGTGCGTCCCCCTTCCTAGTCTAATGGGTGGAACCCTCCGCTCTAAACGATGCTACATACATGGGCGGTGCAGGGATTAGGCGGTTATTTTCACGACGAAAGGAACATTACCTTGAGTCATAATAAGGCGCTCTCACATTGATTGGCCGAAAAACTTGATTGTGTATAGTGATCAGCTAGCTCCTTGCGCTGTATACATCCTATTCAAGTAATAGCCGCGGCGAGGCAATGCTACCCAAGCGAAGGGCCGCGAGAGCAAAGTGGGTTTTCCTTGAACGAGCATTGCCTCTGGCCTGCAAAAGAGCTACTCCCTAGGGGAAGAAGGAATCCTTTGAGTGTTTATCATTATAGTGTTGGTTGTATCTCACATGGTCGAATCCTTCTTGGCCTGGTGATATTGGAATCCGCCGCCGTTGCTTTCTTATAGGATTGCGGGTACTCTCCACCTGGTGTTGCCTGTAATTACATAGTTCTATAGTTCCCGTCTCACTCTCCTCTCTTATCCGTCCGTGCCGCTTCTTCAGAAGCTTTGTTAAAGATACCACCTGGAAGAACCAACCAGACTCTTCTAGGTTGCCTTTCAGGGTCTCTGCCCACGCCCATCATAATCCCCCTCTTTCCCTTCGTTTCTTCCTCTTCCCTCCTTACGCTATCGCTTCCCCCACTCCTCCATTCACTCCCTCAACGCTCCTATAGGGGCAGGCCAACATGATAGCCTCATTACGCCGCGGGTTGATTGCCGCTCTCTTGCTGTCAGGGACGGTCGCTGCACAAGATGATGCCGCCGGACACGACAGCGTCGAGGACTGGCGGGCAGCACACGTCCGCACATCGGGAGATGCCATGAAGCCTTGTCCTCCGCCGTGCCAGGAAGAATCATCTTCTGAATCTGAAAAGGCATCTTTCCTCTTCTCCGATGCCGTTGGTCTGGCTGCCTGCAACGAGACCATGATAGTGAGCGTGGCCGTTCAAAACAGCAACATAGATGGCACTCCTAGGCCAGTTGCAATCAGAGCATGCAAAGCCGAATTCACATCCAGATATGACGCTTTTACACCGCAAGAGGATGTTGCCGCCATTTGCTCAACGCCTAACCATAGAATCATCCAGGCCTCCATCTCCATGGGGGAGCTCAGCTCTGCCAATGGCAACAACAAGTTTGTCACTGGGCACCTCCTGGAAGCGGGCAAACAACTTCTCAACTCGCTCGGCGCAAAGAAGCCTTCTTGCACCGATAATTTCCTAAGCTTTGGCTACTCGCAGTCTTCCGTCATTGGTCTCTTTGGAGGTCTCGAGCTTCACCAGCATGGTGTACCTGCCGAGGTCCTGAACAAGTTCCTGGAGCATGCCCGGGAGAAATCCATCTCCAAGCCTACCCTTGTTCAACTCTGCAACGAAGGAGAACGTGGGGCCGACTATGCCGTCGGTATCATTGCCGTCAGTTCTCAGGACTTTTCTTTGGCCCAAGACGCGGTCAAGGCATGGGCAGATGGACGTTGTGTCTCGGCTAACACCAACAACAATCCAGGCTGGACGGCCGTCACTATCCGCGTCCCAGAAATCGCCAGAGACTCCAGAAACACCACCAGCACTCAACCGTCACAGGAGGTCTCTGATTCTGGAGATGCTGCCCATATCTGGGGAAAGTCGCGTCTTGCCGCGAGGGCCACCTGCAAGACGCAAACGGTCAAAGCGAACGACGGCTGCGCCTCGGTGGCCGAGCGATGCGGCATTAGCCAGGCTGATCTGAAAAAGTACAATCCTGCATCCAACTTCTGCTCTACACTTGTCCCTGGCCAGGTGGTCTGTTGCTCTTCAGGCCAGCTGCCCGATAAAATCCCCCCGGCCAACTCTGACGGCACCTGCAAAACCGTCAGTGTCATAGCCGGCGACGGCTGCACATCCCTGGCGTCAAAGTGCAAGCTGGCTGCAGCAGACTTCACCGCGCTTCACCCAGACAAGAACTTCTGCTCAAGCCTGGCCGTTGGCCAGCCCGTGTGCTGCACGCGTGGCAAGCTGCCCGATCTGAAACCCAAGCCAGGTAAGGATGGGTCGTGTGCGACGTACACTATCAAACCGGACGATGGCTGCTCTGCCATTGCTGCCTCCCATGGCCTGACACAAAAGGACATTGAGGATTTTAATAAGAAGACTTGGGGCTGGACTGGCTGTAACCCGCTCTTCCAAGGAAGCGTAATCTGTCTGAGCACAGGGACACCTCCTTTTCCAGCCTCTGTTGGAGATGCCCAGTGTGGACCGACGGTGCCCGGTACCAAGATGCCGCAAGGCAGCACCAGTGATGACTGGGCTAAGCTTAACCCTTGCCCTCTCAATGTCTGCTGCAATATCTGGGGCAAGTGTGGTTTCACAGATGACTTTTGCATTCTTTCCAAGTCCGTAACTGGTGCACCCGGTACTTCCGGGGTCAAGAATGGATGTAAGTATAACCCTACCCATCTGACCTATTACGCCCCTTTGCTTCTACGTCCCCCCAGGCAGCGCATGGAAACTGATATCGAACAGGTATCGCTAGCTGCGGCAGAGATATTGTTAAAGGTAGCGCGCCTCAGAAGACGCTTCGAGTCGCGTATTTTGAGTCTTGGAACGGCAACCGCAAATGCTTGACCATGGATGTCAATCAGATTGACACTAGCAAGTACACGCATATCCACTGGTCCTTTGCTAATGTCACCAAAGATTTCAAAGTTGACGTTGGCGGCGCACAAGCACAATTTGATATGTTCAAGGGCATGACTGGGGTTAAGAGGGTCATCTCGTTTGGCGGTTGGGACTTTAGCACCAAACCAAATACGTTTAACATTCTGCGAGAGGCTGCCAAGTCGGGGAATCGCGACACTTTCCGCAAGAATATCATTGACTTCCTTGGCAAGCATAGCCTGGACGGCGTTGACATTGACTGGGAGTATCCAGGTGTAAGTACTGCTTCGCCATCCCTTAATACCCCGACACCGCTAACGTTAAAACACTTAGGCTCCTGATATCCCGGATATCCCTGCCGGTGATCCTAATGCTGGAGAAGATTATTATCAGCTGCTCAAGAGCATTAAAGACTCTGTTGGCACTAAGTATTCCGTTTCGTTTGCAGCCCCAGCTTCATACTGGTACCTCAAGGCTTTCCCCGTCGAAAAGATGGGCAAGGCGCTTGATTATATTGTTTACATGACATACGATCTTCACGGCCAGTGGGACTACAACAATAAGTGGACGTCTTCCGGCTGTCCTACCGGAAACTGTCTTCGCTCTCACGTGAACGAGACGGAAACAAAGGATGCCTTGGCTATGATCACAAAGGCGGGCGTGCCATCTAACAAGGTTGTTGTCGGCGTCGCCAGCTATGGGCGCTCTTTCAAAATGGCCACAGCCGGTTGCGATGGACCAATGTGTACATTTACAGGCAGTCCAAGGCAGTCCAACGCCTATGCCGGCCGCTGCACAAACACTGCAGGCTACATTTCTAACGCGGAGATTAAAGAGATTATTGCTTCTGGGAAAATCAACAAGCAGTGGGTTGCTGCTGGATCTGATATACTGGTCTACAATAACACCGAGTGGGTGGCTTACATGAATAACTCGATCAAGTCGGACCGTGAAAAGCTCTACGCGTCCTACAACATGGCAGGAACGAGTGATTGGGCTGTTGATTTGCTGGAGTTTCGCGAGTGTGTTCCCTGCATTCCCTGCCTTTTACTAATGCTTTATACTTACTGGTCTGCAGTGGTAGTGACCTTGATGCCGGGGCTGCTGCCGACTTTCCGCTCGACTACGAGTACGAGATTGATACAAACTTCTTCAGCCAGTGTGATGCCAGCTACGACTCCCTGGATGCCCTAGAGAGCCGCAAGGACAAAATCCCTGACCATTGCATGAATATCTACATTGCCAAAGTGGAAGCCAAGATCATGAGCGATGCCCTGAGCCAGTATGACGACCTTGTTGACGACGGCTACGACGACAAGTTCAACACGTTTCAGGCATACGTCAAGCAGCAAATACCCGATCAGATCAATGCATTTATGGGCAACGGAAAAGCCGGTGACTACTTCAAGTGCGAGGAGACGGGCGAGCACAATTGCTGTGGTAGTTGCCGCTACTTCTGCGATGATGACAGCAACAAAGACTGCGATAACTCTAAAGACTGCAAAAACGGCCGCGGCACATTCCAGATTACGTGTCCGACAGAGTTTGAGTACGGCGAGGTTGGAAATTGGCTTTCCGAAGACGCGGCTCCAAACACCACATTCACGCTCCAGAATGAGGATGGTTTCTACAAAGCCATCTACGATGACTACGGCGTTGAAAAGGATTGGATAAAGTTTGGCAGTACCCACGTCTACTTGAAGAACGGCTGCCAATACTCGGATGATATTAACCAGTGTGCATGGAACAATGATAATTGGTACTGGAATTACCCTCAGGCCAGCGACGATGTCAAGGTTTCCAACCCCAAGGATATTATTGGAGACTCAGATGACAAGTCGAGAGATTTGCTGTCAAGACTCAATGTCTTGATTACCATGGCCGACTACGACGAGCTCGAGGACCCGGCTGATCTGGTCGACGCGGCGATGCTCCCTGCCCTGAGTATAAGCTCAGCCGTCAGCAGCATGGGCGATGTTGCCAAACAGGCCGAGGAGATCAAGAAGGCCGAACGCCAGGAAATGATCCTCTCCTTTATCACCGGCGTCCTCTTCTTCATCCCATTTGTCGGCTCGGCCGCCGGTGCCGCGGGCCTGACCACCGTCCGCACCATCCTCGGCATGCTTGGCCCGGCGGCCGACGCCGGCCTGCTGACGTGGGGCATCATCGAGGACCCGGACAATGCTTTCGCCACCATCTTTTCGACTCTGGCCACTGCGGGTATAGGCGCTGGCGGCTGGGGCAGGGCGGCGAGGGCGAAGCGCGGCATGTTGGTCAAGGACATTGACGCCCTGGGCAGTATCAAGGATAAGGTCAATCGATTTGATGATGTGAAGGTGGCGTCTTGTAAGCTCTAAACACTTTTGGCGGCGATTTTGGGTAATGTTAGAGAGACAAAGGGGGGGGGGGGGGGGGAGCTGTCCGCTTTTGAATAGCGTGTTTTGCTGCTAGAAAAGCAATTTATTGCGCCGTCTGCCAAAGTCTATGTATTGTTTAATAGGGTTATAAAGATGGCATTGAGGCTGTGGTATTCTTTTTGTGGCAAGAGGAAGGAGGCGTTTGTAGCGCTGGAATTTCCTGTACTGTTTCTTTTTCAATCAACTCTAAAAGATGACTCAGGCTTCTAGATGGCCCACGCGAGCGGCCTCTGCCCAGTAGGCAATATTAATCATCTTATCATCTTACTATACGCATTACATTATCGGGCACGGTATGCATTCTCCGCGACTATAAATCCGAGTTTTAGTTGTGGCCTTGATTTCTAATTCGACTCGATTTTATGCATGTTGGTTCTTAGTATCATGGGCCTGGACGGTGGATGAGATAAAAGGCCTCACCTGCAAAGTTTAGAGCGGGTTTGCCGAATGCGATTCATCTCAACATGATGGTTGTGTCGACGCGAGGCTAGCGTGTGGCGGAATCTACCCCCGGCCTTACTTATGGAGGCTAGGCTTGTCCCGACGGAATGGATCGCCCGTGTCTTAGCGCCAGTTCATGTCAGCTCGTCTTAAATTGCACAAGGATTATACGAAGTGACTTCTGGTATTGTCTGTAACTAACTTTGATAATGCTGTGTCGAAAGTGTCAGAGCCTCGCTTCGCTGCTTCCTATCTTACCTAGAGAAGCAAAACACCGTTCCACATTTGCCCAGTTACAGCTTGCAGTCCAAGAAGGTTGTAGAATTTGCGCAATGTTTCGCACTGCGCTTCTTCAAGAATACGCCAATGAACTTACCTGTTCTCTGCTTGAAGCAGAAGTATATCATCGTCATCTTGATAAGAGCTACGCTGGGAAAACAGGAAACAATCAAAGACTGCGCTCAAGATCGAGAAGCTAGGCGTACAAAGCGTGTTTTAAGTCGTACTGCATTCTATGTTTGTCCGGAGACTAATGAGACGGATGCAAGATTTGCATCGGTAAAGCGCGGACTGATAGGGATCGTATACTTACGAAAAACAACCTGGTGATGCCTATCTACCTGTTTTACAGTGCTACCCCTATATTGGACTATCGTCCGTCCTAGGTATGAAACTAATCTTCGCAAAATTGTTAATGAAACTTGCATATTGATATGGAGAAGGCTATGAAAACGTGACAAAATGGGCCAATAATATCAAGACAGCTACCGGTGACAGCCGAAATCGCGCTGCAAAGTCTTGGATTAACAGCTGTATAACGGACCACCCACTCTGTCTTGCGCCGCCCCTAACACTATTACCAACACGAGTACTAGATCTCGAATCTCCAACAAGTCCTTCACAGTTGTGCCTCGTTCTAGGCCAAGGGTCAACTGCCAGTTATGTGGCCCTAAGTCATTGTTGGGGCGGCTCCCAGCCTTTGAAACTCACTCTATCGACACTTGAAGAATTCCAGAAGAATATCAGCCTCTCTACACTTCCAAAAACATTTTTGGACGCTGTTTCTGTAACAAGATCACTGGGCCTCCCGATATCTTTGGATTGACTCACTCTGTATCATCCAAGACAGCAAAGCAGATTGGGATAGCGAATATACTAAAATGATCAATGTTTACAAAAATGCCGCTGTTACGCTAGCTGGTCCTGCTGCAACAGGTTGTAACTCAGGATTTCTTCATAAGCGAGATGAACAAATACATGAGATTGTGGATATATCGCGCAATGGAGCTTACACAAAGGTGGTTCTTTCACTCCAGGGGGTTGGTAAATACCGCGACTATTTCGAGCCAGAACACAACTCACCTTGGGCAACAAGAGCTTGGATATTACAAGAGAGGCTTCTTTCACGTCGAATCATTTATTTTGGTAGTACGAAGATGTATTTTGAGTGCTCTACCAATGTTAGACTTCAGTCTTGCCACTATCCAATTACTTGGAATAATCAGGAGATTAACGGAATTATTAAACAGTCGACTGCGCAGCTCCAGAACAATTCGGAGCGCTTTCAGTATTGGGCATCAATAGTTCACAGCTATTCATACTTGCAGTTGAGTATGAAGCGAGACAAGCTTCCAGCACTTTCTGGTATTGCTTCTGACTTTCAGAAGCTAACAGGTAGTGACTACCTAGCTGGTCTTTGGAAAGATGACTTACCCAGAGAGTTAACGTGGTATATTGGGTATTCAAACTCGCAGCCGCCTTACTTAGATTACATTGCTCCATCTTGGACCTGGTGTAAGCCATAACATATATGAGAGAGTTGGTCTAGCTTACGCAGAGGGCAGTTCAGAACGATATAGATTAGCAGAGAGGTCTAATACTGTGGAGCGCACTACTTTTAGAATAGTGTAGCTTTACTTTCTGCAAAATAGCAGTTATGGTTTTGAAATTCTGGCCAAATGCACATACCAACATAGGGATTGCTGAGAAAGAGTCATTTGTGGAATAAAGACACGGAGAAACAAAAATGAATACTTTCATTGGCCGCATGCACACGCCAAGCCGTCATCTTCCAATTGTCAATAGTAACCGTTGTTGATTCATTGTGAGTAGTAATTAGTCCAATGTCATCAATAAATAAAGAGATTACATGTCATCAAATTAACTAGACATCAAAAATATCTTGGCCGCACTGTTCGTTCTGGGGGGGATTAGAATATGATAAGAACACACTTTTGTACGAAATGACAAAGCTCAACAACTATTCTGGAGATTAAAAAAAAGATATGTGGTCATCATTGCGCTCATGAGACAGGTCAGTCATCGTGCTATTCTAGTTTTGGCGAAAGCAAAACGCAGCTGAGTATAACCTACCGCTGTAGATATCCCGTAGAGATATATACAGAAATCCATCAGCTAGGATCAACAAACTATGTAAATAGAGTACTTCAACCAACGCAACATATTCTTCGTTCTGGGTAAGCTAATATGAAGGGGTAAGTGGAAGGCTGTCATGGCGCAAAATTACTAAGGCATGGGCGACGTCCACCCTGCCGAGGCCGCTTAAAACAGCGGTTACGCGCCAACCGAATTCGGCGGCACTAACAGTGCTTTCTCGCTTTGAAGTGGAAAGATAAGAAGAGGTTGAGGAGAGATTAGCAGCAAACATGAAGATAACAATAGAAGAGGCATCCTCTTGAAACTAATGTTTCCAATGTTATAAAGCAATGTATTACCAAACTTGAATACAGCCCTTGTTCGAATATATCATTATCAATCTTCAGCAGACATCATTTTGCACAATAACGCTTTCTGATATCTGCCGCTTTTCCGGAACATTCTTCCTTTAAACATCATCATGAGTCTCAACTGAGCTGAAGCCGTAGTGGAGCTGGAGTGTAGCAGTAAGGCACGCACCTAGAAAGAGTATGGCAACAAGGCGGTTACAAAGTCTTTGAAAGAGGTCATAATCTATGCTCTTCCAGTACAACTAGGCCAATATCCTCCCCGCCGCGCCAACTGCTTTGTCCCTCCTCGGCGCCTGCCATCTTGCTTTGTCCAGCCAGAAGGCGCGGCCATCAATTTGCGCTCCGCCACGCCTGAGGGCGGATGGAAGCATATGAAGGTCGCCACAAAGCCCACTATCAAGGCGTGCTTGGTGTATGTCGGTGACTGCGGCGCCAAGGCATTTACCATTGCTGCGACCAACATGGACGCCATCGCTGGCACTGCGGGTGACTCAACAGACATTGTGAGTGAAGCCATTGAAATCAACTTTTAGGAGCGATAGTGGGTAGTTTACTAATAAGTGAGAGAGAAAAGATTACAGAAGTTGTCCCCGCAACGCAGAAACTGCCCAATCCGAATTATACACATACTCTCGACAACAAGCTCACCCAGCTTCGTTGCCTCTCTGGCAGCTGCCTCAACTACGCTGATGGGACCGAAAAAGCGTTCGATGCTTGGCTCCTCTGCTTGACAGGGTTCCACACCGCGTCGGTCCAGAAGCATGGCACCACGGAGGCCGTGGGCGAGGCCAATGTCTCGCTCAAGCTGCAAGCCGAGGTAGAATCCTCCTTCAAGGTAAAGAAAGTTGAGTCTATGAAAAAGGCCGCCGACGTAATGTTGAAGTCTATAAACAAGGCTGGAGTGGCACAAGACTTACAATGTAAAATGAGTAACACCGGCGTCTGGTTGTGGACAGCATAGGAAACTTGCGCCATGGGAGCAATCAATGCTATCGCTCAGGCTGGGCCTTCAACTGTGGCTCAGACTCTTCCTGCCCTCATCAACGGCATGAGTCCCATATCGGTCCTCAAGTCAGCCGCAAGAGCCTTTGGCAAAGCTGCAATAGACGACGCAGCCAACGCTCCCGGCGATCCTCCCATGACCGGTGCTCTAACCAGAGCCGCTGTTGGTCAAGCTGCTGTCAACAGCGGCTCTGCTCTCGCTCAAACAGACGCAACGCCCCTAACTGATCCTGCTTACGCCGCGACACCACTGCTGGCCCCTTTCTTAACAGCATGTACTCGTATATGACCCATGGCTCCAACGACGATATTAACTAGGCAAAGTTCAAGGATAGTATGAAAGACGAGGATGGCAAAGTCCAGCAGGCTCACGGCCTCACTTGGTTGCCAACCAACGCCAAGCAACAGGAGAAATCGGCACAGCTCGGCACCGGTGAGCCCAGCAGAGAGCTCAAGAGTGCCTTCGCATTGATGATTAAGATTATCGAGGCCATCAAGACCAAGGTGCTCAAGTCTTCAGACATGACCGGCGGCGGCACTGATGCAGCGATCATCAAGGCCTAGCAGGAGGACATCAAGAATGTCAAAGCCATTACTTCCAAGCTGGGTACAAAGGCCAAGACCTTCTCCAGCTCGTCTGCCAGCACCCCTCAAATACGAAATCTCAAGATTGATGAGCCCAAGACGGACTACTCGGCGCAAAACGCTGCCCTAAACACGACAATGGAGAAGCTGGCCATTAACCAGGGGACTCTCAATGCTGCGCAGGGACTACTAAAAGGCTGCTGATAGTGCCTCAGAATGCAGTAGGAGCTCATGACCTTCTAGATCACGCTCAAGGGTTTCGAGATGGAGGGCTAGTCTCTCGAAATCTCGAAAAGGCCAAGGATATCCCTACTGACTGTATCACCACCCTCGTGAAGCTCAAAGTGCCAATCGGCAAGCTCAGGTGCTTCTCTGGCCCTCTGTCCACCATGGTGCGCCTAGTCTTGCAAAACAAGGTCAAAAGGTTTGACGGAGATGTCTCGAGCGTCGCCATCGACGCCAACAAGAAGCAGCTTCTTCGCCTGAAGGACATGGATATTGAGATCATCTACAGGAGCACCCTACAGATCGAGGCATGTTTCGAGCTATTCCAGACAATTGCCCGAATGTATTACCAGATGCATATCAACCATGTCTCCAAGGGCATGGACTCGGTCTGAGATTTGAGCTAGTTTGCTGAAGGAACCCAGTGAGGCGGCAGCCAAGCGCGACGCCCTCAGCCACTGGACAAATAGCGCTTCTCAGGCTATCCTCAACATAGTTGCTGACAAGCCAAGCGAGATCAAGAGCGAATTGAGAACATTTCTGCGCAGACCGAAATGCTTGAGAAAACGCTCGTGACGATGGCTCAAACGTTTGTGGCTGCTGTGAAGACTGGAGCTGCCGCCGCCACTGAGCATGTTGAGGAGAATATGCCCCAAAGCCTGGCTATCCGGGTCAGCGAGGATCTGAGCATCTAAAATCGGGCCTGAACGGCTTTTGGATTCCTTGATGTTGGCAAGCTTTGGATTACTCGTGTTTCGAATTTTTGATGTATTTTGTCTCTTCTCGTTGCTACGGACACACTCAAGGACACCTACATAAAGTCGCATTCGTATAAGTTGGAAGGTACCTACGTAATAAGCAACCCAGTTCAATTTTCTGGTACTCTAGCTACAGCATAGATACATGTAGGCTATTGCTACTTCTAATACTTCTGATACTTCTTTATGTTTGACACATAAACTAACATTGTTGACATATGCATGTATATTAGTAATGAATAAGCGCAGCCAGGGGCAATGTGCCGCGGAGAGGCACTTCTGCACTAATGCCCCGATTCATCGAAGCTGATCTGCCGTAAGATTCTTGATCAGCTCGAATTCAGGACACTATACCTATTTTTGCAAAGGCTGGTAGCATAACGTTGTGTCACTTAGCTCCACCAGCGGGAAAAAAAAAAAAAAAAGAATCCTCCCCGTTCCTAAAAGGATTATACTAGCAGGGGCCGCGTAAATGCCTGCAAAAGGCATAGCAGTACAAAGTCTTGCAGAAAACCTGTCAGGACATTCGACATTTATATTACTACTTGTAGCAATCAGTCAGTACTAGTTAGCTTCATAGATCAATATGTCAGTAATTGCAGGGCTACTACTGGCAGCCAGGGAGCAGTTTATGTATAGTTATGTTGTGATTGAAAGGATTTTCAATTCATGCAGCAAACTTAGTTAATATATACATCAGGCTCATATGGTTAGTAGGCGTTTGTTATAAACAACTTGTTTGAAGACAGGCAGCTAATTCAATTGATTGAGGGCATGACTTTTTTCCTAGCTCATCACTCATCACTGGTACCAAGGCCACCTTTTTGTTTGTTTTCATCTACCCGGAGTGCATTTTTGTACTTTCATGACGAGAGCGTCGCCATCCTTCTACCACCTTGCAGCAGAAGAGCGTCCATTATGGCAATTGAAGCCATGGCCTCCACGATTGGGACCGCGCCTAGATACTGTTAGCAGGAATCAAAATTGATCATGTACAAAATGACTTACGTGGAACAACGCAGGGATCGTGACGCCCCTTGGCCTCTAAAAGCCCATCTCTTTCTCCCGCAAATGTGACCGTCTCTTGAGGCAATCCAATCGTTGCAGGCGGCTTGAAAGCGACACGGAAAAAGATGGGCGCGCCGTTTGTGATTCCTCCCTGGATACCTCCGCTATTATTCGTTGACGTTGCAAGCGTTGGTCGCGCAAATCCGTTCTTGGAACCTGACGCAGTGGTATCAGGGTGCTTAATAAACATGTCATTGTGGGCGGACCCTGGGATTTCTGTTCCTTCAAATCCAGAGCCGATTTCGAATCCCTTTGTTGCGGGAATGCTCAGCATTCCGTGGGCAAGTGTTGCCTCCAACTTTGAAAACACCGGTTCGCCAAGTCCAGTGGGAACGTTTCGAATGACACACGAAACTGTGCCGCCGATACTGTCCTGGCGGTCTCGGAAGTCAGCAATGCATTGCTCCATTTTGGCAGCAACTTCCGGGTCTGGACACCGGACTGGCGACTTGTCAACGGATTCCCGTGAAACCTCTTGAAGCAGTTGGAGAAACTTGGGGTTATGAGAAGTAATAGGGTACTCTGCTGTTGGTGGGTTTTGATGAATATTTCCGACAGATGAGACCCAAGCAACAATCTCAATCCCATGGGCGAGTTTAAGGTAGTGCTCGCAAAGAGCGCCTGCCGCCACACGGCCAATTGTTTCGCGCGCACTCGAACGGCCGCCGCCAGATGATGCTCGAACGCCGTACTTCTCGAGGTAGGTGAAATCGGCATGGCTAGGGCGAGGGTACTGCTTCATGGTATCGCCTTTGTAGTCTGCGGGACGGTGGTCCTGGTTCTTGACGACCATGGCTATCGGGGTCCCGAGTGAGATTCCTCCTTCCACGCCGGACTGGATTGACACAAGGTCGGCCTCATTGCGAGGTGTCGTAAGAGAGTTTTGACCGGGGCGACGGCGGGAGATCTGAGTTCTTGAGTTACAAAATTGAAGACAGCTTGAGGGTTGTTCTGTATGCTAACTAACCTGGGGCTGGAGGATCTCTTCTGAGACCGGGATTCCAGGAGGAAAGTTGTCGACGATACATCCAACGCTAGGACAATGGCTACGGAAATTAGCATCCAGCGCTATCCTCGCTCGAAAGAGACTGATGTTTACCTCTCGCCGTAGGTCGTTACGCGCAGGAATTGGCCAAAGGTCGACATCTTGGACAATGCTAATGGTTTGTCGAAGACGTGTGTAATAGGAAAACGTTGGTTGCCAGATCGATCTGATGCTGTAGACTATGTAGTCCGTGAGTCAGAATAAAGAAAAGCTATTTTTATATGGAACGGCCGGAATCGGCGTGGTGATGTAGTAACGCCACAAGGCCCGTTTTTATGGAGGGCAGTTAATCCAGCATGGCGTCTTGATAACACGTCCCTTGTTGTAGTGTAAGTGGATACTATCTGACATGCTTGGAAGGACTAAAGCCCCGCTGTTGTGCATATGCCGCATCTGACATAAGATTGCCTCTGTAACCTAACTAGAGCCTTATTCACCAAGCAGTAGCAATTTTGACAAGTTTAGCAAACAAAGGTTTACTAGTATTTCCTCTCTAACAGCTATTATAAAACTAAACACATTATATAAAAGTTATTTTTCTAAAATCTTTTGATCAACTAATTAAAAAACTTGCTAGTAGCAACCCGTTTAATGTTTGATAATTCTTGGAATATTACAAACATAAATTCTTACTCGGCTTTCCCTTGACTCACTTCTACTCAGTCTTATCCTGCCCCTGCTTATGCTCTACCTAGGCTTACTTCAAGGTTGCTTATGCCAGGGTCAATCTTTATCAACCTTGCTCAAGCTTGCTTATGATCAAAATCCTGATGCATTGTGCTACTTGCGCCATTGTGCTACTTGTGCTTAGTCACGTCTTTCTAGCCCTGAGAATAGTCCCCCGATGTTGATAACCTTGTTGGAACTTTACTGACGGGAAGAATGACATGTACTTTACAACATACATGTATCGGGGCTACGCTCTATTGAACAGCTAGAAAATCTAGAAGATTCCGGTTTTGGGATCCTCTAAAGAGAGGATCCAATACCTGACTTCAACGTTATTGGGTAATACTTCCTGTTGGCAGCCAAATGCTCCATAAATGTGCCGGGCGTTATATTCTCTAAATCCCATTAGATTTTGTGCCTTCTAAAACGTGTCGGTGTTTATACTTGAAGCCGTTCCGATAACGAGAGTGGGGGCTGGTTCTCCCTTCTCTCCATCCACCATTCTCTGTACGTGCATGAGGTGTCTACTTTTTGCATTTATAACTTTTACCTAGCTTATTGACTCTCACGATGGCTCTGATACTGAATTTTGGCAAGCAAGAGCTTGGAAGCAGCAGTGAAACCTAAAATTACGCTTTGGTTAGAGTATCACCGACTCTAATATGTCAGCGAAGTACTTCGAAAGAACTCAATAATAAACCCACGGGAAATAGCTTCCTAGATCTTCTTTTCGCGGGCTTCGTCACTCCTTGAAGCGTTTCACAAAAGTATTTCTCTCCTCAGAGATAGATCCTTATGAGGGCTATCAGTGGTCTAAGTTGCTTAGAAGAGGCCGGAGGCCGATTCATGGCACAAGTCTCAACACACTCAGTTGTGTAGTGTCAAAATGACTGATAACATCCCCACGAAACTTCTCCAGGATAAGGTCACCTCTTTGTCTACGTGGCGTCAGACATCTCAAACCTAAGTTGCCGGCGCACAGCAAACAGACAAGGACAACATCCGTTGCGGAGATGTACGAGACTGCCATGCGATTTTGTGCTCCGTGGGTATTGGACTACATACACATCAGTGGCAATGTATTTCCACAACAAAGGGACAAGGATACGGAAGGCTTCAGCACATGACTTGCGCATGCTCGCGCCTTAGAAACAGAAGGAAACAATGAGGGGCAATTCTTCTCTTTGGCCAATGGGCAAGCCACATTTGCTATTTTGGTGAATTGATATGGAATGATCTTTCGCTTTGCCTTTGACGGTGAAAATGTTTGTTCATCCTTCTGCTTTGGCTATAGAATTGTATCCTTGCCTGGGAAGTAGGAACAGATTCTGGGCAGATTGAATAGGGTAGGTACGAGCCTTCGTGAGCTTGATTCGAGACGTACACAATGAGGACGTTGGTACCTAGGTTTTTGCTAAGAAAACCAGCGCATAGACAAACTTCAACGAGGACCACCGACGAATTTAGAAAGACATCCAACACGCCTGGGACACCCTCAAGGAAGGTATGTTGGCGGGCTGCGCCTAGCACGCATATAGAGCTCGCTTTACCTAATACCTCTGCTTGTGGAGATCCTTGGCTGAGAAGGTCCAGCCGGTAGGAGATCTCTGACCTCAAACAGAGCATAGGTGCATGTAGGTAGGCTATTGGTACTTCTGATACTTCTGATACTCTTCTACAATGAGTACCTTTAATGTCAAATACTTAAAATACATCTTTTTATAAACCAATTACGTTGTTAGGTCGTAGCTTGGGCGTTTGGTAATGAAATAGGTACTACAGGCCACATGTATTTGCAAGTACCTTTCATTCTTTATACTTACCTACTACTAGTAGTATACGATAATCTCTATACAAATGAAAGCTCCACCATCAGCCTCAAATTACCAAGTTTTTGTCCACACTAAGAAAGAAACATGGTAAACTTAATTTCGATTACGCGTCGAGCAAAGAGATGGGCCAGCCACGAATATATAAAGAACTCATACACCTCGATCAAATACTGTTCCCACTTCCATCAAACACACCAAAGCACAAGTTTGATGAGAAAGAAGACGTCCGCCATCATGAGCATTCTTGAATTCCTCGTCCGCCCTAAAAAGGGCAAGCTTTCCTATCAACATCCTTGTTACATCCTTCAGCTGCCAGTCGTTACCCTTGTGGAGATCCTGGCTCTTCTTCCGCCTTATACGCTACTGCTCGTCTACCAGACTTGTCGCCCCCTACGCAGGATCATTTATGATTACTTTCTAGCTGGTAGAGGTGATATACTGGCCAACGTGACGCCGGAAGATAGACTACTATACCTCGCTCACTTCTCCAGGCTTCAACCTGATCGATGGGTTTGCGCTAAATGCTGCAAGCTTCATAAGATCCATGGAGAAGATACGCCAGAGACCCGCAGCTCCCGTCACCTCAGCTGTATAGACGGATTGGACATCTCCGAGCGGTACGGCCGGTCCAAGTATTTTGCCTATGCCCCAAAGCATAGACACGTCGAGCTTACGCTCAAGTATACGCGACTGAAGGATATAGAAAGAAGGTATCAGAAATACCTTTTGAAACTTCTTGAACCATACCACCGTCAGCTTCAAGAGCCGTATTGGACCATAACTCGAGGCGTCGAAGTAAGATTTTCGGTTTATCCCAAGGTGGTTAATGGAAGATATTTGCTCTTGTCCATCTGGACATATCTTGGGTACGTGGTCATGCCAGCTCGCAAGTCTATACGTTATCTGGATATATGCCCTCATTACTCTCAAGGGGGGATGAGAAGGAACCATGGTTGGATTCAAATTTACCGAGCGGGAATCGAGCACGCGGGAATCGACCAAGTTCTTGATACGGCTTTCGCAACAAAAAATACTCCAGTCCATTTCTCTTGCGGTTCCTGTAGAACGGATTTCTCCATTGAAACTTCGTCTGAACGCGTTACTATATGCGTATGGCAAGACTTTGGGTCAGAGGGAACAATATATGATACGGAGTGGGGGGCGATAGCACGGGATGCTAATTTTTTGTATCATCCGCCTCAAAGCGTTAGACAACTGTATGGCCCATATAAGCATATTGAACCCAAGGCATGAACAATGACAGTCACAAAATTTTCAATGAATAATTAGTTTCATGAATAGACATAAGAATAAATTTCAAATACAGTTTACTATACAAATTCAAAAAGCTCGCAAAGACCATTGCAACAGCGGGCTGTACCTAGCCCTTGGATTAGTGAGTATGTAGGTGGATGAAGATAACCAAAATACATTAAAAAAAGACAGCCAGGTTGGCCATCAAGGTTCAGCAACGCCTAGTTCATTAAAATAGCTTTACAAGGTTCGAGATAAGATTTCTACACCCAAGGTAAAATTTTTCGTCTAATTAACAACGCAATGAAGGGACCACTTATACAGAAGCTAGTTTGCAGGCATAAAAGCCTGGGACGATTCTTTGGAAGACGGGTGAGATCCCATTGTCAAGTACGATTTGACATACAAAGCTAAATACAGTAAGACATTTGTTTAATGTATCTTACTTACTTGGGTACCTAGTCTACGGAAGACCCAGAAACTTTCTTAGATTTGCATCCTTGAAGCTTCTCTCAAAGACAGAGTGAACCGGCTCTGGGTGGATGTTCGGGAAAAGATCATTGTCAAACGGCTCTGGCAACAGAGTCCCGCCTCTGCCTTGAATCAACTGATGGCTGGCTTCCAATTCCAAGTCGACATCGCCGAGTTCTTTTGCCCGAGCCTCTTTCTCCACGGCCGTTTCAACGTCAAGGTAGGTGATTGAGTATTTGTGGCCAGTGATCGCCTCCAGGTCGTCGAATATTTCTTTCCAGGTAGGCGAACCACCGTGGAAACGGTAGGTGCGTCGATGGCCATTGTCAGCAACTGAAAATGGATGTCGGAGAGTTTCGATGGTGTATGCGATGGCGTCCGCAGTCGAAAGCAACGACTGTCTTCCTTCGGGCGTTCCAAAGATTCTGGCAGTATGGTTTGCATTGTCGATTCCGAAATGCTTGATGATGCTCCATTCTGTAAGACGTCCAAGGTTGATGTATGTCCAGCCGAGATCTGGTGTATCTGCATTACGACCACGCTTCGCCAGATGCTCTCTGGTGAGAACCTTGTCTCGGTAGTATCGTTGAGTCCAGTTTGATCCTGCAGTCAGATCCGCGCCCCATTCGCTGGTATAAAAGTGTCGTACCCCAGCCTTGATCGCAGTGTCAATGATGGTAGGCTGGTATTTTATGGCGTGGTTGCCCAAAGTCATCAAGACACAGTCGAATCCAGTAAATGCTGCGGTATCTGTGTATGTGCCAGAGACTTGTTCCAACCCACCATCGCGGAAAGTGGCGAAGATTGTCCGCTTCTCTTCTGTCTCGGGCCTGGATGTGTCATTGAAGAAGGCAATGCGTTTGAAGTCGGATTTCCTCGAGATCAACGCTTGGCAGAGGCCCTTGCCAACCGCGCCCGAAGCACCAACCACCAATATAGCGTCCAGAGTTTTTGGAAGAGCCATGATGGGAGGATGTAGTTGTGAGAAGCTCGGACGGTAGTAAGGAGTAGATAATGGCTACAACGTCACAGGAAGGATGCAGCTGCTGGGTATTCTTATACTTTTTGAAAACTGTAAAAACATGTCTTAGTATATCTCGGACTTACACCATCATGTATTATTTCGGACTTATACCATCATGCACCATCTGGTTTTAGTCTAAGGAATCTAATGATGATGGGCTGATGAGAGCTACATCATCCTAGGTAGTCACCAGAACGGGAAATCAGATTGGTAAGCCGAGCCTAGGTGTTTACTGACAGCCGGTCAATACAGACGTCAGCTTGCTCGCCTGGGAATGTATTGCTTGCCTGTCTGGGCATTTATTGCTGGTCTAGCGAATGCTAATTGGCAGCTAAAACCACAGGCCCTATCTCGTTGGGCGAAACGCGTACTAGGCGCCACTTAGCCGGGAAAAGTTGCCTTACGTGATAGCCTCTAGAAGCACGCCTCTATATCTCGGAAGCGGTTATTCCTCATATACCTCGGTAAACGGTGCGAGGATAATTAATCAGTTAATATGATGATGTATGTACTTGAGATCCTATACTGGCATGTAGCAAGAGGCTGAAACATCTACATTACATAATGAGATATTGTTTAGACCTATTGGATCCCGGCAATTGGATGCCGTTCCGCTGCACACGAATAAGTAAGTGGCTGTAAAATTGTAGGCGTAGTAGGGATGCCTTCCTATAGGTAAGGACCTACCTACTACGTGCAATGCGAATGGTAATATTTTGTATACCTTATGCTAAATAGCAAATAATTATATATACATAATCAAATTGTAGCACAACATTTTCCCACATTAGATTGATTGGAATAGGTAGGAATACCTAGAATCACCTGTACAGTGTACTTCCATCTTATCGTGCACTCCAGATTGAGTCAGCACGTTATCGTGATGCCCCGCCAAAATTTTGCATCGCGGGGCACTGGCTTCAGCAGCAAACCTTCCATTTCCAAGGCATCGCGTGCTGGATGAAATTCTTGTGCGCAGTCGCTTTGACAACGCGCAAGTGACGCTGCCATCAAGATGGACGCGGGAATTCGTCTCCAATTGGGGACGGCAGTTGCTGGTGAGTCTGTTGCGTTGATTTTCTGTGTGTTGCATGCTGACAAACTTGCATAGACCTGGTGGAACTGTGGCACGCCTACCGCACGTCGATAATTCTGTGCGCTCTTGTTCTCCTGGTCGGTCTGCGCACACTTCTCCATGCGGCTGAAGACAGGGAGCCCTTAGCTGTGCTTCCCAAGATTTATAACCAGGAGAAACCCGAGGCGAACGAAAAGACAGCTCGAGAAGCGCCACCTGTCGCCGTGGCCGAGAAAAAGTCTACCGGACCAAGACGTATAAAGGGTGGTGTGACAAGGAAACCCTCGCATGAGAAAAAGGCGACAGCTGTCGATACGGATAGACCTACCAAAGTACTCGTGTTCTTCTCCTCTATCACCACCAAGACGGAGAAGATTGCCCACGAGTACATCAAGACGCTTGAGACATTCCTGGATCAAAAGGCTGGAGAAACAGAGAGCAAATTCCTGAAGCCCGAACTGCTCGATTTGACTGAAATTGACTTTGAAGACTATTTCGTCAGCCCTCCCAAGTCTGCTGAGAACGCCGCCTACGTGTACCTTTTCCTCCTCCCGAGCTACAACATCGACTCCATCAACGATACATTTCTGCAGCATCTCCAAGAGACCCACCATGACTTTAGGATCGATACTGCCCCTCTGTCTTCGTTGATTGGATACTCGGTATTCGGCTTTGGAGACAAGGAAGGATGGCCCAATGAAGACGAGGGGTTCTGCTTTCAGGCCAAGGAGCTAGACAAATGGATGTCCAAGTTGACCGGCCGGAAGCGAGCCTACCCCGTCGGAATGGGCGACATGAAGAGCGACCACACGGAAAGATTCACAGAGTGGACTACTGGAGTACAAGATGTCATTTCTCAGGCTGTACAGACTGGATTCCTCGGCGAGGGTGTGCCTGGTAGTGGTGATGCTGTAGAGAGCGACGAAGAAGACGCTGAAGCCGATGACGGTGAAGTCGTATTTGACGATGAAGAGTCTGGCGATGGCAAATCTTCTGATGACTCTCGGCCACTGGACGACGTTGAGGACCTGGGAAAGATGATTCGTCCCAACAAGGATGGAAATGGGACTACCCGAAAAGCACCCCTGGCTGTTGATTTCACTACATATCCCTCCGCCACCAAGAAGAAGGCCCAGGCGCCCATCATTAAAGAGATGGTAGCCAAGAACTCACCCACTTATACCGCTCTGACCAAGCAAGGATACTCCATTGTCGGCTCTCACTCTGGCGTCAAGATCTGCCGCTGGACCAAATCTGCTCTGCGCGGACGGGGCAGCTGTTACAAGTATTCCCTCTACGGCATCAACTCTCATCAGTGCATGGAAACCACTCCTTCGCTCTCATGCTCGAATAAATGTGTCTTTTGCTGGCGTCACGGAACGAACCCTGTCGGTACAACATGGCGATGGGTGGTTGATCCCCCGGACATGATCTTTGATGGCGTCAAAGAGAACCACTACAAGAAAATCAAGATGATGCGCGGTGTTCCTGGTGTGAGAGCGGAGCGATATGCCGAGGCTCTTAGAATTCGACACTGTGCTCTCTCCTTGGTGGGAGAGCCCATCTTCTATCCCTATATCAATGAATTTCTTGCTCTCCTGCACAATGAGCGAATCTCTTCTTTCTTAGTCTGCAATGCACAACATCCTGATCAGCTCGCGGCTCTCAAGGCTGTGACTCAGTTATACGTGTCCATCGACGCCTCCAACAGAGACTCGCTGCGAAAGATTGACAGGCCTCTCCACCGAGATTTCTGGGAGAGATTCTTGAGATGCCTAGACATTCTTCGGGAAAAGCGTTTCCGCCATCGCACAGTCTACCGCCTGACTCTTGTCAAGGGCTTTAACGTGGAAGATGAAGCTGAAGGCTACGCCCAACTCATTGAGCGCGGACTGCCATGCTTTGTCGAAGTCAAGGGAGTGACGTACTGCGGTACGTCAACATCCTCCAATGCCGGCTTGAGCATGTCCAACGTGCCGTTCTACTGGGAGGTCTGCGAATTTGTCAAGGCACTGGACAAGCGTCTCCAGGAAAAGGGCCTTGACTACGGCATCGCTGCCGAGCACGCCCATAGCTGCTGCGTCTTGCTGGCGAGCAAACGGTTCAACGTCAATGGCAAGTGGCATACGCACATTGATTACCAGCGGTTCTTTGAGCTCCTTGAGGAGAGAGGACCAGATGGTGATTGGACGCCTGAGGACTATATGGGACCACCGACGCCTGAGTGGGCTCTGTGGGGGAATGGAGGATTTGATCCTCGGGACGAAAGGGTGGATAGAAAGGGCCGCAAAATGGAGGCCATTGTGACGCGCGAGGCACCCGAGTAAGATTGCTCAATGGTATTATTAGTGTCATTATCATATATAACAAGATGAAAGTATCTTATTACCAGTCCTCATCATCCACGAAGAAAGTATTATCATATCCACGTAGACCTAATGTAAGCCATTAGAATTTCATATTGGATTATGGAAACGCTACCCGCACCGGCCCTTCCCAAAAACCTCCCATGGCTATATCATTTTACTACACAATTGTTTACACACAACTCCCAGTGGTTCAATCCCGGAGCGAGAGAAAAAAAAGAAAAAGAAACTATGGGGAAAAGAGTTTCGGGAGTTTTATCGTACACCAAAGCGATTGTTTGCGTTCCCCCTCCTCAACGGTTCTAGAAGAGATATATGTAACAAAGAGAGGGAGGGGATCCGGCGCTTCGAATCAGGGATTTTCTTTTTGTCAATTTTTTTGCGTTCCCCCTTTTCATCAAGATTCGTTTACTTTAGGTCAGGAGAAAAAAACGATAGTATTTTCTCTCATCATGATGTTTCATAAGCTGAGTGGAGCGGGGGAATGACACTCGGCTGGATTTTCTGTTGAGTTGGGTTTGCTTAGTCGAGGCCGACGCTGGGGATATCACCCAGGTTGACGCCGGCGGAAGAGGGGCGAGTGCGAATGCTGATGTCACCGTCGTATGCGATCATGTCGGCCAAGATGTCTAATATAGGCTGTGAGGGAGTTGAATGTCAGCATAAGATCAAGTCGGTGCATTGGGAATGTCATGTTGCTAGAAGGAGGGGCATCATCTACCTTGGGAACGGTGCTGTCGTAGATCTTGATAAGGTCGCCGGGAGCAGGGTAGACCTTCAATCCCTTGTAGAAAGCGAGCGCAGAGTCAAGCATCTTAGAAGCTAAATTATAAGAAGAATAAATGTCAGTGTTGTTCGTTATCACGCTTTAACAAAAAAAATTGTGTCATGGAGGGGTTCATTCATACGATCTTGGCTCAGCATCTCGCCCGTCATGACCTGCTCATTGAAGAAGGCCTCGCGCTCCTCCACGCCGACAGGGAATCCCTCCTCCTTGGCCTCGTCGACCTTTGCCTTGATGGTGCCGCGCAGGCGCTGTGTGGAGGCCTCGGCTTCTTCCTTCTCGGCGCGGACCTGCTTGCGCTCGTTTCTTCTCAGGTTACGACGGAATTCGGCGTTTCTTCGTCGCTGGAAATCAAAGTATGCGGCATATGCTTTGAATAAATCGTTAACAAAAACAAATCAGCTCCCGAGACGACCTCGCGCAGGTCATTGGGGCAGAGACGAACCCAAGAGGCCCGTCGCAACGGTTGCGACTGATGCCGTCACCACGGTGCTTGTCTGAACCATTTTGGACGAATGGAGGGGAGCTCTCGGGGTCAAGGGTTGCCCAAACTGGAGCTGCAAGTGAGAAAATGAAAAGATGACGGGCTCCGCGGAAATCGGCCTTTGCGGCGGCTGCTCAGAAATGGCCCGGTTATACGACAGCAGGGAAATTGAGCTTTAGCTTGAGAAGATGCCGCCGCCGGGATTTTTTTTTCCTTTGCTCTTTGGAAAAAAAGATATCACAAGGAATATGGAGTCACTGCGATACCTGCTAGCTCGGAATATCGATTGAGCGACGCTGAAGGCGATCGGCACATTGCCGGGTAAATGAGAGCGTCGCGGGACTTACGCAGCCACCTATTCATGGCGACAGCTCCAAGTTCCACTGTACATACCTCCATCCGAGCGTCGAATTCCCAACTGCCACCGTAGCAGCCAATCCTGTCACAGCTCGGCTTTGAAGCTCTGTGCACCGACTTCCAGAAAAGTAGACGCGACTGGGAAGTTCAAAGTTGCCTGTACATACCTATAGCCGTTTAGCTCTACCATAGAGGCTGCTCTTCTTCACCGTCCCCTGTGTCAACCATTCAATTGGTCGCCAGGTCCTCACCTCGATGAGCAGCAGCCGACATGTCTGAGGAGCGCAGCAAGATAACTTTGTCTCTTCGAAGCGGCAAGCGACGAAAGGCCCGTCCCGTCATCAGTGCACCGCGACAGATATCTGCTCCAATTCCGCAAGATGGTTCGACTGGGGGCACAGCTGCTGGTCCCGGACTGGTTCCGCTGCCCGAAGCGCCTCGGCCGCGGCCTGCACTTGTTGGTGGAAAGGTGAGATAGCACGACACCGCCACCGAGGAGACTTGTTTGGATCAGGCGACTAATATTGGCTGTGTAGACCTCTGATCTAGTCAAGCGACGATTCTCCTCACGATTTAACAACTTGCCCCCCGAGTTCGACGCGGCCGCCCCTCCAGTTCCGACTCTCCCCCCTCTTGAGCGGTACAACACCGACTACCAGCCCCCTCCATCACGAGCAGGGCCAGGAGCTGCTCCCACTGTCGATCTGAAGGCGTTGCGAGATCCGAACCTTACGTCCGACCAGTATGTAGCCTCAGTGCTGAGCGAGGCGAGCGAGGATCAGATCCAAGAATATGCCGAGTCTCTGCAGGGGATCAAGGCACGCGCAGCTGCGGACCTGCAGCAAAACCTACTGCAGAATCGGACACAGTTTATCAAAATCAGTAAGGAAGCAGAGAAGCTAAAGGGCGAAATGCGAGCACTCCGCAATCTGATGTCGGAGCTCAAGGCGAATACGACAGCTCTTAGACAAGCTTCGGGAAGAGGTGAAATGGATACATCCATAGGGGGAGGCGCCACGATGAGCAAACGAGACAAGCGCAGCTCTATTGTAGATCGAAGCGCTCTTTGGACTACGCAGATGCAAACTCTCTACAAGACCGTGGAGGGCTCTCAAAAGTTTTTGCCGAACGCGATAGGGCGCCACGTGGTTCTCAATGCCGGTCCTTGGATTGAATTGGACAATGCAACCTACAAGAGCAGAAGAGCCATGCAGATATTTTTGCTGAATGACCATCTTCTCATTGCTTCCCGGAAGAAACGCAAGGTCGACGCGCCCAACTCTGATACCCGCGGACCGATGGTGAAGCTGGTGGCTGACCGCTGCTGGCCCTTGCTTGACATTGAAGTTATCGAAATGCCTGGAACAGGCGACTCTATGGGCGGTCGTAATAAGCTGGCTGATGCCATCATGGTGCGAGGCGGTGGCCAGGAGACTTTCATCTATCGAACGGAAAAACCAGAAGCGACTGAGAAGAAGGCGCTGATGATGAATGTACGCAAGGCAGTGGAAGAGCTGCGCAAAGGGTTACAGTCTGAAATGGAGGCCAATAACAAGGCAAGAGAGACAATCAACTACTTTGCTTCCAGAGACCCGGGGCTGCTCCAGAAGACGGAACTGCTAGAGACGCTGTCCGACATCAAGGACATGCTGATAGAGGTGGATGGCAAACAGCAGAATCTGCGCTGGGTCGAAGGCCAAATGGACGAGCTTGATATTGATATTGCTCTCCAGGGATTCGAACCCGCGGTGGCACGCGTGGAAAAGATGAACGGGTTGGCCAGGGGACTCAAAGGCAACACGGTAGCGCAAGACTTTATCAACTTTGAGGTTGAGGCCAGGTGCGGTAAGCTTGCGGGCATGATTATCCAGCAGCTGGAGACGACACACAACCAGCAAAACAAGACGAAGCGAAATCTGAGCTGGTTGGCCAGACTGGGGTATGAAGACAGAGCTAGAGAGGCGTATCTCGCAGCCCGCGGTGACACCATTCATAAACGAGCAAGGTTCGTTTTTTTCTTCAAGGCCGCCAAGGCTTCTCCCCTTGATGTACCATGGAAGTACATGAACTAACAGAGTGCGAACAGACAATGCATCTTCCAGGGCGACTTACATCTATACATTTGGCAGCTATCGTTTGTGTACTTTACCCTCATCCACAATACGGTGCTGTGCTTCCAAAGCTGTTTCCCCCCACCTATGATGAGCACGTGTGTCAAGTGGGCAAAGGAGCAAGTAGAAGCTTTCAACGTGATTCTTGCCAGGCAGCTGAGCAGCACCGAACGCGGCGGGCCAGTCTGGACACAGTGCATGGACCAGGCCAAGGAACATGCGAAGAAGTTGTCTGAGGTGGGCCTTGACTTTTCAAGCTTGGTTGGTAAAGGCGTGGATGGGCCTCCGGCTAGCTCGTCGGTTGAGAGCCAGGGCCTTGTTGGGCTGGGGCTGGCTTGAAGAATACGTGGATCACAGTGAACTGTCTGGTCATGGATATCTGGTATTGGGTTGTTGATGGCGTTTGTGCCTGGAGAACGAGATGGGGCGTGGCAAGAGGAGGTGGTATGGTTACCTATACATTGTTTTTATTTTCTATAGTGCATTATATGCTACACTTGATTACGATTCCCGTGTTAAATATGCTTTTCAAGTCCGTGATTTGCATAAAATGTCTTGGGTACTATATCAGCGTTATCTTACTACGTTGATGCCGCTGGATCGTGATAAAGTATCTCTCGCTGGAGCAGTGAATCGATATTATTTCAATTAGTGGTATAAAATCATAAGTAGGCAATGAAGAATATCAAGATCCCCAGATCCCAGAAAATCACGATATTTTGCTATCAATCTCTTGCTACTACTGTATTTATCTGCCTCACTATATGCCAAGGTACCTATGTACCAAGTTTTGAAGCTTGGCGGGGCAGCTCCGGAGGTCAACTATACCAGCTTCGTGTCAGGGGGAGCTCTAGCTTGGCTACCTCTCAGCTCGGCCAGAGCCAAAAATAATTGGAATCCGCGTGCTTAGCTGGAAGGAATAGTTCATTTGTGCACACCATAATTACGGTTATATGATGTTTGTAAGAAATATCTTCAATTTCACATGATTTGCTTTACTTCTTACTACTGCTTCTTTTGTTCCTTGTATCCGTTGCTCTCACTCTTTCTACTGCTTCTACTGCTTCTACTGCTTCTACTAAATCAATTGCTCAATCTACTTCTCCATTTACTGCTAAGATTTTAAGCCTCTGCTCTTACGAGTGTATAGTAGTAGATAGCAGAGCTTGACTTGCTACCCCTTGCTCTCTTAAAACACGAGCAATTTCGAGTCCAGACGCGTAGAGCTACAGCCACTAAGAGTGTTCAGAAAACAATAGGAAAAGCGTTTCATAGAAAACGAAAAGCTCTATCTGATCAAGTATTAACATTTATCGAATTATCTTGTAATTGTGCTCTATGCTGCTTCACTGGGCCATCAGCTCGCAATAGCACTAGCCTTTGACTTCATTTCACCCCGGCTTGTTGTTTTGGCCCCCTCTCCTAATCTCCCAATCTCCCTCCCTCCTGATAGTGGCTGCTGCACAACCGCCACTGCCATAGAGCCGCCTCCTTTGGCGCCTGGAGCCCCACCGCTCGCCCGCTATCCGCCCCAAAGCTGGCACTGCCAACTGCCACTGTCGCACAGCTGCTCGCGAACCCAAAGTCTGCACAGCAAGCAACCCGAAGCGTGACCGCAACGTCATTCAAACCCATCGCAGCCTTCTCTCTCCCCTCCCCAACCAGCGCCCTCGAATCCTCCGCTTCGCACCTACGCCTCGCTTCAACCCATCGCCAATCGACCCGTTCCCAGCAAGGACTTGACGCACAGCTGCAGCGGACGCAACAGACTGCGCGGCATCCCCCCAGAATGGACACAAATATGGAAGACGTCGGGCGAGTACCGGCCGACGTGGCGCCTGTGCAGACGGAGCCCGCGACGAGATCCACGCTGGAGCAGTGGATTGAGAACCTGATGAACTGCAAGCAGCTGTCCGAAGCCGACGTCCAGAGGCTGTGCGACATGGTGAGCCTTTGATGCTGATGGTGGACGACGCGAGCGAAGGAGGGGTTTGGCTAGGCTGCAAAGCTGTCCCATCGCCATCACCTCGCCCTCGTGACACCGTTTCAAACGTCATTGGAGATTGATGCTGACTTTTTGGCTGTCGTGTAGGGTCGAGAGGTTGTTCAAGATGAATCAAACGTGCAGCCCGTGGTAGGTTGGCCCTTGGTGATGGCCATCCGCGGCTGATGAGTCAAAATAATGTGTATCTGAAGCTGACCCCAATCGTTGTGTGCAGAAATGCCCCGTTACGGTCTGTGGCGATATCCACGGCCAGTTTCACGATTTAATGGAGCTGTTCAAGATTGGCGGCCCGAGTCCTGACACCAACTATCTCTTCATGGGTGCGATACACGCAGTATGATCCGCAAAATGAGGGGTGCCTCGCCGCTGACCATGAATCTTGATTCTGCAGGCGACTACGTCGACAGAGGATACTACTCGGTCGAGACCGTCTCCCTCCTCGTTGCCCTCAAAATCCGATACCCCCAGCGCATCACCATCCTCCGAGGCAACCACGAGTCGCGCCAGATCACACAAGTCTACGGCTTCTACGACGAATGCCTTCGCAAATACGGCAACGCCAACGTGTGGAAGATATTCACCGACTTCTTCGACTACCTCCCCCTGACTGCCCTGATTGAGAACCAGATTTTCTGCCTCCACGGCGGTCTCTCCCCCAGCATCGACACACTAGATAACATCAGGGCCCTCGATCGTGTGCAAGAAGTTCCCCACGAAGGTCCCATGTGCGATCTCCTATGGTCCGACCCAGACGACCGCTGCGGTTGGGGAATCTCTCCCCGCGGTGCGGGGTACACTTTCGGCCAGGACATTTCAGAGGCTTTCAACCACAACAACGGCTTGACGCTGGTGGCACGAGCGCATCAGCTTGTGATGGAGGGATACAACTGGTCTCAGGATCGAAACGTGGTGACAATCTTCTCAGGTGAGTGCCACTTGTTACGTGCTTCTCTAGCTATCTCTCTCCCAATGGCAGGCTATAGCTTCCCCGAGCTATCAACCCGCCTACTACCCTTCCTTCATTTCCTCTGTTTTTTCCGCCAGCCTTATTAGAATTTGACTAACGTTGCTACTACTTTGCAGCACCAAACTACTGCTACCGATGCGGTAACCAGGCTGCTATAATGGAAATTGACGAGCATCTGAAATATACCTTGTAAGTCCAGATGAATCTCCCCGCTGTGGCAACTACCTACCCCACGCCAAGAGGGATTTTGTCAAAGCCACAGATGTGCTAACTGCAACAGCTTGCAATTTGACCCGTGCCCGAGAGCCGGCGAACCGATGGTCTCGAGACGTATGTTGTCCACTTCCCCACCAAATATCTGAATCATGCCATCTAACTCTTTTCTCATAGGAACTCCTGATTACTTCCTCTAATCTAGCACTCATGTTCTGCATTCAAACAAGTTATTGCTGTAAAGGGCTTATTGCGAGAAGGTTTATAGCTGTTAGAGTCCTAGGAGCTGGGCATCTAAAAGAAAAATAATGTACGATTAATCCTACTGCTGGCACACAGGCCCACGCCATCCAGCCGTAACCAGTCTCAATGTGAACAAGGAGTTGCCCAAGTGTTGCTGCGATACGGACGATCCATCACAGAATCCTAGCCCTATTATTTTTTGTAAACACACCGATATACAAAATGCTCGGCTGCTTCACCATGATTGGATCCGGCAATTGAGATTAACGTTGGACGGTGTTCACTACAAGCTCGTTATGGCAGAATCATTCCTATGTCTACCTATACTATGAATCAACATTACTTTTAATGCAGCCGCTGACTAGCAAACTAGGATACAGAATTATAATGAACTGATTTCAGATTTATGCGAATACATATTTCTACATGCTGAGGGAGAATATCCCCAGACAGGCTAATCTAAATGTAGGAGATTCTTTCTTCGGACATTCCAAGACCCGTATAACACAGTAAAAACCGCTGTCTATATCCAGTCTATGCCGCCAACGCCGTTTGAGTGTCTCGTCTGAGTGGTCAAGAACACCCATGACATATAAATGCAAACCCTAAGGCACCTTTATGCTATAATTATTATTAATTCCTTCCCGTGTGCGTTTCTCCCTTTTCGTCTTCTTTTATATCCATTGCTCTTCTTCGTCTCTAAGCAGATGCTTTGGGCGCAGTCTTGTTTTGAAATTCCATAGCCCAGCCGGCATCCGTCATCGTCTGCTCAGAAGCACTGGCAGGCAGCTCTTCATCAAATACGGCTCCGTCAGAGCCTGGAACGCCGTTGGCATAGTGGCCGGGGGCACTGCTTCCGTTGGGAATGTGGAATCGCTTGTCGAACCGAGACAGCGCGTACGTGTAGACGACGATGAGCTCGATGAGGTAGTTGAAGCAGTAGAAGCAGGCCTTTGACTGGAACCACCGTGACTCAGTTGGGGGTAAACGATAGTAGATTACGCCTGCTCGGAAGGCCGCACCGAGAGTGAGCAGACAAGATGTGAAGAGGATGAGGAAGAGCTTGTAACGCATGCTTCCGGTGCCGAATTTCTCGATGCGCTGGCGACGGGGGATGATGAAGCAGAGACCGATGATGGGTACCGGCAAGAAGGCCAGGAAGGCGAAATACGTCAATGCAACGGTTTGAGCGATGTGAGTCTGGTCGATAGTGGTCTGGTTGAGCGTGTAGATGCTGACGACGAGACAAATGATGAGCATGATCAAGCACCCAATCACAGACGCGATAAGCCCGCGCAGGATGATCCTGGCGGGCATGCTCCAGCCGAGACGGGGATGATACGCCCGCAGCACGCGCTGGACGAGAATCAGGTTGGCGATGAAGATGATGATGACACCCGCGTTGGCGAGGATCTGGGCGGCGATGGCGATGCGGACGTTTCTCGGGTAACAGGCCCAGACGATGCGCATGACGTTTGCGGAGATGCGGGCCATGGAGAAGCCGAAGAAGAGGCCGGAGAGGACGAACTTGTGGCCGCGGCGCCGGTTGCGCTGGAAGATTGTCATGTTGAAGGCGGCGGAGGCGATGTAGAAGGCGAGGATGACGGCGGAGATGGGGATGTCGACGGAGGGGGTTGGGGTGAGGCCGAGGCCGGCGTATTTGGGGGGGTAGGGGGGGCCCTTTGAGATGTTAGCTGTGATGCTGGATGAAGATGATGATGATGATTTCGTGGTGTTTTTGATGGTGGTGATGGTGTCGTACGTACCTGCATCTGCATGGCGCCGTTTTGACTGCCGGATGCCATGTTTTTGATATTTGTTGTATCAACTTGGATCCAAGAGATGCGAGAATCGGTGTTCTCTCTTTTTATTGTTTATTACTTCTTCTTATTGCCGTGATGCTGAAGGGCCTTTCTGTAGAAGTATCGTGGGCTGATGCGTATAAGTCGCTGCCTTCAAGTCACACCACCAAGATACTCGAGTTCGTGATGGTCAAACACAGCGCGTACGATATAAACTCTAGAAAAGAGATGACAAATGATAGCGCCCGTAAATCGATGATAGTGGAAGCGATGAATAGGATGCTGTATGTGGCTTTAGTTGTATGTTGCTCCAGTCATGTAAAAGACAAGCGAGTATGATAAGCGAATATGACCAGAGTCGAGGACGATCATGGGCCACGCTACATAATAAAAGAAATTGAAAAAAACCAAAAAGCAATAAACGCCGTCATTGTACATGAGCTTAGCCAGATCCTTCATAGACCCAGCGGTCTTTTTTCGTCTTCTTTTTCCTATCCCCGTAGCTCAGCTTCCCCTTGCTTGTGCTACCCTCGCGCCAAAATAGAATAGCATCGCACCCGAAGCACCGACAATGGATCACCTTGCACTTGCTAGCAGTAATGCCACGCTACTTCATACTAGGGGGGGGCCTGGCAGAATCTGTAAGCAGATTTTCGATTCATTGATGCAAAGTCCGTACATCTGCGGCCCGTGGGCAGCAATAGGCACGTTTCAAGCTGGGCAGCATCGGCGCTCGCACTTCTAGCAAGATCCGCCCGGGGTTGGGCGAAGGATTGGGAGGAGGAACGGGTCACGCGTGTTAGCGAGTTGCTTGATTTAACGTTAAAAGAGCGGATAATTGGGGCGTTCAAGGGGTAGAGCTGGGAGGCTTGGCTGGGGAGGTTTAGTGCGATTAGACTATCTGTTGGTTTATACGCGTGTCTTGGATGTTGGTCATTGTAGGCGATAGTAGGCATTGGCTATCGTGATTGTATGTTTGGTGGCTGTCTTAGAACTACAGCTGAGTCTGGGTCAGTCGCTCAGCTTGCCAGCCATATTCATATGCTTAGTGTCCACTCTCTCCAATTTTCCCTCTATGTCTCGTCAAGTATTGATTTCTAAATCGTGATGACACCAGTGACAAGAAACAAGAGATCAACGTAGCTATCGAAGAAAATTACCAAATGCGTGCCGGCCGCGACCAGAGCGGACTCCCCAAGCACCGCCAGCTGGGCTGCCTGCAGTGCCAAAAATCGCGGAGGGTCGGTGCATCGGCGCTTGCATGTCGGCGCGATGGCGAGCGTCGCGCCGATGATTGCTTAGGTAATCGGGCTGGATTTGTCCGACGCACATGAACGATAACGAGAGCGAGGACAAGATATAAGCACCGGCAAGAAACGCCGACACTGATGACGAAGAAGAAGATGGAAGACGGAAAAACTTGTTATACGGGTTAATAAGGAGCTGCGTGCGTGTTGATATAGCTCACAGACGTTTACTTTGGTACTGAATGAATCCGCTGAATAAGACGCACTCGGGTGGAGACCGTTCCATCTACAAGTACAAGAATGTCCTGCATTGGCGCAGGCGATCATCCTTGGTGATACATCTTGTGCCCGTGCTCGTGCTTGGCGCAAGTATTTGATATCGCAAGATTGGATGTCACAATGTCTGAGGTCGTGAAAACGAGCCATGAAGTGCTACCCTCGGGGTTTACTGCTATTGGTGCGTTGTGCAGACTTTGGTGTAGTCTTATCAAAGTGGCGATAGGTGGACAGATTGATTGACGGTTCCAAAAGCAACGATCTAATGCCTCTCATTCTCGAAGCGGTATATGTCGGATATTGCATTCTGCTACTAACATTAGACGCGAGTTCTACAAGTATGCACTTATGTAAAAGAGATGCGGGCACTACTTTTGCTCCGAAATAGATGGAAAGTATTCACATTAAACATTAACCCACCATGTAAGTTTAGGGTTGGAGATATCTAATACCTATAAAGAATGTAATGAAAAAAAAAAAAAAGTTACCCTTCCTTACTCACTATACCTTTCTTCAGCAAAAAATCCTTCTATGATATCTCTAGCGTTGATATATCGGCCATCCTTGATCTTCTTGTCAATCTCTGCAAACTTTTCCAAGATGATGTACTTTTTGCTTATTCCGGCCATTTTTCCAAAATGATGCTTCACAATTTTGGCCCTATCGCCTCGCTCATAGAGTTGACGATCCTTTGCCAGCCGATCGCTAGCTAAAATTAGCGAGCTCAATCCCGCGGCGATGGCTGTGGAAACCGAACTTCCTGATATGCAGTCCTTTGACTCAAGAAAAGGGACCTTGCCCGCAGCCACCTCGATGCCTTTGATTGCATAATTATAGTCTGGCGGTGCATTCGGACTCAATATCCCAAAGCCATCACAAGCTGTAATAGTCATCGTATCACTGTACCCCGATATACAGCTTTTTTCCGTGTTTAAGCCTTCGTCAGGGGTGCTGCAGAGTATGATGATTCCATTGTGTATGGCATCGGCGCAAGCATTAGCTAGCCCTTTTGTTCCCTCCAAGATGGCGAAGCTCATGGAAATAATGTCAACATCTTGGCTTATTGCCCACCTAACAGCCTTGAGAGAACACGAAGCAGCCAAGAGTTAGCGAAACCCGAGTCTGGAAAAAAAAAAGAAGGAAAAAGAAAAAAAGAAACGTCTTATCAGCTCAAATCTTGACTCACTCGCTCAACTCGCGCCGGGATGATTCCAGATCTCCCTTCAGCGACCTTGGCCACGTAAAGATCACAGCAAGGATCAATGGCACAGATTAGATTTGCCATCTGAGTTCCATGCGGATCCGACGCAAATAGCCAGGAACTAACGCGGGATTCGTCGTCTACAAAAGATCGGCCTTTCTTGATGCGTGACCACAAAGTCTTGTATTCGCCGTCTTTCCCGGTTTGGTATCCGTTTGGAGCAATGCTGGTGATGTCCGAGGACTCTGTCAAATTAAGAGCAGATGGGGTTTCAAAAATATTTAGCGGCGTTTGAGATAGCTGAAGGAGTGTCAACTAAAGGGGAAATGCTTAAAATTCCATTATCGATCACGGCAACTCTGGTTGGGCGGAATGTTACAGAGTCTTCTCTAACAATGTCACGCACATAGGTCTGGTAGCCTTTGATAAACCGAGATAGCTTCGGGACAGCCCGTTCAGCTCTAATAATAGTCAGCGGAAGAAATACAAATGACCGGCTGTGCGGTCTGAGTGGCAACAAGAAGCACTTACATCTCTCCCAAGTCTGCGTCTCTTTCCTCTGTCGGATTCCACGGCCGGGTATTAACACCGACTGTGAGCTTCCAAGTATCATAGGCATCATGAGTGTCCTGAGCGTTTGGTGTGTTCTTACACTTCTCTTGGCGCATCTTTTCCCGTTCTTCGTTTATTTCTTTGCTCAGCTTGCCAAATTCGTTTTCGATAAAAGTGGCGGTGGCGCGGCATCTTTCTCTACTCGCCAAGTCCTTCGCATTTCCATCAGCGCACGGCGTTTAAATACGTGACATGCAACACAAACCTGGATAACATATATTTCAAGCGTTGTAAGCTAAGCGATAATCTCTTTCAGCATGAAAAGACTTTGATAAGATAGCACAAAAGAAAAGAAAAGAAAGAAAAACTGCATTATTGCATGACCTACATTCGTAAGGGTGCGGATCCCATTCTCGCTTAACCAATGGTTAATTACTGCTCGCTTGCCGCTGGTATAAAGATGAAGCTCTCGGATTCGTTGCAGTGCATCATTTTCGCTAGGTTCCGAACTCTTGAAAATCGATATAGACAGATCTAGTAATCTCCAATTGAGAACTTCCACCTCAAACTGTTTCACATAGGTGCCTATAATGACCTCATCATGAGGATTCACAAGTCGATCTAAAACTGTCAGTTTGATGATATGCCTAACTTTCTTCTTTTTTCTCAACCAATCTAAAGCTTTAAAAATCTCGTCGTGGTCAAATTGAGTATTGTCGCGAAATGTTTCTTTATTATCGGTTTTGAGATCCAGGGCCGGAAACGTGGCATATTTTAGCGTCTCTTCATAAGATAGCAGATTGGCATAGTCTTGATGATTTATGAGCGAGTGAACAAAGTCCGAAACGCTGTAGGTCTCCGAATTGAACCGTGGGAGATCAAAACACAGTTCGTTGACTAAATTGTCAGGTCATTCTGAAGTAGCGGCCGTATAGATCGTAGGAAGTTGTTCTTACCGGTTTCTAAAAAAGTAGATTGTATTCAAATTAGCAAGTGACACGTCTAGACGGGGGATAACTTGTTCAATTCATACGTACCGTCAGACAACTGGAAAACCTCAAGCAAATCCTGCATTTTGCGTACGTGTTTGCTCTTAATAATCGCTGCAACTAAGAGATTGCGAATCTCTCTTTGGATTCTTTTGCTATCCTCATCTTTCAACACGCGATGAGTAGACGTAGAACCTTCCATAATATTATTGTTGTGCCAGAGTGCATGATGCTTATGACTCTGAGCAGTGACCAACTCATCGTATTGGAGAAATTTCTTCACAAATCCAGTTTTTTGGTACTGGACAGCGAGATGAAGCAATCCAGATGTGTCCGACTTGAAAATGGTTTCATTTTCGGCCCAAACATTCTCCAAGTCGAGCTGGATTATCTTCGCGATAACCCTTTCATCAGTTATACTCTGCTGGTCAGCAGCTTTGATCAGAGCATTGACGACCTCCACTTGTTGGTTATATCTCTCAGTATCTTTGATTTTCTCTTCATTCATGCCCTTCAATGGTTCAATCGCTAGAAGAATGTAGTCGGCATTGGCGAATTTCTGTCTGAGTTCAGGTTGTTGCACAAATACTTCCACGACATTTCCTTTGCCATTCTCCAAGGCCTCTTTGAATGTCGTGTCTGGCATATCTGCTATGCCAGTATTGTAACCCAAAAGTGCATGCAGAGCTCCTAGATTTCCGGCAATAGCAGCAAGAGACAGGGCAGTCTTGCCAGATCTTTGGTCTGGATCATTAAGTTTCAATATTTGAAGTAGAATATCTGGCTTAAAACATCGTCCATTATAAATCATATGTTTTATTGCCTTGCCGTTGCCGCTCCCGGCAGCCCTATGCAAAGGGGTGCTTCGGAATGCGTTCCTTTGCTCGATTGTATGAACTTCTTCGTAATAACAATGTCCCACGAGACGCTCTTGTGCCGAAGTCGGAAAAAGCTTAGGAAACGTACGAGCAGTGAAAAGGCAAATAAACGGAAAATGAGGCCAGACTTCAACGACAATTCGAATAATAATAATGCAGGGATTTTTTTCTCCAGTGATAGTCTCCTCTGTAGCTTCTGTCTGAACTGCTGAGACGCCAACATCTTCGTTGCCCAACGAACATTGCTCCACCGCGCTATCGAGAATCAACCAACGTATGCAGTCATCTAGTTGATATTTCCCTTCTTCGTCGATTAAGAATTCTTGATGTCTGGAATGAAGCTGTGTAATTTTTCGTGTTTAATTGCATGTTCAAAAGCCTCTCTAAGAAATTGGAAGAGATCGTAAGCTTGATCATGTAATCGCATCTCTGATGCCTTACTGGCCTTTCGGAGTTTCATCCATTGATTGATTACTATTTGGCCGACAGATTGATCATCCGACAACTCTTTCGGATCTGGCGTTAATTTTATGCTAGTATCGATATTTGATGAGGGCTCTGTACGCGTCTGGCTGCTTCGTATATCTGGGCTAAGAGACATGTCCGAAAGCAAAAAAAAAAAAAAGAATCAGAAGAAGAAGAAGAAGAAGAAGAAGAAGAAGAAGAGAAAAGCAAAGAAAAGAAAAAGGTGTCGAATTATCAGCAAACGCCAATTCAATGCTTCGAATCAAAGGTGCTCCTCGATTTATCTCCAATCCTAGCAACTCCTCGTTATCATATAACTGTGAGTTGGTGACAAGAAGTTCTTAATAAAAACACTGTGTAGGGTAGTCTGAATGATGTGGGCTATTTTGGGTTCCAGAAAGAAGGTGAAAGTGAAAAGTAAACAAAGGACAGAAGAAGCAATAGGTATACAGATGCAGAAAGAGCACAGTACAAGTATACCTAGTAAGTATATCCGAACTACTCTTATGTAACAGTCAGGTACACGGCACTGGCTCGCCGAGTCACACCAACTCGCATACGTACAGATAGGGTTGGGCTCAACTGCAGCTATATTCACTTCATTGGTTCTCGGTTCCGATGAGGATCTACTTCATTGGTTCTCAGTTCCGATGAGGGTCTACTTCATTTATTCTCATTTCCGATGAAAAGTTTTCAAGGAACTTTTGATTGTATCACCCTCTCTTACTCTGCATAGGCAATCACAGGCTTTCTGTAAGATTAATACTTTAGTTAATCATACCATTACCAATACTCGATACCTTGAACATTGCATGAAGACAGCCAATATCTCATCTTGGCTCTTCTATTTCACAAATATATATATATATATATATATATAATGAGTATGCCTGCTGGAGTGATGGTCATGGAAGGCAAATCTGAGTGTAAGGCAATGCCAAAGAGTCAGATACCCTGAGTCAACCCAAACGTGTTTGTAGATACCTATCTAGGCACCTACATACACGGCGCCAAGAACGAATGATGTAAAGGTAAGTAAGTAGGTAGGTATTCATATCTATCTACCTAGCGCAGTTTTACTTTGAAACTACATGCCAAGGAAAAAAAAGACAGTATAGCAAATTATGCGCGGACAAATCTCGTATTAAAAATATCAGTATACAATAGACGTAAACCTCACGCATCACGCTCCTGAGCAAGCGCTTGTTGCATTCGAAGCATCAGTTTATCCTGTGAAGCAAGACGAGTTTCGAGCTCTTCGACGCGAGCCTCGAGCGCTGTGAATCTAGCCAAATCGACAGAGGCAGCGAGATCAGCCGCAGTGGATCTGGACACGGATAGAAGCGGTGTTTCGGTATGTGTACCGCCAGGAGTTTTCAGCGAAGCCGACATCGCCACCTCTGCAAAGCTGTGTCGTACTTGTTCCGCCGCCTGGTTGTCGCCCAACAATCCTTCAGTATGCTTGACGGTAGCCACATCTTCTATCTCGACTTGAGGGCTGAGTTCCCAGCTCAGCTGCAAGCTGGAGCTCTTTTGGTGGTTCTGCAATCTCCCAAGGTTATCGAGGTCGATACATTTCAACATATTTACACCCTCGTAATTGCAAACCTTCTGTTTCCAGGGGGTCACAAGATAGGGCTTGGTTTTCCCCGGGTTTGATCCGAAAAATGCCTTAGTTCTGTTCTTGAAATCTTCCATGGTGCCAACCCGAGCTTCGATGTCAAACTTGACCAAATACGGCTCACGCGTTTGTCGTGAAATGAGGACTGCGACATTAAACGTCTGCTGGACGCCCGCATTCTGCAATTCGTTTTGTTCAAGAACCCAGGTGACTCCGTTCCGTCGACCAAGCTGGCCAATGACTGGGGTCGAGCTTCCTCGGTCGAACACAGTTTGATCCCATGATATCTCATGCTCGTTGCTCCGATTGCTGGATAGTTCGAAACCAGAGTATCCACCCTGAGCGCCGATCTCCGTCTTGCTAGATTTAGTGTGAGAAGCTTTCGAGGCGTTGTATCTCTCAGTTGTATTGAAAGGCGCCCATGCTTGTACCTCCGGTATGTCCCTTGGATCGGACGTTGTCTCATCGCCGCCTTCGAATGCCAAGGTGATGTTGGCAGATCCAAATTTCTATTAGGATCATGTGAAGCAAGGTCGATTCTCAGCACCACTAAAGTCATTTCCTGGTGGCGTATGGGTGTGGCACCTTCGAATGTTGTTTTCTCCCATCCATCCAACCAGAGTAGCCGGTCGGCTGTTACCGAGTATCCAGATCTTTTACTATCGAAGATTGCACTACCGTTCTCTTTCGCTCCGTATGACTTGAAAGAACCGGACATGACAGTCGTTTCATGGTTCCAATTCTGATAGAGGTCAATCTCTAGGCGGTTTGACTGGCCTTCTTTATCCAAGTCCACAAAACTGGCCATGGCTGTAGTTTGACCGAATATTCAGAGTTGAGATCACCGACTGTGCAATAAAGGACGAAATCAAGCAGGAAGAAGAAGTAAAAGTACTGAGCGAAGTTTGAAGATGGGAATGAGCGGCCTCAAGAACGGCTTATATACCTAATGTTACCTATCTTGCGTTACATTTACATTGGACCAGACAACTTATGAGTACATGCAACCATGGTGCTCGTAAACAGCCTCCATTATGATTTATTGAAAGTCTCAATATCCGCATTTGGGACATAACGCCGTCCAATCTACATGTACACTCATCAACTTCAGGCTTGTGGCTGCAGCCTGTTCGGGTAGCGATAAGCACTTGCATATACCACCCAAGTAGCTCGACAGTACAAGCTTCCTAGGCCTTGCAGCTTCTTGTTAGGGAATTATAGCATGTATAACACGAACAAAGCCAGTTGAAAGCCTATCACTAATTTTTACGAGAGTTGAGAAACTGCCAAGAGAATGCTCCATCGTACTCGTGTTGCATATGAAAGTAATGTTACGTATATCAGAGGTGGGCAGTTAGAACATCTGCGATTCAGCGCTATAAACTTAGATAGAACCATCACAATCTCTATTCCATCAAGCCAGACAAAAGATGATCCAGTGGCCGAGTTGAAGCCCGACAGAGCAAGAGGCTCCGGCCATAGATGGTCGGAACTTGCTCAGCTTGTGGTACTTCGGAAATGGGGAGGCTGGTGAATTGAAATGGGTGGGTAGCACAGGATACAAACGCGCATATTGTTGGGATACTGAGAAGTGCTTGAAGTACTTCCTTTGTTCCTCTGTTACGCGGCTGTACACACGCACAGTGCAGTGTACGACACGTGCCTATTGCAGCCTTGATGCCCAAACGTGGCACTCCAGGCTTTACCGATCACGATTCTTCCTAGGCAACACATCATCTTACCTACGACACATTAATACCGATTATCTGTCTTCCACTAGTGATCCTCTGCACCTTGCGTTCCTGGATCTGTCGTAGGAGCTGGTAGGCGCCATGGTTCTAGAGAAGTTTGGTCTGCACTTCCGAAAATCTAAAAACCCGAAAAGGACGAATACAGGAGATGATAAGCCTCTCCCTGCGCTCCCAGTAACTGATCAAGCGCCAGACAAGATCTGCATTCCAATTGAACCAGAAATACCTCCAAAGTCAAGCGCCGCAACCTCAGACAGTGGACAACCCACCGACCTGCCAATCAAAGACCCAAAGAAGCCAGAAGAAGCAATTTCGCAGAGAGGCGAAGTTGACGATGTTTCATCTCCAATATCTTTCACGCCTAGCAAGCTTGATTCAGCCGAATCTTCCCGCGGGGAGGTCGACAACCTGTGGGATGTGGCTTACGATAATCTGAGGCCTCAGCATGCCGACTTATTGGAAAAGTACGAAAGGATATTGACGTTATGGCTACGTGCATACTTGATACAACACAATCAGAAAGCTTCTCGTAATTATCAAGAAAAAAATCTGTTTCAACCTTCGCATCATCAAGAAAGGAGACAATACGCTCAGGATATTATTGCCTTCTGCCTCGAGTCTCAGCAAGAGAGCGATGCTGGTGCCGATACTGTTCAAGGGCGCAGTAAAAACATCAACTGTCAAGCGATTCCCTTGAAATTTCCAAACAAACTCAAGACTTATTGAAATCATCAATCGACAGTGGTGAAGATTCAGCCCTCGCATGGGCAGGAACATGTCTTGCTCTACAGGTCAGCGACTTGAAATCCAGAACGAATTGCTGCTGTGATCCTGATTGCTAAAAGTCAGACATGAAATAGACACTCTTGCACTCTAGCGACCGACCAGAGAAGACGTTGGTGGGCATCAACCACATCATATCCGGAATGTCGTGGTATAAATTACTTCCCAAGCTTCTTGGTGGCGATGAATATAAGAGAGGCCTTCCTTTAAGCGAACAAACAACTCTCCGAGATCGTATAACAGAACTATACCAACAGATTCTCCTCTTTCAAGCTCGCATCGTCTGTTTGCAAATAGATGCAATTCAAGAGAACAATCTTATCCAGATGGATCAAAATCTATTATCGAGAGATGTGGATGTGAATGAGGCCGACGTGGTAAAGGCAGAGCAAGCACTTCTCAATTTTAATGGGAAGGATATTGAGATTCAGATTCAAAACTTTTCCACGCTTCTTAGTGAAAAGAAGGATAATAGGATTGGAGATGAGAAGCCCGAGCCTACAAAGAGCGACAGGAAGACTCCGAAACAAATCTTGAACGCAATCGATCCACGAGTATTAGAAGCGAACATTCCATCGGTGAAGAATCTCTACGAATGGGTCGAATCTTCTTGTAAGTACAAGAAATTCATCACAGGAGACTTGCGTGTGCTCTGGGTGTGCGGTGACCCAGATGCCGGCAGAACGATGGTTATTTGGTCAATTGTCCGTGGACTCTCTCCGGTGAGCCACGGCTCACAATCGACAGCCTTGTCATATTCAATGTGCGGCACCGGCGAAAATGAGGCGCAAAGCACTGTATCTGTGCTAAAGTCTCTCATCTACCTCGTCATGGAACACCAACCTCAACTGGGCAGATATCTGACAGAGAAATGCAACTTGGCAGATAGTAAGGGATTTTCTGAATCCCATGACGTATACGCATTAACCATGCTGTTATATGACATTATCAGAGATGAGACATTTGAGTCGACTATATTCATAATTGAGGGAATTGATGAGATTAATTTCGAACACGAAAATCCAAGCTCCTTCCTATCACTCATCCACACAACTATAAATCTGTCACAAAATGTTAAATGGCTCATATCCAGTTCAACTGAGTCATTTGAACGTTTTTCTAAGTTCAGCAATCTGTGTATACCTGAAGATGGATGCATAGGCATCGATGCCGCATATGAAGAATTGCAGATAACTTTAAAGGATCATTACATTCTTTCAAAGGCTAACCAAATAGCAAATCACTGGGTCATTGAAGGAGAATTTCAACATGAAATCACTGAACTCCTCAAGAAGGCATCTTCAGGAAACTTTCTGCGAGTTGACTTGGCATGCCAGGCGATACAACGAGAAAATCCTTGGCATGCTCCAACAATTCTTGGATGGCTCTCGCAGCCTTCGGCAGTATACTCTGCATACTCCGATCCATTGAATAATCTATATGCTCCTATACGCGAATATATTCGAAATCTACCTTTCAATGATACTGAGATCTGCGGAGATGTGCTAAGTATGATGGCAACAGCAGCTAGACCTTTGGACCTTGTGGAGTTAGAAGCACTTTTGGATTTTGCGGCACACGTCAATGTTCAGTTCCTTGTGGGGAAATGTTTTGCATTCCTAGAAGTGCGTGACAAAAGAGTTCATTTTCCACGCAAATCTGCCAGAGATTTGGTTCTCAGAGCGACACAGAGCGAAGGGGCAAAATTGCATTTGCAAATCGTCGAACGCTGTCTCAAATCTCTATCAAAATATTGGAGCTCATCTTCGGCATATTCATCGCCAACCCCAGGCAAAAACTCAAAGGCACCCACGAACTATGTGGCACTATATTGGGTTCGGCATCTTTGTGATGTTGATGATGCGGATGATGTTATAGATATGACTGTTGGATTTCTCAGCAAGAACCTTTTAAAATGGCTGGATTTCTTGGTATATTCAGGATGGTTACCTCAAGCAACAACTCTGATATCAGCTTTACAAACCCATGTCAAAGTACGTTTCTCCGCTCTCTTGGTTTATCAAAATTTCAATATCTTTATATCGCAATCCCAACGCTGATACTAACTTTGCTACCAGAAGAACTGGAATACTGGAGCGCGTGCTAATGATATTCGTCACCGGGCGTTCTCAAGCATTGTCTATGAAACGCATCGGTTACTGCATTTCCACAGCATGATTCAAGGCGCCGCTGGTCTTACAGCCAAAACGACTCTTCTGTTCTGTCTCTGTAATACGGCAATTCAGGAAACCTTCCTGTCAAAGGAATGGCCGTATCTTGAAGGCCCCCCGATGTTCCAAAACCACTGGCACCCCATCAGTCAAATTTTGAAGGGTCATTCAGACTATATCCGTTGCTGTGTTTACTCTAACGATGGAAAGCTCTTGGCCTCTAGATCAGATGATGGTACTATTCGTATCTGGGACACATCATCGGGAAAACCACAGCATGCAATCAAAGCCTTTCCTAACGACTATGAAATAACAATTGCTCTATCCTCCACTGGCTTTATTGCTGCATCGAACAAGAGGACCGTCAAAATCTGGAGTTTATCTACCGGAGAACAGCTGAAGCTATCAGTTGAGAAATATTCACGCGATGAACCCAGCGCTATCGGAGATGTTAAGTTTTCGAATGACGGAAACATGCTGGCAACAGCAGTTGGGAGAGACGTTGTTTTTTGGCAAATTCCTGACTGCAAGCTCATCCTACGACAAGAAAATGCTTCCTCCGACGATAATGTCAGGTCCATTGAATTCTCCAAGCATGACACATTGCTTGGTTCAGTAGCAAAACAAACAATCACTATCTGGAGTCTGGAGAGTGATGAGACTGACGACGATAAAACTAGAGAAGTCCATAACTCAGAGCCTGCTATACAGCATAGTCGAAGGTTAAAGAGACAAAAAGACTTGATCATACCTACTTCTTACAGAATTCAGGCATGTGGAATGGCCTTTTCGCCGAATACAAAATATGTCGCCATTGGGACTTACAAACCCAACAAAATATACATCTGGGACTGGAAATTTGGAGGCCCTCCCGTGGATCTCACTGGACACATGGACGATATCAGCACAGTCGAGTTCTCATCTGATGGGTCATTTCTGGCATCGGCATCATACGACGCAACAGTTAGATTGTGGCGAGAGCCATGGAACGCCAATCAAACCCCATTAATACTGAGCGGACACTTACAGAGCGTGTACGACTTGGCATTCTCGCCTTCTGACACATGCCTTGCTACTTGCTCCAGCGATCAAACCATTCGGATTTGGGATTACGGCAGTTATAAAGCTCAGGTGCAGTCGGAAAGTGGCTCAAAGGACAGTCAAAGTACCCCACACGCGCGGTCTATCTTACGTCTTGCGCTATCTGAGGATGGGAAGTGGGTGGCATCGGCCTCTAGAGATGGTCTAATCTGCTTATGGGATGGCAATTCTGGTATGCTCCACCGGAGCTTAAGGGGGCATGAGCAACCTGTTAGATCGCTTGCATTCAGCCATGATTCTCGCAAACTGATATCAGCCTCCGATGACAGAACTGCTCGTATCTGGAGCTTAAAGGACGATTTCCAGTCACGCACGCTCTTTGGTCACCAAACCGCGGTACGCTGTGCTGTATTATCGCGTGATGGAACACTCCTAGCTTCTGGATCCAGTGATACGACTATACGCATATGGGATCTTATGCAGCCTGAGATTGGAGGTACCATAGCGACACAAGAAGCAGAAGGAGGAGGACAGATAGGAGAGATAGAAGAGTTGAACGGCGTCCAGGGAGTAAGAATATTTTATGGTAATAGAGGCTTCGTCTTATGCGTTCTGTTTTCACAAGATGAAAGATACGTCTTGTCTGGCGCTGACAATGGCGAGATCATGCTTTGGGACCTTCACACTGGCCATCAAACCGGCTCCTCCATCCAGGTTACAACTATTAAAGAGAGGGGTGGGGAACGCATAAATGCAATGACATTTTCAGCCGACTCAAAAAGATTTATCGCATCGGACGCAGAAGTATATCAATATGGAATATTACTGGAGAGAATGGGAATTTGAAATTTGAGTACACGCTCAAATCAGACACAAGGTCAGCGATCCACTCATTGAGCGTCAATATCAACCACCCTCAGTATGTGATAACAGAGAGGGGTCCTATACTCATCCAGGAGTTGCGAGACGGTGCAAGGGCACGGATAGTCTCTGAGCCATGGTGCCCTTATAGCGTTACGTTCGGCGCAGAGACATGGATCACCTGGAATGACAAAAGGATCATTCTCTTGCCAGACCGATATCATCCAGAGTCTGATAGGGATAGTTATGCCATAAGGGTTCACAAGGATAGAGTTATCGTCGGTTGTCAAACGGGAGAGGTTTTGATATTCCGATTCAAGAAGAATGCGAATTGGTTGGAGGAACTGCAATAATGTGACCAAGCAGATAGATGAGTTTGTTTCCGATAGTCCAGAGTAGATAGGTTTGCATTTCGATAAGTAACTCGCCAAGATGTTTTTACGTGGAGATTGTAGCGGTTATATGTGTTGTCGAGTGAGTCAGAGCATGTAGATGTAGTAGATCTCTTACTTTACATACATATACGGCGTCTACTAGTCCATGCGCTCATCTCCTTGTAAAATAGGATTCCGCATAACGGAATCGAATTGATAGGTCTATAATACATATATTGTCATCATAGCTTCATATCCTCCTATATTTTACACAATGCTGCGCCGCCCGCTGCAGCAGTGAACATCCCAAACACCGAAATCCCATATACCTTTTTACTTTCCAAACATTCAGCCCTCTTAATTTTTTGCAAATTCCACCGCCAACTCGGCAACCAGGCCCACCACCTCATCAGTCCTGGAAAAGAACGCACTATGCGAAGCATCCACCGACTTCACAAGCCACTCAACACCCGAACGGGCAATAAGCTCGTCTTGGTACTTGATAGTAAGGGCATTGTCTTGAAGAGTGCGAATATACGCGCGGCGACCGTCGTAAGCCTTATCCTTCCACCCTATACTCGAAGGGGTTGACATGACCGCCGCTCCGGAGTGGCCCTTGAGGCTGGCTACGAGGCGTTCGGCTACCTCATCTGGGATATCATTGTAGAAGTGGTATTTCTCCTCTTTTGATCCCAAGAGGCCTGTCTCTTCGATCTAGCAAAATCGAATTAGCATACTGTCAATAAGAATGAACCTAGCTGGGAGAGAAGGCTCACATTATCTGCCGAAGCAAACGTGCAATCATTACCACCCGCTGCTACAAACGTCGTCTCCCCCTCAATAGGTATAAACGCAGAAAGGTAAATCACACCAAGAATGCCTCCCCTCAGACCCTGCGCCTCTCTGCCTCTCTTATCCATACCGGCAATGAGGCCCGTGATCACAAAGCCACCGTACGAGTGCCCAAGGACAATTACATCTTTGCCATCATCAAGTAGAGGCTGCAAAAGAGCCTTGGCCTGAGCCTCGTCGTCCTGGATGGTGACGTCTCTGGTGCCAACGCTGCGGGTTGCCACCACCGTAGCAGGGAAGCCTGCTGCCTCCAGGGCATCGGCAAAGGAGGCCATTGTGGAAGCCGGATGCCATGCTCCGGGGATGATAAGGACGTGTGGCTGAGGTGTGGAAATTACGGCCATGATGGCTACTGAGGCTTGTTGATCTTATGAATTTATATTCTGGGTATTAGTAAACGAAATATGCAGGCTGAAGTAGGAAAACCGCTTAGGAATGCTATGCTTCAACACCAAATCTATCGTCAATGAAAGGGTTCGACATCTAACTTATAGAGATTCTTGCCAATAGGCTATCGTCTATCTTCCGATTTTTTTGACTACTGTTCCTAGTCTCTATACATCCTCTTTTTGAATGGAAAGCGTCAGTACATTCTGACCGCGCTTCGATTTGTAAGTCCTCCATGTTTAGTCAACGTTGACGTCTCTTTTGTGAGCCAAAATGGTGCAGCCTGAAAGCAGAAAAGTATCTCCACGTAAATGCGCCCTAGGAACCGAGCTAAGCGGGATACTTAGTCGCATAAATCTAGCTGAATTGTAATAGGTCCAATAGTCTGCTATGCGCTGAATAATAAGGTATGCAGCCACATGCGTATTGCTGGATATGCTTAATCCCGACAGCTTGTAAACAACGCGCCAAGGTACTCCTGTTTTATCCTATTCTGGGGGCGTAGCTTTTCCCTCTACAAGTTAGCCAAGCTGATACAGCCCATGCTGCTTTTTCCTAACTCGGACTTCTAGCTTCTAGCTTTTGGCTGACCAATTGGCATACTGTTAAATGAGGAACAATTCACCCAGAGTGGACGACGAATTCGCTGACCGAGTGGCCGAGAGACCGCGAGGCCGAGGCCAAGTCGTCGGTATTGACCTTGGAATGGCGATGCTTATTGATGCCGCAGGACGTCAAATATATGTCCAATCTCACATAGTAGTCGACATGGATATACGTACATGTAAGTATGGCGAAAAAGATTTGGAATCATTTCGTAACTACCTAACAACGGCAGTCTCATGCAGTATATAGCCTGCTTCTACCTGGCCAATTTTCCCATCCGTTTGAACATTTCCATCAATGTACAAAATAAATGGCGTCAACTCACTCCAGTATAAGTAAGCACTTTATCTCGGGAACTAATATTCCTGCTATAGCCACAGCAGGTTATAGTAAGGTTAATTAATTCCGCAAACTATTAGCGGATTACCATCAGATTTAATTGATCAGATAATCCGTATCAAAATGTTGTATTTGCCGCATTGGCCGCATCCCTGTTATGTCAGCCCACTATGTTGACATAATGGAGATTCTTGATGCCGCAATAGCGTAGTCGAGAAGGCCCAATACTTGGTCCTTGTGTGCCTAGCAACGGCATCCTGCATCTGGAGATAGCTTTCCGTGTACATGGGGGCCGACGAGTACCACGCCAGACGCTCACTCAAGAAAGTAGCTTCAACACGTCTCCCATTCTGGTGTCTTTAGATTTCTTCGTGGTGCCCTTTTCTTGGAATGCCTTGGTGACAAGATCGCGTTTCTCTTGTTGAACGTCCAGCACTCGCTCTTCAACGGTTCCTTCCATAATGAGACGCCATATCTTCGTCTCTCGTGTTTGGCCAAGACGATGTACTCGATCAACGGCTTGGTCTTCGATTGCCGGTGCCCACCCTGTCAAAGCACATATGAGCATGTATTCACCATAGCAGCTGAAGGGTTAGGGCTTCTATCAAAGGGGTGACTTACAGCTATCAGACAGGATCACTGTGTCCGCAGAAACAAGGTTAAGTCCCACGCTGCAGACTGCCAGACTGGCGAGCATGATGCGAGTCTCAGACTCGTTGTCGAGGGCATCGATTGCCTTGTCGCGCTTCTCTGCGCTCATGCTTCCGTCGATTCTACAGTACTTCAGGTCTGCATTCTCGAGCTGCTTCTGCACAATGTCGAGAAACGAGGTCCACTGTGAGAAGATGACAATCTTGGATCCTTCATTCTTCAACGTCGCCCGAACAATTTGCAGCATCGCTTCTGTCTTTGAGCTCTGCGTGTCTGTGTCAAAGTTCGCGTCAAAAGTACCTTCGGGAGCTGGCTCCAGGAAATCGTCCTCGGTAAGCTGGTTGCGACACATTGGACATTTTCCTTGCAGCTGAACTGCCCTGGCGATGCAGTGGCGACAGAAAACGTGTTGACAATTTGTAATTATGGGGTTAGTAGGTGTATCGTAGCAGATCGCGCAGTCTTCTTGGCTATCAATGTACAGCCGAAGCGCTTCCTGGAGCAATGCTCGATTCTTCTCAGTCAAGGGCACAACGTCTTGATCTTTGAGCAACTGCATCAGATCGTCAATGCGCGCCTTACAGAGAGTCCAGTGATTACATCTACAAGAAGTTAGCTTGGGTAGCGTAGCAACAGCATGCAATCAACAGGCTACTTACGACTGCCGGAGTCGAAGAAGACGCTCCAAGACGTTTTGGAAGCGGCCCTTTTGACCGCTTTGTGATCTTGCCTGGTATTCTTCCAGAACACCTTTGGCTTCGGATCTGTTCACCGGTTAACACCAAATCTTCAGAAACGATCATCTCAAAGTGAGGGTTATTGGACGACATACAGTAGAGCATCGTATTTCGACTTCTCTTCTGGGAGAAATGTGATTCGGTGTAGATACTCAGTCTTTTTGGGAAGCTTGAGATCAACAAATTTCATGTCCTTCTTTCGCCTCAGACAGATGTCTTGCATCAACGATTGCAGAAGCGCTTCAGCGCTGCGATCACCCGACATCAGCTTTCGGGTGATTGCATTGTTGAAAATCTCGGACTGCTCAATGCCTCCGGTGATGTGCAAGAATTTGACCAAGGACTGGAGATCCTTTACAGAATTGATACTAGTAATAAGTCAGTATTATCAACGTTGCAAGGACACCACCGATCGATACTTACATGGGAGTTCCAGTCAGAACCCAGCGGGATTGGGCTTTCAGTTCGCTTGCAGCCAGAGCCACCTTGGTCTTTACATTCCTTATCGTGTGTCCTTCGTCAAGCACAACTCGCCGCCAGTTCTTCTTTTGGCTCATCAGAGTTTTGCTGCCACCTTCGTCCAGCTCTTTGGCGAGAGTGCCGTAGCTGGTGATGACAACGTTGTATGCCGAGAGCTCTTGGCCAGCCACTTTCCTAGCACCATGATATACTAGGATATTTGGCTGATGTTCCTCTTTGACGTGTCTTCGAATTTGCTGCTCCCAATTGCTCATTACACTAACCGGTGCAACAATCAGTGTTGAGCCGGAGCCACCCGTAAGAATTAAGCTGATGATTTGGAGAGTCTTTCCCAAGCCCATATCATCAGCGAGGATACCGCCAGAAAATAGTGTTGGTGCTTTAGAGGTGATGAAGTCGGACGCAACGTTCCAGTATCGGCCCTTGCTATCGCGCCTCCACAGTTGAGTGACGGTATCTGATCCCACTGGTGGGAGTTGCGGGTTCTCTTTAGATTGCATCCATGCCAATCCCTGTTAATGGCATTAGCTTTGACTTGATGATTGTGCAAAAACATTTCATATATACCTGCAGTTGGTATGGCAGAAGCGTAGACTTGAGCTGTTTAGGCTGCTCAGCCTGCGGCATCTTTGACAGTTCCTCTTCACCCATGGCCAGCGCCTTGATGGCATCACCCCCTTTGCGGAACTCGACCGCATCGCTGGATTTGAGGATTTCTTCCAGAGATAGCTCAGGTGCCCCTTGCTGCTTGTCTGACTCAAAACCGGCGGTAGAGATCGATTGGTGCAGCCCAAGCACCACTCTACGGGCTTCGGCAGCTTTCCTGGTCTGTTTCAGTTGGGTAGCCTTGACAAATTTATCTGCCTTGAGAGCATTCTCAATCCTGGTACGCTCTTCGGGATTGCTTGGACCATAAAACGATAGTCTAATAGGACAGTCATAGTAAGCCTTTTCTCCTATGATCTGGCCTTCAACAGTGATGTCTCCAGAGTCCTATTTCAGATTAGCCGCAGAACAAATAATACTCTAGTTAAACAAGAATACAAACTCACAATATAGTGTGCCAGTTTTTCGACGATTTTGCGAGGCAAATGGCCTATTTGCTGATGCAGAACGTTGTCTATTCGGATTGCATTGGAGTCATACTATCATCCTATCAGCACAGTGACTTGAGGAGTCCAAACATGATCGAGCACAGTTTACCTGATTATTCGGCTCTCTGTGACACAAGACAGCTTCACCAGGAGAAGCATACCCGTTGTAGTACCTCACGCCTACAATTTTGCCATCTATACAAGGTATGTGGGTCAATTTAGTGATTATTGGAATGACTGACGCTGAGGCAAACGAACCAAAAGTACCGTAGAGCTCTCTGTCAAGTGCGTCGTCTTCTTGCGTCAGATCCAAGTAATCTGGCTCTTGAGTTGACAGGTAAGAAGACGAAGAAGGAAATGCCTGGCTTCTTTGGCGACCTGCTGCGCCAGATGATGCACCAGGCCGCGAGGATGATAAAGCAGGTCGTTTAGGAGCGTGCTGGACAGCATCTCCAGTAAGATCGATGAAATCGGGAGCCTCTGGGGCGGCGCGCTTGCGACGGGGAGGCATTGTGAAAACAGTTTTGTGCGAGAGGCAATCTAAGATAGAACAATGAAAGACGACGTAAATTCTTGAAGTAGAGATATTGAAACAAAGTTAAAATCTATAGTCGAGCATCTCTATCCTCTCTTTTTTTCCCATGTCGCTTCTATGATGAGCAGCTTGTCAAGTCACTTGGCGCGTCTAAGTGCAAATACAGGTACAACGCGAGGTCATGTGACTAGGTAGCGAGCATCTGCAGAAGCAAAGTTATGTACAGTCAAATAGTTTACTTGAGGCATTGGAAATATAGCATACGATAAGATGTCAAATGCATCTACAATATGATTTGTATTTCTAGAGTCTACATCACTCCCTTTTTGCAACGCTCAATACCCTTTATTGGCTTTAGTTTCAGGCATTTGAGTCTGACACTACAGTATGGCGAGAAGTGACTAAGCAGTTTAACATGTACCCTCGTACTGAAATCGAGCGCCGAGATCCGCTCAGAGGAGCGCTCCAGGCTGTCCCCAAATAGGTCTAGCTGAAATCACGCAATCGATGGCTCTGCGGATTCAAGCAGTAATATCAACGACATGCGACCATTCCTCTCCTCTCCTTCAACTACACTCTTCTTTACGCTTCACTGGGGCAGGCGAGCTTCTATGCGATGAGGCCTTTCATTTGGTGCAAAAAACGCTATGCTTCTCCACTGATGCCGTCGATGAGGACCGCTTCTCCACCTGCTGTGGATGAGCGCAGCAGATGCTATACAAGAATACCCAGAACCAGAAACTAAACAACAGGATTCAATCTAGGGAACAAACGAGGAATACCGAACGCCATATCGCCATGCCCGATGCAAACCTTGCGAAGCTTGCTACTCTTTCAATACGCGGCCATAGGCTGAAAAGTACGTGCAGCCAGGCACATGGCTTCGCCGGCCAGTCTTTTCGTCAAAGATGTGACAGCCCTTCTTAGCGACGTTGGGAGGGGTATATACTGGAGAGTTCTTTAGTCGGGTCCAGAACAAGAGTTGTGGTGCCAGATGAAAACTTACGGTGTAGGGACACAGCGAAGTCGCTACCACGGTTGGATACTCTATGGAGACCAAGGTCGTCGGCCATGTACGTCACTTGGTTCTCTCTGTATGTCTTTTCGGAGATGACGGTCATTTGTCCCTCGGGCTCGTCGTCGTTGGGGAAGGCATAGCGGGTCTCAGTGAGATCTCCACGCAGTATCTTCATGAGGCAGTGCGCGTTTCCGTGGTCGTGGATGGGGCTTCCCTTTCCTGGAGACCAAACAAGTACGAGCTGTTTCGCTTGTCAATATACCGATGGCTTTGAGCGGTGTCGCATCACTCTCGACTTGGACTTGAGGACATGACCTACCAGATTGCTCTTACCATTCCCCTCGTCAACAAGGTTACGAGTGTAGCCTCTACTGGCGTCGCCGAATGCATACTTGGACCATTGCATATCGCCGCTGTCATACGCTCGCATCATCTCCATCAAGGAGTCAACGTCGACATCCTCGGACGTCAGGCCAGACGATGGACCAAGGCCTTCCTTGAGCGCCAGTACGAGCTCTTCGAAAAGGTCCCTCTCCCGCTGCGCCACGACGTCTCCTACGGCACCGAGCACGTGGCTGCTTGACATAATATTCATGGCCATGATTGATGAGAATTTTAGGGAAGATTATTTGCGTAGGTGGATATAATGGATGGATGTTGACAATCTATAGGAACGATGGGAAAGAACGATGCGATGGGACATTTATCACAGCAATCAAAGATGCACAACCAAGACAACACACCGACTGGAGCGGGGATGGACAGTGTCTCTCGCGACAGGTCAGCTGAGCGAGCCCCCCGACGGTGGATAAGGGCACCCGGTGTCGGCAGGCGGAATCCTCGTCCCTCCAAGCCACGCGATAAAAAAAAAGGGATTGGCAGTGATAGCTTGTACGAGGTACGGATACACCTGGCAACCATCGGTGGATTACGTTGCGCACGTTTCGCACAATTTGGTTGGATAAGAGGACGCTAAGAGCGCATCATGGCCAGCCATGGTTTAGGCGATGACACAAAGTCAACGGCAGAGGCAACCATCAATTGATCAGATGGCAGCAGCAAGATGGGACGACAGACTATCGAATGCCTTTCCAATGAGATCAGCATTGGATCACAGACTTGGCCATGCACATTTGGCATGCAATGGACTTGATGTGCGAATTGCAACAGGGTATTGAGACTGGAAGATTTGAGACTGTTTTGAAGTACTTGAACGATAAGAACTTGCAGAGTTCCCTTGTGGGGCCCTGAAACCCAGCACAGCAGTAGCGCTATGCTACCAAGACGCTACTAAAGGAACTCTGAGGATTTACGATTGCTGGGCTTACGGTTCGTAGTGAAAAGGGGTCAGCAATTTGAACCTTCTCTTGTCCTTGCTTATTGCGTATCCTTATCTGGAGAGCACTCCTGAATCGTCCACTTCTTTAGGTGGAAAAAGATAAAGAGAGTAAGGGTAGGATACGGACAGCTCGCCGTAGTCATGATTGACATTTAGCTCCATACGCTGTCTTAGGTAAGACGAGGAGGTACGGAGGCGAAGTACCAAGACTTCTCCGATAGCCGCCACCGATAGCCGCTCTGCATCCGCTTGCCGACGGCCTTGACGGGTACACCAGCAATAATGCGCAAATCCTAATAGTAACATCGTATACTTTGAATAAATGCTTTTAAACTGTCAGAAGAACCAGAAGCTCTATTGTTTGTGAACGAGTCATAGTACGGGTAACTGCGCATAGTTCAGTAACAATTGAGCCATCCCAATTGAGCTGTTGTCGCGCTGCTTTCACACACGAATACCTACAGTACAGAATACAATCCAAAATCACCTGTTTCAAGCTTCCACAGTGCTTTATTAAAAAAAAAAAAAAAAGGCTATAGCTTAAACGTACAAGCTCTTACACCTAGTTTCTTTGACCTTGGTCGAACAAACACAACTGAGAGTCAGCTTCTATTGAGCAAAATCTCACTGTAGACTCTCAGGCTACCTTCATCTTCGCGGATAAGCAATATCCAAGCTATTGCAAATGTCAGGTAGCAGACCATGGCAATGACTCGTAGCTACAGCAAGCTTATCGATTTTGAAATTAGCACAAGGACTCTCGAGCTCGCCGACGGCCCGCCGTTTTGTACGGAGGGTTCGTTGTATGCGGGGAAGCAAAATCCACTGCCCCGGGTCTCGAGGCAGTACCTGGATGCCAAGAGATTTACTAGCATCTTTGACGATGAACGGCGGTAATCACTATAAACGACTGCTTTATCAGATCTCGTCGCATGTCGGGTGCAACTCCATGTCCCAAATAGACGTCAGCATCGTCGTCATCAATCCATCTGCCGTCCTTTCCCCAGCGTCCGATGCCCCTCAACGTCACTCCCGAGCATCCAATCTCAAAACCAGTAAAAAGAGCGGACCAACGACCAGAACTCTGGGCCGAAAGTCCTTTACAAAGAAAAAAAAGCATCTCCAGCTGCCATTGTCGACGCATATCGGCCCGGCGCCCCCAAAACCCAGACCCAAGTCTAGTCCCGACAGCCGCTCCACACGGCCGATGCCGAGCTCTCGTTGTCGTCTCCAGCGAATGAGAACCGCCCAGCCCACCTTATGTCAGAGGCTGAGCGCCACCAATGCTAGAAAGACGGAGGAACGCGAGAGTTGACCCCTTCTAGAATTTCGATCTCGGTGGGTACATGCCCGTATTTTTTTTTTTTTTTTTTTTTACCATCTGAAAACCGGGACTGGCAAGGCCGTAGCTGAGAAATGGGAATCCGGTCGGTCGGCAAGCTGTGAATCATCGTAGCTTATAGAGAGTCATGAAGCACTTAAAATACAACAGCTCGTCCTGAAGAATTATTGCCACTTGTTCTAGATACCATACCAGTAAACATTTCAACTGTGAAAAGAGACTTCTCTACTCGCACAATAGTCGGCGACTCGGATACTATTCAAACCCACGCTCGTCATACCTCAGATATCCAAACATCCCGTTTCGTCCATCTGCCATCCTCTTCGGCTCAGCCATTCCGGCAAACTCAACCACTCTCGCCGAGAGACCTCCGCCTGCCAAACAACACTTCCTTTTAGTGGGCTTTGCATCCAATAACTGCCAAGACTCAGAATACCTGTTGCCCGGCATTTGCGAATTTACAAAGCAAGAAAAGAAACAATTTCGTCATCAACTCTTTATTATACGACTGAGCTATATAAGCTAAAGCCGGCCAAGCTTCTCTACATCTCTTACTCTAGAATCCCCATCAAACAACAATTAAAAATCTTCGACTTTTCAAATTCTGATACTGAACCTCCAAGTCTCATCATGGAAACAACTACCGCCAGGGCATCATTGCCCGCTGCTGCAAACCAAGCCATAGCCGACAACCATAACTGCAATTCATGTGCTTCAGAAAAAAACAAACATGGTTGGCGGAAAATCGTCCGCAACTTTACGCCATCGTATGTATCACTTACACACTTCTACACTATCATACAGGTATCCCTATATCAAAAATAGAACTTCAACTAACACCCTCAAACAGATGGTTCGCCGTCAACATGGGCACAGGCATCGTCTCCATCCTCCTCCACAACCTCCCCTGGAACGGCTACTGGCTGCACATCATCTCCTACATCTTCTTCGCCCTCAACATCCTCCTCTTCACCATCTTCTTCACAATCTCCCTCCTTCGATACACGCTCTACCCCGAGATTTGGTTCGCCATGATTGCTCATCCGGCACAATCTCTCTTCCTGGGATGCCTCCCCATGGGCTTTGCAAGTAAGTCATCCCACCCCTTTCACTTTCACGTATACAATTTCAAAAACGACCACCGCCACTAACACACCAAAGCAATCATCAACATGATGATCTTCTCCTGCGCCCAATGGGGCCCCTGGCTCATCTACCTCGCCTGGGCCTTCTGGTGGATTGACGCCCTCGTCTCCTTCGCAACCGCAATCTCCATGCCCTTCATCGTCATGCACCGCCACCGCCCCGGCCTCCAAAACACCACCGCCGCGCTCCTCCTGCCCATCGTCCCGACCGTCGTCGCCGCAGCCACCGGTGGCATCGTCGCCGACGCCCTCCCCAACATCAGCCACGCCTACGCCACGCTCATCGTCTCCTACGTCCTCTGGGGCATCGGCCAGGCCCTCTCCGCCTGCGTCATGGCCCTCTACTTCCACCGCCTGACGATCCATTCTCTGCCCCCGCGAGAGGTCATCGTCTCCGTCTTCCTCCCTGTCGGACCCCTAGGCCAGGGCGGCTTCGGCATCCAGCAGCTCGGTAAAGTCGCCCTCAAAGTCATCCCTCACACGGAAATGTTCCACGTCGCCGGCGTGGATCCCACCCGCGGCGCCGAGTTCTTCTACTTCCTCGGCATCTTCTTCGGCATCGTCATGTGGGGGTTCGCTCTGGCTTGGGTGTGCTTTGCTCTCATCATCTTGAGAACCACGCGGTCGTTTCCCTTCAACATGGGCTGGTGGGGATTTACTTTTCCGCTGGGCGTGTGGGCAACTTGCACCAGCGCGTTGTGGCAGAACCTGGGAAGCGAGTTTTTCAAGTATATAACCATGGTGGGTTTCCTCTTCATATCTATCCCATCTTCTTTGGGTGCCTCTTTCTAACAAAAGACACAGATCCTCTCTCTTGTGGTCCTCCTCCTTTGGATTCTCGTCAGTCTACGGACGATACAACGTGTCATCACCGGCGAACTGTTCGTTGCCCCGTGCCTCGACAGCCTCAAGGAGAAGCAAGTAGAGGCCGATGAAAGCAAAGCATAAGCCATATAATAGCCTTGTTTTCTCTTATATCCTTCCATTCCTTCTTTCCATAATCATGCATTTATATACAGTATTAATCAGGGGCGGATTAGATGAAATGGCATGCAGGGTGTGGCGCAACAGGGACAGGTGTACTCGAAGCGATTTCAACAAAGCGTCTACTTTTGAGCAGCATATTAGCATTCAACGTGGTCAACGGCATTTAGATATATAGGTTGATTGAAATAGATCATCAATCAGCATCAGCAATAATATGAACATTTACACATATACCCTAGAATATTTCGCGTGCTAAGCACGGCATCAGAGTGATCAGCAATATCAGGTAGAAATGGTCAACTTGTGTTGCTATGCTCTATTGCTTGCTTTCTATCCCGTACGGCAATAATACAGTAAGGTATTTTCAAGGTCAGAAAAATTCCTCTTAAGCAATCAAAATTGCATGCTCGCTACTCCTCTACCTAATCCATCTGGCATACGCCCAGCGAATTCTCTCCAAAGCCTTTGCTTGAATGTGCACGCCCTTGACATTCGCCAAGTCATCCAAGTCCTCCAAAAACTCTTTCTGCAGGTTATCCGGCATCAAACTGCCAGCCAAATTACGAAGCACATGAACCTCGCACAACAGGAGACCGTGATCCTTGTACGACAGGACGTTGTTCTCCGTGGGCCGCGCCTCAGAGAGAATGCGGTCAATGTTTCGAAGAATACGAATTGCCTTGCCAGAAGTTTTGCTGTGGCGCCGACCAGATCGGCTGCCAAAGATGCTGCGGAGGTACTGAAAGACGCCAACCGAAACAAATACACCAGGAGTTAAACCGACAAAGCCAAAGACCAGCTCCTGGCTCTTCAAGAGCGAGTCAATGCCCGTCATGGCAACCTCCAGATCAACCTTTGTCTTTTGAACTTGGATCAGGAGAGACCGAACAAGGTCGCCCCGAAGAGCACCAACAAAAGGCTTTCTGAGTTCTTGTTCATATGCTTTTAAAACTGGGGTTACATCACCCTCAGCTACCTTGGTGCGGATTTCGGCAATTTGGGCGTCAGTGATAGATGAGGTGCCAACAGCGTAATGGGGTCTTTCAGTGGCAAAATCTACAACCATTCGCTCCAGGCTCTCGCGGTCAGCTTTGAGGCTGTCCCTGCTCATGATTGCAATCTCGCTGGTTTCGTCGTGCCGTATAGTCTTGATGACTTTTTCAGTCGGTTGAATAACCCAGTTAAGCCAGAAATCCCGCAATGTACTGCCGAAACCCGCAATCCAGTCTATGATGTCTGCCTTGCGATTGACCAGAATCCTGAGGATGGTTGTAGATGAGGTGATACCAATAAGAGCGGGTAGCCAGTATCGCACAATAGCTGGGGGTGGGCCATTTTCATTTGCGAGAAGCTGCATAGCGTCAATATGTTGAGGAAGCGTCTTGTCAATGATTTGAAGCAGACGGCGGGCCAATGTGCTTGGACGATATTGAGTCATGTCTTCCTCAACGTGAACAGACAACTCTGCGTCTTCTTCGACGCCTGCAAACACTTTTTCTTCAAAGTCAGGAATGTTGATGTCAAGACTGCTTGCTTCCTTGAGGACCATGTCCATCAGTGCTACGCTTCGCTCGACTACGCCCTTGAGGTCTTCATGATCCTGCACTCCAGCTCTCTCATCGTCATGGCCAAGCTGAAGTCCTTCGTCCATGAGCACTCCAAGACCGCTGGCCGTCATTTCCCTTAGCTTCCGTAGATGGGCCTGTTTCCGGCGGGCCTCGGCTCGACATAAAGCGACAGGTGAAAGCACCTTTCGCTGAATGTTAGCAAACGAGTGCTCTCGGATACTTTCGCGAACAACACCGTAAAACCTGCTCCATGGTTGTGATAGTGTGGATCTTGTAGATTGGACAAGCTCGGCCGAAGCGTCTGCTGCAGACAAAGAGCGTAGCCGTGACTGACTAGCCTGATATATATCAAGCGACCAAGCCCACAACCGTAGGGGAGATGTCTGCACCGTATATATACTACTGTAGCTGTAGGAGCTCAAGACCCCATCCCAGTACCACATATCATCGCTAAGAGGGACGATGCGGTCGACCAAGGAGTTGAGGATAGCTCCATAGACCTGGACTGTTGCTTTGGAGACTAAGAGCCACTCGATCTCGTTCTCGTACGGCGTCTTGGTTCGTGCGTGAGCTTCCGACGCAGCGCCATGGATGTTATCTGCAATCGTAGCAATACCAGATTCGTTGAGCAGGATTTTCACACGTTGGATGTTGAGTAACGGTTCCGAAGACGAGGTGGTGCTCAGCGAGCGAATAATGTGCAGCAAACGGTCTAGTCGTGGAGCGTCCAGCACCTCTGCGGTGGCGAAAGCGTGGCCAGCTTCGGAAGCTCCATCTTCAGATGCCTCCTCGGACAGGACAGGGAGGCGGTCGAGGTACGCATCCAGGCGACGCACCTGGCTGGCAAAGGGAAATGTCAAGTCAGCACAGCTGCGTAATGCGGAGGAGAAGCTATCGAGGTAATGCAGCTCATGCTATTGGAGGGGCAAGCAAACAAGCAAGCCGCAATAAAATGAGGACGCGAACTTACTCTGCCACCAACGACATGGTTTAAAACGGTATGCCCTTTGCCCTTCGTACGAGCCGGTGAAATGATCAGACCAGGGCCAGAATTACCACGGTGCTGGTATCAGAACCTTGCTGAATCTGCATCGATCTCGGCTGGAGCTGGACCGGGCTATGGGTGGAGTCGAGTCCGGACGATGGTCAGACCATCACACCACAGGCAGCGTCCGGGAGTAGAGCTGGCCGAAGGGGCAGAGCAAACGGGTGGGCGCAGCTGGCGATTATCGATCCATTCGATTTCTGCGATTGAAAGGCGGAGGCGGTTCTGGCGCTGGTCTCTGATGCGATGTGCGTGGGGCAAATGTGTGCCCGATTTTTTCCCTCTTTTTTTTTGCTGGACCTCGAAACAGAGATATTTCGGGGCAGTTCGAATTCGTGCGCGAAGATCGTACTCGGAGCGAAATCGAACAGCTCACGTCATGCAGAGGAATAGGGGCGACAAGTGTGAATAACTCGAGGATGGAGGAGGCGAGCTGATGAATGACGATGGCTGAGTGCAGCTGCTATTTGGAATGAAGGCCGCCATTGGCTGTGATGTCACTGGTTTTGCGCCTGTTTAAGCTGAGCTGCTTGCCCCTATTGGACAGCGGCGGCGTATAGTTTACAAGAGAATGACAACTCGACAGCAACTATCAACAGCTAACTTACACCCTAATATTAAAGAAACAGATGCATACCTATGAACTTCGAATAACTAGCACTTGTACTATCAGGCATCAAGCTTAGATCTGTTATCACCAATTTCTACAATAAAGGCTACCCACAGTGGACGCTGGCAGAACAACCCTGTCTCGGTAGACGATATACATGCGCAAAGTTACTCCATGGATGCGCGACAGCAGCCTTGGGCAGCCTCTTGTTCTAGAAGCATATTTCTCAAGAAGCCGGGGCAGGCTTTCCCAAGCCCATTCGCAGTTGATGCCTGTATGCCGCAGCGCTGCCTCACAAGATGCCGAGCGGCGGCCGCTCCAGCGCGTGGCGGTCACAATAAGATGAGATGGCCAGATTCAGAGCTCGAGCTTCAAGCGCGAAAACGAGTGTGTGTGGGAATTAACAAACTGATCGAATGTCGCCTCTTCATCGCGAATACGAATGCGGCAGATAGACGACAAAAGGGCAGGGAATAAGAGGATTTTGAGCACAAACACTGAGACTATACACATACAATTTTGAGGATCTTGCTGTGGCAAAAGTGCGCATATTACGGTAAATTACGCACATGTTCCCTTTGCGGTCCCTATTTTTCTGTCGCTGATTTTGGCGGCCCAAGGAACCCGCTCGCTGCAGCCAATCAGCACCCGTCTCAGCCCAACAAAAGCCCCGTCACGTCGCCGCAAATCTGGCAGAGCCATGCGGGTCGTCGTGATTCCGATTTGCCATCCCCAGAGCACGGAATGGCTTTTTCCAGGTCAGCTCATTGCGACCTTCTAGTCTGCAGGGCCAAAAACGCCCATCCCCTGACTTAGTGGCCAATGAAAAGTTCACAGCTCTGCGACCAACGATAAAAATCTCCCTTCCCACCCGCCCCCACCAGCGAGTCCCCTAATAGACTTGTGCTCGACAAGCTCATCTCCTTATCTACACCGGTGTCCTCTCCTTAATTCTCTCTCTCTTTTTTTTTTCCTTCTACATCCCCCTCGGCATATCCTGAGAGCCTTTTGTACCAGCATCTCGACAATTGGGCCGCAATCATGGACGTGGCGTAAGTAGACGAACCTTCCAAGCGAACCACACCAATGACTGGGCACTGTCTAACCAGCAATTTTTGTATAGGAACGCGACATTCGGCGCGTTGAACCAAACGCAAACCTACTTCAACGTCCTCGAGGAAGTTGGCAAATACAATGTTCACTTGAACTTGTTTGAGCGTCTCTGGGCCGTACGTCTTTTGTTTTGCCCCTCCAATTTTCTGCGAATGGTCAAATCTAACTCGAAATTCTCATTCTAGGCCTGGTACCTGTGGATGGACAACGACACTCTGGCGACCGGTCTCATGAGCTTCTTCATGCACGAGATCATCTACTTCGGCCGCTGCCTTCCCTTCATGATCATGGACAAGATCCCCTACTTCCACAAGTACAAGATTCAGAACCAAAAGATCCCCACCCTGAAAGAGCAGTGGGATTGCGCCGCCATCGTCCTCGTCAGCCACTTCACCGCCGAACTGCCTCAGATCTGGTTCTTCCACCCCATTGCCACCTACTTCGGCATGGACTACGGCATTCCGTTCCCCTCGGTCTTCACCATGGCTTGGCAGATTGCCCTCTTCTTCGTCATGGAGGACACCTGGCACTACTGGTTCCACCGCACTCTTCACTACGGCCCTCTGTACAGGAGCATCCACAAGATGCACCACCTGTACTCTGCTCCTTTCGGCCTGGCTGCTGAGTACGCTTCTCCCATTGAGACTGGTCTGCTCGGAATCGGTGTCGTCGGATCTCCCATTCTTGTCCTCGCCCTCACCGGCAAGCTTCACCTCCTGACCATGTACATCTGGATCACTCTGCGTCTCTTCCAGGCCATCGACGCCCACAGCGGCTACGACTTCCCCTGGAGCTTGCGCCACTTCCTGCCTGTCTGGGCCGGCGCTGAGCACCACGACGTTCACCACGAGAAGTTCATTGGCAACTACGCTTCCAGCTTCCGCTGGTGGGACTACATGCTCGACACCGAGGCCGGTGCCGATGCCCACCGAAGACGCCGTGAGAAGAAGCTGGCTGCTATGAAGGCCAAGAAGGGCCAGTAAAGCAGTCGTGTATTCGATCTGTCTTGGTTACAACAATTACACGCCTAGGCGCTCTTAGCGAAAGATGCGTCAGGTTTTTCAAAGCCAATCGATAAAACGAGGGTTGCATGATTTTGAAAATACAATGAGAAAAGGAAAATAGATTAATAGTCAGCTTAATAGCCTAGCTGCGGCAGCCTCCGAGATGGCAAAAAGGCATCAACCGGCGTTGGGAGGGGTGACGAGAGCATGACTTCTTTCACTGTTTTGTATATATATACGTACTTTGCGAGCACCTTAGACATATACTTAATACAGCTCTTCGTCAGCTCCATGCTTAATTGGATTCAATGGAAGAATACCCTGTTTTAAACACTTCACTTTTCTGATAGACCCTGTAAGAGGCACATTACCCACGGCAGATTGTCGACCCCCACTTATTAGATAAGCGAACTGGAGCTCGATTATTTCCTAGGAATAAATTTCGCAGCCATGGATTTTACTTAACTGTAATTTCTCTTCTTTGTCAGAGCCTGTGCGACAGTGCCACAAGCAGACCGCGTATCATTTTGCGGTAATAATGGCAGTAAAATCGAATGGTAAAGCTACCAAGTATCGAGATTAAACTACCCTTAGCCGGCCTTTGATTCAAGGCCCTGGATGTCGCATCTAGGAACAATCTCATGATACCCATTTTGCTCCCTGTCTACCAACTTCACAGCTAAACACACCAATACCACCCTTTCATGCCATTCGTGAACGTCAATCAAAGTCATTTGAATGTTCCGATATTATTCATTCGATATTATTCATCTACCATTACAATCTTGCCCTGACAGCCACTGCCATTCAAGCTCTGGCAACTGAGACGTTGTTCCTCCATACGTTTTTTTCGGTACTCGTTCAGGGCAAAGAGCAAACCCAACGCTTATTTTTTGCGGGATTCCGATTAAGCCGGAGCGTCATTTGCCATCCTCTTGCTGAAAGGCGGGAGGTGCATAGTTGAAGCTTGACTTTGTGGATCCAACATTTATTTCCCTTCTGATTAAAGCAGTAGTATAAAGAAAAATCAAAACAAATCTTGCCGTAGTACGCCGATAGGTTCCAAAATGCTCCCCTTCCCTATAGTTTTGATCCCTCCGTGCCTTTGTTGTAAATATGCCATTCGAATTCGAAATCTTGCCTTGTTCGCGCTCATTTCAGCACCGTATGCGCGCCACGAGCAGCCAGGAACTGTTCCGCAGAGCTCTGAGGCAATGTCCTAATCAACCCAAACACTTCCTTATTGTGATACCGCAGCCTCGTCTTGGGATCCATGTATGGCGCAGGTAGACCCGTGATGTCGCAATAGTGCTTTGAGTGTGCTAATGAAGGGGCCGACTCGATGTTTGTGTATGTCGCGCTGGGCGCCGTCACGCCTCCGGCCGCTAATCCTCCTCCAGGGGGCTTCAGCGACTTTTCCAGCACGAGCTTTGACAAGCTACGCGATGCCTGTGCGAGGTTGGGAGGCGGCGGGTTTCCGTTGTTGCTTGTCGCGGGCGTCGAGGTGCCGCTGGTGGACAGGCCGTCGTCGACTGCGGGAGTTGCATCGCCGCTGACGTCCTGCGGTGTGGCGAACGCGGAAGCCTCTCGTTTGGACGCGTCGCCTACGATGGCTTTGAGGTTCTTGTTTCGTCGCTGGTTGGGCTTCCAATTGGGGTTGCGGAAGTTCTTGTGGATGGAGTGGATGTCGAGCTGTTCGAGGAGCTCGATGTGCGCGAGCTGCGCTTCTGTGGGAGCGGCCATTGTGAAGGGGAAACTGGTATATGGCTGATGGGAGGGCGGTTTAGTGTGTAAAGAGTTGAAATGTTGTTTGTGATGATTGAGGGGATATAAATGAAGATGAAGCGGAATGATGTATCATGAAGGGATCAACTGATATCACCAAGCCATGCCTTTAGCTTTGGATTACGCGCTTAGTCATAATTCAAGTACAGTGTAAGCTGTGCGCCCCTCCATCGCAGCTCTTGTTCCATTCGCATCTCCTTCATTCATTGATCAAGAACCATTCAAATCAGGAAAATAAATGGTAGGTCTATTATTATCACGTTTACATACTTGCCGGTGTACCATCGCTAATAACCGAGCAGGAAAGCCCGCACGAGCATCAGCAGAACCTGCTGATATCACGCATCATCACCAATGTGGTATGATGCCCAATGAAGACTAATACAGGGCTTCTGGCTAATGAAAATAGGAAAAACTGAATGAAGCGGTTGTTGTGATGAACAAGAGCCTCCAGGTAAGCAGAGAATTTGTAAGTTACTCTGGAGTTGGGCTAACGCTGAGTAGGAGATCAATGTGCAAAACATGAATGTAGAGCTCGTCGCGCAGATGTTCAAAAACTACCAGTCCAACGTCCTATTCCATCTAGAAGGTGAGTTCGGCATCTTTGTGTGATTGTTTACGGTTCTTGTATGGGAATTAATTGTGTAATCCAGCGACTGATAACCTGAAGCCTCCATCATGAGAGTCGCTGTTGGCATAAGGAGACTGGCTAGTATGACATGGAGAACGAGGAGAGAAGCTATATGCGTTCAAGATACCATAATGCGCGCTGCACGTAAAACAAATAAGATAAAAAAAATTATTTAAGAGTACTTTCAAATTTTGATTTCTGAATCCGTAATTATTGCCAGCAATATCATCAGCATGATAGAATCTACGGAATCCTCCATGTATTCCTCCATGTATTCCGTCTCAAGGGACCGCGAAGCTGCGAAAAGAAGTGTCGACGCGCTTGCGTTTAGCGGCCAGGACCCACGCAAATGCCGTTCGCCGTCATCAGCCTTGCAGCCTCGCGATTGTCCATTGAACCTTTTCCAAAGCTCCGAAGCTTTCGAGCAAATTCTCCGAGCGCCACATCAATTGGCCATCCCTCGATTGTCTCTCCTCTTCATCACCACCCGCCACACACCGCCTGCAAACCCATCATGGTCTCTTCTTCGACCTAGACTGTCCATCATCCCACACTTTCCCGCTGCGATCGATCGATAAAACTCCCTTGGATACGACATCATGGCTCCATCTGCAATCGACGAGCGGATGCCCCTGGCGCCGCCCGAAAAGACATACCCGCCAGCAAAGATATTCCCTGTCAAGGAGAACAAGTTTGAAAAGTTCATTGAGCCTGAGACCGATGGCCGGAAGAAAGCCCTGGAGCAGCCCGGCAATGCTGCCATTGTGATAGATAATGGTGAGCTACCACACAAGCTTGACACGAGCATAAGACAAGACTAATCCAGTCACAGGATCCTCCGCCATTCGAGCAGGCTGGTCCTTTGAGTCCGCGCCGCGATTAAACATCCCGCCCGTCATGGCCAAGTACCGCGATCGAAAGCTCGGCAAGACCTTCTCCTTTGCTGGTTCAGACTGCTATGCCGATACCACGGCGCGCGGCCACATACGGAACGCCTTCGAAGCTGGCACCGGAATAATAAGCAACTGGGACGTGACGGAGCACGTCTTGGACTACATCTTTCTAAAGCTGGGCATGAACGATGCGAGCGGTGGCATTGATGTGCCGATTGTGATGACCGAGGCTGTTGCCAATCTACCTTATTCAAGGAAATGCAAGTTCAAATCTAGCCTTCAAGAGAAATGCCGTTTCATCTGCTAACATAAACAATCATCTAGCCATGACCGAGATCATTTTCGAATGCTACGGTGCACCATCTCTTGCCTACGGTATCGATTCGCTCTTCTCATACAGACATAACAAGGGAAAGACCGGATTGGTGGTGTCTTCTTCCCACACATCTACCCACATAATACCCGTCTATAATTCGAAAGCGCTCCTTTCCCAGGCTACACGGCTCAATTGGGGCGGCTACCACAATGCCGAGTATCTGCTCAAGCTGATTCGGTTAAAGTATCCCGCATTTACGGGCAAACTCAACTCCTCGCAAGCAGAGAACATGGTGCGGGATCACTTCTACGTCTCAAAAGACTACGATACCGAGATTCGCGACTACCTTGACTGGAAAGGACTAGAAGACCGAGATATAGTCATCCAGTACCCATACGTAGAGGAAGTGATTGTTCAAAAGAGCCAGGAAGAGCTGGATCGCATTGCGGAGCGCAAGAAGGAGAGTGGAAGACGGTTACAGGAGCAGGCTGCCAAGATGCGGCTCGAAAAGCTCATCAAGAAAGAGCAGGACTTGGAGTATTACAAAGTCCTGCAGGGCAAAATCGTCGATGAGACGAAAAAGGAAACTCGACGTCTTCTCGACAGCCACGACATTAAAGATGAGAACCAGCTCGAGAAGATCATCAAGGAACTGGAGAAATCCATTAAAAAGGCCCGCACCAAAGACGTCGGAGGCGACCCCGAGGAAGAACAAGAGCAGCCAGACTTTGGCCTCCTAGAAATCCCCGACGAGGAGCTCGACGAAGCACAAATAAAGCAAAAGCGCCAGCAGCGCCTCATGAAGTCCAACCATGAAGCCCGCGCCCGCGCCAAAGCCGAAAAGGAGGCCGAAAAGGCCCGCATCGCCGAAGAAGAGCGCCTAGATCAAGAACGCCGCGAAAACGACCTCGAAGGCTGGCTCGGCGAGAAACACCAAGCCCTGCAGAACGCCCTCCAGAAGATCAAGGAGCGCGACAGGCTGAAGCAAGACCTCGGCAACCGCAAGTCGCTTGCCTCCCAGATCCGCATGAAGAGCATCGCCAACCTCGCCTCCGACAACCCCACCAAGAAGCGGCGGCGCGGCGGCGACGACGACAACTTTGGCGCAAACGACGACGACTGGGGCGTGTACCGCCAGATCGCCGTGGGCGACAACAGCGACGAAGAGCAGGAGGAGGAGGATCTCGCGTCGACGCTCAAGACGCTGGAGCAGGATCTGCTCCGGTACGACCCCAACTTCACCTACGAAAACACCCAGGACGCCCAGACCGTGTGGTCCAAATCCCTCCTGCACGCCTTTGCCCGCGGCCCACGCCCCATCGACCCGGCGTCCCAAGCAGAGCTGCACCAGATCCACCTCAACGTCGAGCGCATCCGCGTGCCAGAGGTGGTCTTCCGCCCGTCCATTGCAGGCGTCGACCAGGCCGGCATCATCGAGATTGCAGGCGACGTGCTGAACCAGCGCCTCGGATCGCTGCCCAACCGCGACGACTTCCTCAAGGACATCTTCCTCACGGGCGGCAACACTCTGTTCCGCAACTTTGACGAGCGCGTGCGCGATGGGCTGAGGGCTTTACTGCCGGCAGATTCGCCGCTGCATGTGAGGAGGGCAGAGGACGCGCTGCTGGATGCGTGGAAGGGGGCTGCGGGGTGGGTTGGGAGCTCGGCGTGGAAGACAGCGACGATATCGCGGGAGGAGTATCAGGAAAAGGGGCCGGAGTATATCAAGGTGATTTTTTTTTTCCTCTAATCTTTGTTTTTTTTGCTCTATTTGCTAACCAAAGTATAGGAACACGACATGGGCAATTCATACGCGTGAAACTGTTTGGGTTGAAAGGAATTCGTTTCCTCCTTTTTACCTTGATTTGTAATTCTTTTATAGGTAGCTTGCTCTTTTTCTTTTGCTCGGGTGATTTTTCCATTTTTTATACATTTAACGCTTCGTCACGTATAACCTTAGAATGGATCATGTTCAACAGTATCATTAAATCTTCCAGCCGTGCAGCGTCCATCCCTCTCCTACCAAAATACCTAATTCGTAGTCCATAGGTAGACTCTAAAACACACATACATTAGTAGGCATCTCTCCATAGATACCGAAAGTATATATCTGCCCCTTCGTTCTACTCCCAAGGTCTTGTTATAAGAACACCAGTCTCCAATTTTGTTTTATAGAATCCCTTCTACACGCACACACAGCAGCCCACTCCAAACCTGCTACCTCAACCTGTTTCATATCCTGAGAAGGAAAGCAAAAAAAAAAAAGGCCCGTATGAAAGAGAGCAAAGAAAGACACCTAGTTAATACTCATCTTGCCAAGCCGCACCATAGTCACATAGCCTTAAGAAAGCCCAAGAAAAGGAATAAGGGAGAATCAATGACACACACTTGGGACACCAAAAAAGAAATTTCAAAGTCATACTAGACACAAAAAGGCCCTCCTTCCGTAAACGCCCTCCATCGATTTAAACCCCCTTTCCTTGACTAAAAAAATAAAAGGAAACAATAAAGGGAATAGGCAAATAAAAAAAAAAAAGTAAGTGAGAGATGTGCATAATAAATGTTTGTAAATCATGCACACGCACACGTATAACGCAATAAAATCCCCCAACGCCACCCTTTAGTTAAATCCATTCTTGTAGAGCAAGTATAGCAAGTGTTCTAGGGGAAGGTCCCCTAAGCTTGGGCTGGTCGCTCTTCAGGATTCAGTTGCCTGCTCAAATCCTCGGGAGCCGGGTGGGGATTGCCATCTCGTTCGCCTGGCTGTTCGGGCTTGAATGGCGGGCTGGGATAGGTCTGCCCTCGTTCAACCATTTGCTCCTGGGCAGTAAGTCCCGCGACGGCTTGCGCGACGGCCTCGAGAGGAGTACCAACTCCGGAATTGCTACTGTTAGGGGGCTGTTGCGGCGGAGGCGCTTGGTGTTGGTGCTGTTGCTGGTGCGGCTGATGGTGCTGTTCGGGGATGGCGGATGGCGGCGGAGGAGCACCAGATGAAGGCTGCGAGAGGTTGACATTTGGAGGGGGCGGGGGGAATTCGCCCTGGGTGTCGAGCAGCCGGGATTGCAGGTGGATCACATATTCTCGGAGGGCGTAGTTTTCGGATTGCATCGACTTGTATGAGTGCTCCAGCTCGGCAAGCTCACGAACCTGCTGCTCGAGCTTCTTGATGTAGCCCTCCTTGCGTTGGCGGAAAGCTCTCTGCGGGGAAATGGCTGGTTAGCTCTGTGTCGCCATTGATATGAATTAGACATGTTGCAAGCTAAATCTATGGAAAGGCCGATAGTCTGTCTTTACTAGAGGAAGATGGCAAGGCTCAATGGCTTGACACAAGTGTTGCGAAAGAATCCGGGCGATGCCGGCGCGGTGTGTTTGCTGACAAACGCGGTATTGCCCAGCAACCGCGAACAGCCAAACAGCTCCATTCTAGGAGACAGATACAAAACAATGCGGAGAAAAAAAGCAATTGACAGCAAGAACAGGAAAAGCTCACCTGTGCTGCTCTGTTTTGAGCGGCGCGCTTGGACTGCGACAGCTCGCGCTTCGCCTTGCGGCCATCGTTGGAGTTGGCATCGTCCATGGCCATCTGCTGCGGCGGCGCGGGGGCCAGCGGCACGGCTGAAGGGCCGGGACCGGCTGTGACAGGGCTGTGCCCCGGAGGAGGGCCCATGGGCATCATGTTGGGAGCTGGCGCGTGGCCGACGGAGGCTCGAAGATCGGGGTGGATGTGCGCTTCAGCGTCTAGCTTGGCGAGAGGGCGGGCGACGTCTTGCGAGGATGCTGCCAGGACGTCGTATCCATTCGGCGGCCGCGACGGAGGGCCTCGGGGATCGCGCGCGCTCGGGTTGGAGGCGGACGACGGAGCGGGATCGTGGTTCTGGAGCAGTTCAAGCTGAGCGCGCAAGTGCTGTTCTGTCGCGGAGCAGAGCTGGTGTTAGCGGAGATGGCGAAGATCAACAAGCGCAGCAAGGCAAAAAGAGGCAAGTGTGGATAGATGCACGCGTGACTTCAGCGAGTCAAGAGAAAAAAGAAGAAAAGACAAAAATAAATAAGCAACAAGCAAAGTTGTAATGCGATAGAGCAGGGAAATTGCGTGTGCTGCCGTCTATCTCGAAGCAAATGTCGTGGATTATACGGACCGTCGGCGTTCCGAGGCGCGCGCCAACCAGCGTCTATGAGATGCACTGGTAATTACCAATCTCGGATAATAATGCTTGGACGTGTTAGAGGAAGCTGACTTGAGCTTCCACAAACCGTCGTGCCGGAGGGGAGCAGGCCTGGAGACAAAGAATGCCTCAAGACAAGAAAAACAGAGGATGGTAGCAGAGGATGATGCTGATGATGCTGGCGATGGCAGAGCTGCAGCAACGCAAAGCACGGCACGGCAGCCAAAGATCAACGTCGACGACGACAGGGCAGGGCAGGGCAGGATATGATCAGGTAAGGCAACGCTGAGGTAACAGAGGAAACAGTATGTAATCCAATGTACTCGAGAAGAGTAAAAAAAGAGAAGAGGGAGGAAAAAGATACGAAACAAGACCGAGAGTTGAAAGTCAGCGAGACGTACCTTGCGTGTTTGCGCCGTTGGCAGGAGAGCTCTGCTGCATTGCTTGGAGATTCTGACTCAGCATCCGGGCCTCTCCAGCTCTAAATACCAGCGGCGAGCAATGGTGTGGTCGTTAGCTAGCAGATTGAGCTTCGATTCTGTCGGATTTTTTTCTGATGACTACACACTTTTTGCTGACGTGAAACAGGGAAAATCACAGGCAAGAGACGGGCTTTCCCCCAAAGGCTGGATGCGACGGGATTATGTAACGCAGCGGGCGTGGCGGGATTGGGAGCGAAAATGGCGTGGCTGGCGCGCGCAGGTACACGGTGCGGCGTACGGTATGGCTGAGCTGTGTGCTTTTCAGGCCTTGCACTTTTTGCCTTTTCGAGTCATGTTTTCCTCTCTTTTTTCTCTTTTTTCTTTTTCATTTTCTCGACTAACTTGTTTACGTGGTTTTCCCCATGTTTATTTTGTCCGTTGCTTTTGGTGCCTAGGCGTTTTTGCAAGTTCCCTGCTCCCCCTAATACCGAGTGTGGGATGCGATATGGGGCTCGCTGATGACTGATCGGATTCCGGGACGCGGAAAGGCTTGGGTAATGAGTTGGGGCTAGGCAGAGCATCGAATGTCCGGAGAACCGAACGCTTTGATTTGGAGAGCTGCAGCCGTGTCTGAAAGCAGACGGCAGGTACCGTCGTGCTCGCGTGAGGGAAGAAATGAGTACCTGCAAGTACTTGGAGCCTCGCGTCTTGGATAGCCGCGAGTACTTGTGTTTCTACAGAGCTGCCACGGCTGGTCAAGTACCGCGCCATCAGATTGAAGTTTTTTGAAGCCTGCTCTCCATCAGGATTTGGTCATGCTCGTGTATCTCTGTGTTGCTCTGGCACAGGTGCAAACTTCAGAGGCGCGACTACTGCCTCAATCGGATGCTTACCGAATCTTCTCCATCCAACCAAAGAGAGCAGCCTCCATCTGGAGCCGCTTCCGTAAGCCATGCGTCCCAGCGCTACTATTTGCGCCTCCATAGATGTTCGATGGCGGCAGCACTAGAAGTCGACGTATTTCTCCAATTGGCATTAGATTCGACTCGACTGCTACCTTGGCAATCAGTGCATACAGAAGCGGAGCAATGGAGAAACACCAGCATTGCATACCTAGGTACATACAAGTACCTAGGTACGACTGTTATACGCCGTGACAACGCGGACAATGGATCTCTACAACGAGATCGATTTACTTCAAATGCACTGAACACATCTCCCGGCAAATAACGCCATGGCATGGAATCAGGGATAGGTCTGCAGATGGCCTAAATTAGCTTCTCAACAGAGTTTACAATTTATAGACGAGCAGCGATGTGCGTATATTCGGTCCATTACTGCAGCCACAGATATGGCCCTTGGTACAGGTAAACATTCGCGTCTCTCTGCACGACCGGCAGTCCTTGGATCCGGTCTTCCTAGTCATTTGTCTGTTTCCCCAATCACACTGACGGGAGCCTCGGGCTACTCCAGACTCGGCATCAAACCCCCCATCCAACGAGCCGTGCAGCTACCAGTTTGGCACGAGTTGCAGCGCGCGCGCCAGCGAATACCTACAGTTCTGGTTTGTCAGCAATGCCTGACATTGGCTCCATCGGGCATGGTCCGATTAGTCATTGTGAATAAGGAGTGGAATCCCGGATAATTGAGGAGAGAAAGCAGAAAGAAAAAGTCGCTTTTCCTCGCCCTTGCATTCCAGAAACAGCAAATGGTCCACCCTTTGGTACCTACAACCTATTTCAACGCTAGTGCGGCAGTATAATCATCGGGTTGCTGGTACGCAGAGATCCGAAGATACAGTGTCGATGCGGCGCAGCGTAAGGTATACAGTGCATGGACAGCCACTCTTGCACGGCGCGCACCTCGTTGCTTTTAATTCTTAGCCTAGGAGGCTCGCGCCTTTTTGCGGCCACAAGCTGGAATGAGGGGCTTATATCCGAATGACAAGCAGTTGCCCACCCCGGACATTGCTGCTTGCTACCTTGCTACCTAGGTAGGTAGGCACAGGACCTTGGTACCTAGCCAGACTGACAAAGATATTACGTACGGTTTCCTCTCGTCAGAAATGATCAGACAGACAGACAGACGATAGAGAGAAGCAGTCTGTCCTGCTAGAATGCAAGCTCTCGGTCTCTCTCCTGTGGCTTACGTAGTCACCGATTGCCCAGCCCGCACTAAGACCAAAAGAGTTTGCACATCGAGCGCGTCGATTGATCACTAATACGATTGTATGACTTCCTTTACTGCGGCCAGTGCGGCGAAATATTACCAAGGTAATGTCTGTCTATCGTATTAGGATTCTGTCTACTGTACATGGACGGCTAACCGCAGTCAGTGACATGATTACTACTCCAGACGCCAGACTAAGTATAACAGCGCGCCGGAGACTTATCGACTGCCTACCAATCAATTCCCGCGACTGGGGTTGATGATGCTAGCAACAGTAGGCAGAGTAGCCTCAGTAGGTACAGTAGTAAGCCACCCGTCATTACTCAGGCCAGTGGCACTTGGAGTTCTACAGTGTGTTGAATAGTCTACCTACTAGTACTCCGTACTGTGGTAACGAGTTTGGCGAGGCAGCTTGTAAAAAGCCGAGGTTCGAATCACTACGTCTCCATCCTCTCAAATGAAAAAGAGAAGATGTTTCTTTCAGCCCGCAAGGGTCCGTCCAATACTACAGTACACATCTTAATAAGGTTATATTTGCATATAGGTACTCGTATGTAAGTACTGTAGCACTGGGGGGCTGCAATAATCAATATTTCCTACAAAGGATTCGGGTCTTCAGTCAGCTCAGCAAATGTTCCGGGAAATAAACACTTTACCTAAATTTGCCCATTTTGATTACATAGCTAGCACGAGTAAGTTTTTGATTACAGAGTCGCATTAGGCTATTCAAGCATGATTCGACCGAGACGGAGAATGAGCCCCCATCGGCAAATCCCGTTGAACCTCTCCTCAGAAAATCCCTATTGACTGATAGCCCCCCCGGTCATGGGTGCAGCTATTTCACGAGCGTATTACCTACCACACGCAGTAGCTTCTATATACCCATGCATAGCACTCGGGAAAAGATTCCATGGAGCGAGTCTCCCAGGCACTTGGACGTGGATCCCCGGCGCCAGTCACACGTGGCGGCTCTTCCCAACCCCAGGCTATCATCTGTCATGTTATCGTCTACTCGGTGTGGTAAGGCGTTTTTTTTACTAGTAGAGATGGCGGCGGCCTTCGGTGTTTAGCATTTGCATGTACTGTAGCTATTGCTCGATAACCCGTCGTCCATCTCATCGTTTCTCGTGTGAGCGTGTATGCAAAGACCTAGCTGATATCTGCATCCCTACATCCAATTACACGTCGACAGGTGTCTCATCTACCTCCGATGTACTTATATTAATTTCCATGCTGCCAGATGACTCATGTACATGTAAAAGCGTAAAGGCAGAGTGACTAATAAGAAACAATCGCTTGGGTCGGTATTCTCGGCTGGCTCTTGAACAGCTTCCCACCCTTCCACACGTGCGTGACATTGCTGGGATCCGTCAAGACGTGGATGTCGTCTAGCGGATTCGACGCAACGGCAATGATGTCGGCGTCATACCCGGCCTTGAGCTGCCCGCTCAGAGGCGCCATGCCTCCGAGCACCTCTGGGCCGTTTGCCGTTGCGCTCTCGATCGCCTGGAGAGGCGTCATGCCCAGCTCGACCGCGTACGTGAGCTCCTTTGCATTGTTGCCGTGCGCGAGGGGAGACGCCCTGGCGCTGCTGAGCATGTCAGTCCCCAGAGCAATCTTGACGCCCTTCTTGATGGCCATTTGGTATGAGGTCTTGGCCTTTGGATACACCGTAAGCAGCTTCCGCTTGACCAGAGGGGGCAGCGAGTCGGCGTCTTGCCTCAGGTTCCGAACAATGTGCTGCGTGCCGACGAAGATGGCGTCTTTCTCCAGCATGAGGTCGGCCACCTCCTCGTCCAGGTACATGCCATGCTCGATCGACTTGACGCCGGCTCGGAGCGCCGCCAAGATGCCGGCCTTGCCTATGGCATGAGCTGCTACGGCTCGTCCACTCCGCGCGGCCTCGTCCACTATAGCCTTGAGCTCTTCGTCCGAGAACTGGCTATCCTCTGGTTTGTCGTTGAGGCTGAGGACACCTCCAGTGGAGCAGACTTTGATGCAGCGCGCCCCTCGCCGTATCATCTTTCGGACAGTCTTGATACAGTCGTCGACGCCATCACATACGCTGACGGGAGAGCCGCCGTAGTTCATGGCATCCAGGACAGTCCGGATCGGCGCCGAGTGCTCATCTGCATGTCCTCCAGTGATGGATAACGGAGCAACTGCGCCGTAGATATTGGGGCCGATCAAAGGCCCATCCTGCACGCCCGGCCACAGATCGCATCCATAGCCGCCGAGCTCTCGCACCGATGTGTAGCCCGCCATCAGCGTCATCTTCAGGTCTTCCACCGAGATGGCGCCAGCTAACGCATTGAAACCAGGGAGATACGCGGCGCTGGCGGCGCTCTCTGCATTGGTAAGAGACAGTCCCATGAAGTGAACGTGGCAGTCCCACAGGCCTGGCATCAGGACCGGAACATGCCTTGGCTTGATGTCCTTGTACTTGGCCGGTATGTCGGCATGTGCGCCAACCCATTCGATTTTGCTGCCTTTGATCGCCAGCAGTCCATTGTGAATTGGCTCTCCGCGGCCTGGGATCAACAGTTTCGCGAGGAGGAGAGTGATTGTCTCGCTCTCTCCCACGGGATGCTCCGAGGCAATATGCGACGGGGGTAGGCGCTGGACAGGGATACGCATTTCGACGACTGAAAGAAGCGATTGCAAGTTATGTGCCAATGGGCTAAAAGATGAACAGAAGCAGAGGACGGATTCGATCTCATGGCTTGGAATCCATCTCTTTATAGCCGTTCAGTCAAGATAAGACGGAATCTCGATTCAAGCATCGGTCGAGTGGCTGGGAAATCCTAGCAGAGATAAATCACCAATGACATGCCGATATGCTCTACACCTGCGCCGATACGGTTTATACGGGACGCTCGCTTACCGAAACAGGATCTTGGCTAAATGCAATCCTAACAAAAGAACTTTGAAACGGACGAGGGTTAGCTGGTAGTACGGTAGAAGCTGATGTGGAGGCGGGTACAGGCGCCGACACCCCGCGACGGGATCGTCTGATGCGGGGATTCAATGACAGACTGAGCTTCTTTCTGATGATAATGAAACGAGTGAAATGAGAAATGAAGACTCAATTGATTGAAAAGCTTATGTGAGAATACTACGGCTATTTTGCAAGTCAAAATCTTGGTGGAAATTAGTTAGCTGGATGATAGATAGATGATACCCTAGAGCGGCGCATAGTTAATCCAAATTCCAGCAATCAGCAGTGTCACCAAAGCTTCCATATGAATAGCGTAACGAACAAAATCAGCATTCGTCATCCACTCTTTAGCTAAAAAGCAATGTCTCGCCTAAGAACACCCTCCCTACGTCTATCTCACAGAATCAATTTACCATCCAGTACTGGCACTAGACTCCCCAGATTCATGTCTTCCCAAAGCCCCGCCAAGCTTGAGCCACTGCTTGCATCGCACGGCGGAAAGTGGACATTGACGTCTGATGGAGAGGCTTTGGAGCGGAGCTTCAAGTTTAAAAACTTTACAAAGACGTGGGTATGTATAATTAACATGAGAACAGTTCTTCTACATGCCATGATACAAGGCAATGGCTGACGGAAAAAAAAACAAATGCAGGATTTTATGACGGCTGTTTCGCTGCAGTGCAAGATCTGGAATCATCACCCTGAGTGGTCAAACGTAAGTATAGATTGAATTCGTTAGGAGGAAAAGCAGTCAAATCTGATGGAATCCCCATCTGTAGGTCTACAACACAACATTCATCCGCTGGACAACGCATGTGCCCAAGGGCCTATCAGACAAAGACATTGGCCTGGCCACATTATGCGATGCTCTGGCCAAGGACTTTGGAGAGCTGGACCCTGAACCTGCCAGTTGTGAGATGCAAAATTTGGCAAATGAAGTGGTCAAGGATGGAAATTGCTGTGTGAAGAAATGAGATTCGCTATCTGTTATTGTCTCTCTAACTAGTTTGTGATGCAGTATTAGACGATATATGAAAACTGTATCTAGTCCATGTAGATTAAATGAGTCGCTTCAAGTCCTCTTGCTTCAATGATATGACGTTTGGTCCGTTCTCCCCTGCTACGTAGCCGCAGATCTAGCTTGAGTTTGTACAATTGTTTCTCGCTGTATTAATGGCGCTTGTTCTAGAGAATTAACTGTGATGTGCCGATAAGTCGCCGGGTAGCATTTTGCTGGCTCGAAGGAGCCATGGATCTGGCCCTCGATATAACTCTGCGTTCCGTATTCCCCTGGTATGGCTCTGCGTTCCGGATTCCCTTGACATCGCTCTGCGTTCCGGATTCACATTGCTGGTTGCTTGCCATGCCTCTCGGGAAATTTCTTGGATATCAGATTGGTCCCCTAGGCTGCCTCTTCTAGCTAGCTTGTGTAGTTTGCCAAGAGGGACCTTGGACGCCATGAGATCCGTAGATAAAAGTTTATTTTGCGTTAGACGCGCAAAGCCCGTTCTTGAGCTCCTGAGAATGTACAATTGGATATGGTTGCGACTGGTCTCCATTATGTCATGCCCAGAAGACCTCTTGGATATCAGATAATCTCCTAGACTGCCCATTTTAATGGCTTGTGTGATTTACCAAGAGAGACCTTGGATACTATGAGATCTGTACATAGAAATGTGATTTGCGTAAGACGCGCAAAGCTCGTTCTTGAGCTCCTGAGAATGTACAATTGGATATGGTTGCGACTGGTCTCCATTATGTCATGCCCAGAAGACCTCTTGGATATTAGATTGGTCTCCTAGGCTGCCCCTTCTAATGGCTTGTGTAGTTTGCCAAGAGGGACCTTGGACACCATGAGATCCGTAGATAGAGATGTGATCTGCGTAAGATGTGCAAGGCTCGTTTTTGAGCTCCTGAGAATGCAAGGTGGGATAGGGTTGCGACTGGCTTCCATTGTGCCATGCCTAGAAAGTTGAATGACTGAAGTATCTGGGAGTACTCATGCCATGTGGCTGTTGAAAGGCTGGATCGCCCTTCATTGGGCTTGCAGCCGATCTTGGGTCGCCATGTTGCATTGGAGTAGCATTGTAGTCCGAGCCCAGAATCTCTGAGCGTTGCGTACCCCGAACATTGTTGTATTTGCTCGTTCTCATCGTGGACAAGTTGCTGGATGGACTTGGGATGGACGTCCAATAAAAGTGCTGAATGAAACTCCAGGGTGATGTATAGTGGCATGGTCAAGATGCGTTCGGATTTGATGGTACAGTCGCTGGTGAGGATACCAAGATCGCCAGACTTGGTAAAACTCCCTGCGTGTATAGACTAAAGTGGATGCCGCATTGAGAAAGGCCGTCACTGTCATGTTGCTAGGTGAAAGGAAACTGCGGGTATGCAAATTGCGAATCCACCAGTGCTGAAGAAGATGAGTTACACTGAGGAGAGTATTGAGAAGAGACACGATTTAGATCCGCCACCGCCATGTCAAGCATGCTAGCTGCCTCCTGAGCGTATGGAGAGCTGATGCCGAATTGAGAAGAGTCGCTACTGTCATATTGTTGTGCAAAAGAAAGCTGTGAGTACTGTACGCAGAATACGCACCCATCAGTGCTGGAGAGGGTCTGATAGTGAGAAGAGTATGGCGACGAGAGACTGATTGAATCAATTGTCATGGGTTCGAGCATCTTCCACGCAGGCTGGGGTCGTGTTCAATAAGTCCATAATACAGGCCCGGTGTTGATCCTCGATGTCGACCGCGTATATAGAGGTTGTAGTTGACAGTCAATGTCACTTGCCTCACGAGGCTGTAGCTCAAGCTGAGTTACTCGGAGCATTTGGTAATGACAAACGACAGAACAAAAGCAGAGCTCCTCGTGTCCGTTGGAGGTCGTCTACCACCGCTGCAAGGGCGTAGTCACCCGCGGTTAACCTGAATCACGAGTTGAATTTCGACCAATAGCCAGGGGAGGAGAGTAAGCTCGGCCGTTGGTACTACACAGAGAGGAGTCTGTGAGCCACTGAGCCATCTCAGGTGAGAAAAATGGGATGAATGCAGATGACTTGACCTACGTCTTTCTTGTCCAAACTCGATTGTTCAGTCGATCGTGTAATGTCTCCTCATAAATCAACATGACAAAAGGACTCATCATAATGCGCCGCCATGTCCATAAAGATATCTACAAGAGATGATCAGGTGAACGTGGACTTTGAATCATTTCTGGTGAAGTAAATAAGTTTCAAAGAGCCTCAGGACTTCAAAGGGGGTGTTATAGAATTATATAGACACCAGCTCAGATAAGCGTGTCTGTTGACCAGAGCGAGACCTTTCATTCATTTTAGCCAGACGTGGATTTATTGCGTTATCTCTTTGATGCCATATATGCCGGGTTCTGGCGAGTTGCAGTTGATACGTATCAGCTGCTGAGAGTTCACGGCCCGATAAACCAATGATATCTCTCATTTCCTTATCATGCTCCAGTTTGAACGGCTTCACTCTTGCTCACCGACGGGAAGAGAAGTTGATCTTCTGACTGCGCCTCAAATGCTCGGCGACCTGCAGACAGAGCTTATTTCCTGGCATCACGAGTCGACGGATATGACGCCTCGTTGACGATGATCCAATTATGATTCGTAGCCATTGAAGCCTACCTAGCCATCAGGGTACGTGACGGGTTGCTGCAATATGCGTCGTCTGTCAGGTGCTGTTGAGTACGTTAGCGACAGATAAGGAAGTGAGGCGAATATGCCCACCACTTGACAGCGACATATGGGAGAATGCAGTAGAAGTTTTTCCTAGAGGCTGGTCCTGGTACTTGAACAAACGAAAACGAAACCAAAAAGTGCCGTAAACTTCAAATTGCTAGACGTCTGCCTGACTTCTATATCGGGTACCGCATGCTTCTCTCTGATATTGTATCGTTAGGTAGTGTAGGTAGACATATAGAAGAGTAATGGCGATTACGACGTTGATGATCTGGAAGTATATCACTTCTGCTATAATGAATCATCCAAGTAAATGAAAGTTTACAAAATCATCTCACAAAACAACACGACCATTTTCTTCACCAGCAAGATGCCTCCTTCCTCACAATTTACCTGCTGTGATGACGTCGCGCCTCACAGCCCAGCGCAGGTACCGCCTCTAAAGACCCTTGCGCTAAGCCCAATACGCGATAAGCTGAGAGCGGAAATGCCCCCCAATCGCGTTCCGCCATGGTGTCCTCCTAAGCCAAGGGAAGCTTCAAACTCCTAATTCGTAGAGAGACGCCCGTGATCTGGACTTCAGCTTTGTTCCTGCAACGAACCCGGCGTGCCGCCACTTGTCCCTCCGCTCCTCAATACGGAAATCGTCGTCGCGATTCTGCCAAGAATCGAATATACCTGTCAAACTTTACCAACAAAGAGGGGAATACACTTATTAGTCTGCAAACATGTCGATGTGGCTGTCGGATAATCAGAGTATGTACTTCGGGCTTGTGCCTGATGCAAGAGTGGAAGATGTAGTATGCTGACTCGCTTTACAGAGATCGGGGTGGTTTTCTGCTCAGGCGGTAGGTACGCAGCCTGCTCACGAGCTTCGACGCTCACAAGCGCTTGGTCTGACGGTGTCGCTTCGTTTCAGGTGGTCTCTTCCTCGTCGGTGGAGTGATGCTCTTCTTTGATCGCGCCATGTAAGTTTCCCACCTGCCAAAGAAAGGGGCGTTTGGCGTTGTTCCGCTTTTCTAACTTTATTTCAACCTAGGCTTGCGATGGGAAATGTATAAGATCCCCATAGTCCACCTACTTTGCGAATGCGAACGATCGAAGCTGACATGTATACTCCTCGACGACTTCTAGATCCTTTTCCTCATCGGCCTGACAATCATCATCGGTCCTCAAAAGACGTTTCTCTTCTTTGCCAGAAAACAAAAAGCAAAAGGCACAGCTGCATTTTTTGCGGGTCTCACGCTGATATTGATTAAATGGACTTTTATCGGCTTCATAGTAGAAGCCTACGGCATAGCTGTATTATTCGGGGATTTCTTGGGGACGATTGCTGGATTCGCTCGAGGTCTGCCGGTAATCGGACCATATATCGGCATGCTGGTAGATCGGATGGGTTTGGGGCGCCGCAACGCTGAGCTGCCCGTCTAAGCCCACCTGCGCTCCTGTTTGCGCTACGATAACCGCCATTGTGCCATTTACTTGGCCAAACCTTGAATCTACTGGAGACTCCGTGAAAGATGAAAGAGATGAAGGATGATAGCGAAAATCCCAAAGGGGTTGATAATATCTCGGCTCGCGTGAGCTGCGGCATCGGTGTTTTGGCGTTGGCGTTGAAACTGAACTGCGCCCTTATGGAACCCGGATGGTGTAAAAGGAACTGCTGGATTATGTAGAATAGGTACCATTGTATGTATCGGCATAGGCTTGAGCGGAACGCCTATAATAAGAGCAACTAGGTCACATCTACCACATAGGTAGCCATGTTATCAGACATCACTCAGAAATAGCTGAAAGATGCATGTGAGAATGCAACAATTTGAAGATGAGACTTGAAATATTGGTTGTTTTTTTTTCTCTGCTGAGGAGATGTCTCTATCCTCTCAGAGCACATGCTAGTTAATTTGCAAAGATTCCCATGGAAACTCCTCCGTTTCTCCTATATCATCCAACGCTGTCCTACCCCGGCACGAGTGCTCGAAACTTTTTGATTTACACGCCGTTCCTCATCGCGCGCTCACTCCCATCGCTGGTCTAATTTAGTAGCCGGTCTTCTTGAGGTGGTCTGCGAGGGCGGCGACGACAGAGGTGGCGTTTCCAGCGACCTGGGTCTCGCTGTGGAGGCCGATGACGATGCAGGACTTGGCGGCAGTAATGGCAACACCATCACGGCCCTAGCGATATTATATTAGCGCGCTGTCCGTGAGAGGTGAATTCGGCATCTCTGGAACCTACAGCTCGGGCGTAGATGTCGTCGTCGACTCTGGTCAAGACGTGGCGCACGCCGCCAATGTAAAGACCCTCGGCGTAGGCCTTGTCGATGGCAGCCTGGTCCTTGGCAACGATGCTGGCAATAGCCTTCATCTCAGCGGGAGTAATCTGTATATGGTCGTTTTCCATCATTAGTTATTATTTCAAGGTTGCTGATATGGCCATGATAGGCAAGGTGCACCGTACGGTCAGGTCAGGGGAAGAAGCCCAGGCGCTGTCACCGGCGGAGCTGATGATGGCGCCCTTGGTGATGTGGCCGGTGGCGACCAAGCTGCAGTCTCTCAGTCAGTATTCGACGGCTCGGAGTATCGATCGAAGCGCGGGAAAAAAGGAGGTCGCAGTACCTAGTGTCGACGAATGCTATAATCGCAGGGCCAAGTCAGCAGCTGTCATCATGACTCCCAAATCTCTCTTCCAGTTGCTTCTTGCTCCTCAGAAATCCAAGGTGGGGTTATCAGGGACGGGATCAAGGGAAAGACAGGAGGAGCGCAGACCTTGCCAGGACATGATGGGCGGTTATGTGGTATGTAGAGACGGACGAGAAAGTCTGAAGAAAATGAAGAAGAGAAGAAAAGAGATGGAGAGGCAGAAGTTTCCGCGACGGGAAGAGTCAAAAGGAAAATGGCGGAGTGGGTTGTTTATTTGGGCGGCTGTGGATTAGAGCTTTTGTGCCCCTCGTTTCCGTCAACGTAAATGCCAGTTGAGCCAGAAAGACACTCGTAATAGCGCCACTGACCAATCCGCGCCCAAAGTTCCCCGCCGCGGGCCTTTCGCGGGAGGGAGGAGACCGACGACTTGCCTTGGCCCAGAAACCCCACCAAAAGCGAGAGCTTCTGGCGGTGCTATCGAGGGTTCTACGGGGCCGCTACAGGGAGTCTACCGCCATTCTGCGCGGTCGGTCAGTGGTGTCTGCAGATAGGAGGTGCGGTATAGGAGCACGCGCTGGGGCTGGAGAGAAGAGCATGACCGGATTCCAGGGGCCGCAGGTGTGCCTGATGCTGATTTGGGTGCCTGCTTATTGTCCACTGCATGTATCGACAGGTGTTGGATGCGCTGTCGTGGAGACCTCCATGTGATATTGGCGGCGCTAGCAGGTGCCAAAATTAACATTGAAATGAAGCTGTCACTCTCTCATTTGTCTGCCTTGCCGGGCGATGTATGAAAGTTGTCTGCCTACTAGGCACAACTTCCATCTCATTAAAATGTACAGTATACATCTCCAAGAAACATGAAAGCACCAAGATTGCTCTGTCCATCTGGATCCCGACACTCAGGGATCTGTGCCGGGATGCCCACAGCGCCAGCTTGACCGACTGCGTTCTGATATACCAGTAGTGCCTCTTCATTTCGAGGCTGAGATTCTCTCAACCCAGGTCACAGTTAAGGGGGTCCCTATCTCACAAAGTACAGCAAAGGTAGAGAGGAAAAGTCATTAACACTAGCTGTAGTGTAGGCTGCTTGTTGAAAACCCAATCGATTTACTGGTCATGGATGTCTTCACGGCAAGTCTTTCCCAGGGTCTTATGCGATGTCGAAAATTTCCTCCATGTCTACGTCATCTCTTCACCCAATTGCTGGGCTGTATTGCTCCAGACGCATCGGCCGAGTGAGGAGCACGGGCAGCACAGTTAGCCGAGCTTCTTCCAGGTTTCTGGGCTAGGCGGATGCTAGAATCTCAAGTTGTCGGTGTAAGATAGAAAGTGGTCTCAGACTCGCTCATCGTAGAGCCACCAAGATCTTGCCCGTGCACTCATGTCACGTCCGTCTGTCTGTACACGACATCTATCTGCTACAAATTCAGCAACACCATGAACAACTGGCAAATCAGTCAGAGATTGGATGACGTGAAACAAGAGCTGCTCCCGTCAGCGGGGCCCCATTTCCCGCTGTACAGTTGAATGTGTCTTGTGAGATGCAAGTGGGACATGTTTGGAAGCGGTAAAATGACTATATTTGGTGTCCACGGGTGTAATTTCCTGGCCCAAATAGACGATGATGGCAATCTATACTAATATCTATAGCGAAATAAGAGCAATCTCTTCTTCGAAGGTCAGAGGAAAATACCAATAAATGACAATTTACGGCCTTGTTGGCGAATCCCACTTTCTGCAGCAATATGTGATCCATAAAGAGTCATCGCTCGGCCCTCGATTCTCTCTTCCTCCCGACAAGCAAAGAGCCATTGAAGGCTGTACTTCGAGCCCAGTTTCAAACCAAAAGTTCTCACAACTTAATGCTGCTCGCATCTATTAGTGATTGATGTTTTCGGCACAATTTCGAGCATCAACTGATCCTTGAAAATGCACGTGCCAAAAGAAATGCAGAACCACGAATCGCTCACTTATCACCGATCATCGACGAGATAACCTCGCTGTCGCCCTAGGATATCGTGCCGATGCCAGCAACGGGTATTACTCGATGTAGAATCACAGGCTTAACTACCTAACATGTTGATACTAGTCGGAAGTCATCCCGAAATTGCAGTGCTTGTCTCTGCATCTTAGCTGCAAGCAGACAGACAGGGGCCAACGTTTGTGACGATTTTTGCCTAATCTTGCCTTGCTCTTTATCTGATGCAATGATAACCAAGAGATCGTCAGCTAGACCAGATGCAGATTGTTAAGCCGTCTCCGAACTGTTACAACTTGATGTCTGGACGAATAGAGTAACAGCCGAGGCATTGCTCTTTGTATATGCTGTTATAAGTGAAGTCTTCTCATAGCGTGGTCTTTTGAGAGCACTCTGCAATGAGTTAATTGGCCGATGTTAAAGTATCTCAAATACAGTCAAGGTATACTCGGTATACTGAAACACACATGAGTGTCACTTTTACCTTGCTTTTATAACTTGGCGTGAGATTCAGATTTCATGCTTCAAGTCGTGGGTATAAGAGTGTATACCTCTCTTGCTTCAATCACAGCAATGTCCTCCTACAAACTCCCCTTTCACATGCTGCAACTACGTCATGCCGCGCATACTAGTCTCATGCCGTAGAAGGCTTCAATCCAATACCGTTGGACAACGGCCTTAATGTGCGGTCCCTTGCATTAGGCGCCGGACCAGAGTGCTCGGCAGCAGCACTAGAAAGTTTGGTGAGGGCTACAGAGCACGTCTCTCCATAAGTACCGAATGCGATAATCACGGGGTTTACAATGGAGAACATGTCAGAGAACGGATGAAAGATGCAATGCAGCCTCGTCTACCAAAGAGCTGAAACGAGGAGGGTGTCCGTTCTCATGGAAGAACAATCAGACAAAGCCAGCAGCATATTACAAGGAACAAGGCGACACCGAACCAACAAAGTCGCAAGCATCCCATTGTCAATATGCAGCCCTCTGAGGAAATAAAATTCTCCGGCCTGGGGGCAAGCGAAAACACCGCTTGCTTGGATAGAGTGCCATTTGGGATGTGGCTAACGATAACCGAGATTCTGCAGTCCACTTTCTGACCTCGTCTTGTAGAATCTGCAACGTCGCGCCCGAGTTTGTTTCGTACGGCGCAGAGTAGCTACCGCAGCCCGTGTAATAATGGGCAAGGCTCTGCGTCTTAAGAACGGCAGACCAACAGCCAACAGGGCTGCTGCAACTTTGTCTTCAGGAGTCGGGTTTAGTGTGTCGCACCCCGCCATGTGAAATTATAAGGGGGTCGTTGGGGCCGCAGGGTTTGATCTTAGATCGGCCTCAGCGCGGGATGGCTGCCCGGAGTTTCCCTGTGGTTTTCTGGAACGCTTGTTTGAGTGGTCTTTTGACACAGCTTGGCAAACGACAGCCTGTGTTTGATGACACTGCTGATCGTGCTTCATATCTGTGAGGTGCATGTCATTCGATTAGGTAGCAACTGTTGTATGAGGCTGCCATCAATCCTTTGAACTACAAGCTAGGCGGTACTGTTATGGCTGGCAAAATTCCCAAGGCGGTGATGCCGACTACAATCGATACAGGCGCTTACATTGCAGCTCTTAGCTCGCCGTCTAATTGGCTTCTACCCATGGAAATTCATTTCCTCAACAACACCAGGCTGCCGTATCAATCGTTCAACTCTGCTGCAACTTGCATGCCATTTTGTACCGCAGGCCTCGTGTCTTCAGCTCTCTCTGGCTTGCCCAATCCGGCAAACCTTGCTAGTCCCTCGTTTGGACCCTGGCTAGTCATCCTGGTGCGGATCAGGCCGCCTAAACGTCCGGCCACGACGACCCCTCTCATCAACCTCAAACATAGCTCTGCGCACCTAGAAGTGCCGCGCATAATGCTACTGGCCACGATCGTGGTTCAAAGACCGCTCTCCGATGGCAAGGCCCCAGGATTGCCGCTTCGGGGAGCGGTGAAGTCTCTTGGCGCCCGCTTGCACGCATCAAGATAGCATCGCTTCGAGGCACTCACACGTTACTATTATTATGCACTGCTCTGGCGTCAAAGGGCCTCTGCGCGGACCCCATTGCAGCAAACATGGGGGCTTCAAACAAAGCCGCGCAGGTTAAGATGGCGCCGTTCCTGTGCCCCGGAGGGCTCAAAGGAGGACGCCACCACGAATCCCAAGGCCCTTAAAGGTGGGCAGATGCACTACACAGGTAAGATGGGATTTTGATTGAGACCACTTTCGAAACGCCACAGTCTTTATGCCGATCCGCTACCTCCGCGCTACTGGAACGGTGCTAACATCAGTTCAGTATTACTGCTAGCCATTTCGTCTTTTTATCAGAGGCATCCTCCCCGTGGCCTGAGCAAACAAGGAAAATCGTCGCATGATCTTCTTCTGGTCGACTTCTTCCCAGGTCAAGCCAGTTCTCGTTTCCGCAGAGGCAAGCCCGGGGCACGCTGGACACAATGGGCTGGTTCAGCAAGGGACAGACAGGGGCTGGCGCAACCATGCCCAGCCAAGAGGGCTCCGAATATGAGGTTGCCCACAGTAGCACGCCGACTTATGCAGCATCAGAAGGGGGCCCGCAAAAATGGGCAGATCACAGAGACTACAAGTATGCTCACGGACCGCCGTCTCTCAGTTCCGTTGCAGCAGAGAGCACTGCCAGTCTCCCAAACCAAAACAACAATCCTTATTCTTCTTCAGGCCTGGATGCCAATTCTGCCGCCGGACGGCTTAGACAGGGTGATCAGTCGGAATTTAGCAGGTCTACCGATCAAATCAGTGTACAATCGAAAGCGTCCTTCTCCAGCCATCGATCCGCAAGTACGAAGCCAAAGGAACCGAGAAACTACAAGCAATATCATATCCCGATTCGAGCCGAAGTACCGTCACCAGCATCGAATCCCAGAAACACACCAACTTCGCATCTAATGGCACCATCATTAGTAGGCGGAGACGAGACACCCACCGGGATAGGGATGGCGCTTGGAAGCCCAAGTCATGCTCCTGGACCTGCTGACTTGCGATGGCAGACTGGGACGTTGACGACTGTAACCTCAGGAGGGCATGCACAAGAGCCAGCTTCTAATCCCAATGGCGTGTCAAGATCAATGTCAAAAAGGTGGAATCCTTTTAGCAGGACAAAGTCAAAAAGAACCAAGCCAGTAGACACTTTACCTTCGCAATCGTTGGGCTCAGAGTCTGGAAAAAGCGTAGTGGATCTTGCGAATGGAGCAAAGAACGCTGATGACTTTGGAAGTGGAAAGAAGAGGAGCGAGAAAGAGAGTGATATTAGAGGCACAGGGCCCGTATTGCGCAAGGACAGCTCGAGCAGCGTATCGAAATCTCCGCCCAAAGACATTTCTGGATTGCCAAATCAACGAAATTATGCGGCACCGACGCGCTATGCCCCAGTTCCGCCACAGCCTCAATTACAGCCTTCAAAGCTACTAGAGGTTGATATCCCAACAACTCAGATGGAACGATTCAGCGTCATGTTTGGAACCATTCTTAAGAAGCAGCCATCTGAATATCAATATTTCTTACAACAAGCCCAACAGTCGTGGCAGCCCCAACCATCAGCGGCACCAGAGCAGGATGAGAAGCCACAAGAGTCGCGGAAGCCTGAAGAAACACAGCAGTCTCAGCCTAAACAAACCCCAGAGCAGTCAAGGAGGCCATCAAAGGAATCGGTCAAGACTCAAGACTCACAACAAGTATTATCCCCGCTACGACCACAGTTGTCAGTCCGGCGACAGGTCAAACTGGACAAGCTGAAAGTACCCGCGGCCAAAACTTTCCAAGATACTTCTATTCCTATCGAGATCATAGTGCCACAACGACGATCAACTTCACCTTTGCCGAAAAGCTCACCTTCATTCTCCCTCTTCCCCCAGGATCAAGCGCCCGCAAATACTCTTCCCCTAAGAGTCTCTTCACGCGCGCGATCAAACACCTCCCCTGCAATGGTCAACTTTCCGACTCCAGCCATGTACAAAGCAACAAAAGGATTAAGGAAGAGGACTACTTCCGTTTCTAATCCTTCTCAAGACGAGCCTCTACCGACAGATAGTCAAATGACACCGGAGCGACGCGAGAAGCTTATTTCCAAGTTCCACCGCAAAGAGTCGACATCATCAGAGGCCTCAGTACCAAGAGTCGCCGGACAGCTATCTGAATCTCCCGCATCCATAACTGCACCGGTTGCCATACCGGCACCAGTACAGCCTCGATCAATTCTAAAGAAGCCCTCTGGACCGCCACCACAACCACTGAATCGTGCAGCAGAGCCCAAACCGCCATCATCCCAAAGGGCATCACCAGCTCAAAGAATCTCACCGTCCCAAAAAGTTTCACCAACCCAGAAGCCTTCGCCATCCCAAAGAGTGGCGCCTCCGAAACATCAACACCAAAAGTCCACAACGTCGATTCGTACCAACGCAGACGAAGAAGAGGTCGAAAGAGCCTTATACGAGGCTGTGGAAATATCTATTGCGCGTCAAATTAGCGTCTCAAGGCAGCAGCGTAATATTGTGGTGCCTTTGATGCGTTCCGCCTCAAAAAGGGTACCTGGGGAGGCTGCGGCGGAAGTGGCCGCCTTGATCAAGCCAGAAAAGAACAAGCGAATGGTCGAGACGAGGACAGCAACGCCGCAGTTGGTGCATCCAGAAGAAGAGGGCAATATTGGGCAGAGTGGCTATCGGAAGAGCTCGCGCGTGGTGCTCGAGGGTGCATGATGGAACGACCTTTTTACGTTTCTGACTGATCTATTCTTGTCTATTCTTTTATTTTTTCTTCTTCTTACTATTCCTTTTACGAGCCACCGGGCGTGTATTTCTTTTATACACTCACACGCCCCCATCCATTTCCTTTCTATGTGTCATCTTTTTTCTTCAATCATACCAGGCAATCCCGAATTCTCTTTTAGGTTCTCTTCATCATTTATCATCATTAGTTGCACAGCCCCGAGGGCCTGCTTTGATGGCGGATAAATAAAAAAATATAAAGCGAAATGTAGGCTTGTAACGATTGTATCGGACAGTCTATGGCAGAATTTCATGAAACTACATCATTGATATTCTTTTCTCCTTCTTTGAAACATGTGTTTTTTTGTCTGTGTGTTTGAAAATATGTGTATAATAAAATCATGGGTGAAACTCGTTTGATCGTCTTCCCCCCCAAGATTTACGTATTAGTATATATGTGTGTGCGAGTGTGTGTCTTTCATAATAACCAATCTTTGAAAACAAGACAGCCCATTTGTTGCTGAAAATTACGACCCCATTGCAACGCCAAATAAAACGCTCCCCTAATTACATCAACACACAGCAAGAATTTTGCTTCTTTGCTTGCTCTGTTTGGAATACGTTAGTCACCAACTTGATAGACGAAAGCAAAATAGAGAGAAACAAGAGAGCTCAAGGGATAGGCAGCCATACGGTAAAACATTTTGCTCTGAGCGCTCAGCCCATCGCTCTTGGCCACCAAGTCGTCAATCTTCTCTCCTCGCTGCAGCACGCTCTCAATCGTCTTGTGCAGCACAATCTTGGTCTCGTCCAGCTCCTTCTGGATCTTCATGATGCTGTCGGCCTGCTGGGGGTCCTGGTACTTGGCGAGGTAGTCCGTCAGCTCGGGGAAGGGCAGGGTGACGTCGCCCTGGGCCCATGAGGAGCGCGGGTGCTTTGAGAGGAACTCGTCGACGACCTTGCTGAGGAGCTGATGGGCGACCAGGGCGGGGTATTGGTGGTCGGAAATGATGATGCCGCAGATGCCCTCGGTGCGGCCGTAGGCGTGGAAGGTGTAGTCTGGTGGAGGAAAATCGTGAGTGAGTCTCCTGGCCTGCAAAGATCGTGATGCTTTTTTATCTCCCTTGAATCTGAACAAGGGAGAAAAGGGGCGGTTTTGAATTCGTACCTTGCTCTTCAACGTCTTGTCGTTGGGCGGGTCGAGTGCGCTCGGCGACGGTCTTTGCGAAAAGGGACATGAACTCGCCATAGCTATAAGACAGAGAGGAGTTAACTCGTGAACGGATGTTGTTAAGAGAAAGCGTCGTCGAAGGATTTCGCGTGCGGTGGGCGAAGGGAGACGAACTTGCTGCGTGTGAAGCGCGAGTAGGCGCTCAGCTCCTTCTCTGCGACGATCTCGTGAGCGGGCTGGGAGTCGTTGCGGATAATCTATCTCGAAAGAGGGCCATATTAGTTGAGCGTCCATAGGCGGCTCGAAAACATAGTATTCGGTGAAGGGCGGCAGGAGGTATGGTCGAGCAAATCGATGGGACGTACGCCGATGTAGTGAAGCTTCATGTTGGGCGAGAGGTTGAGGTTGGTGCGATCTGGATTTTGTTCCTCGTCTGGAGTCCGAAAATGTCAGGAAGCAGAGAATTCGTCTATGCGATCGCACGAGTCGTAGTTGGAGAGTCGAAAGGAGGCCTTGTCGAACAGCAAAGAGGCGGCGAAGGGCTGCAAATCGAATGTTCAAGGAAAGGTGTTTCACAAGTCGGAGTTTCAAGTTGGGGCGCGTGGAGTTGAAAATGCCTGTGCCTCTGCATTCCACAGGGATGCGGCCCATCGCCCGCCCCACGGATTTTAGGCGCTTCCCTACCGCAGCAGGACCCCGCTAAGTCCAGCTCTCTAGAGCCAAGATTCAGGCGCTGAGTTGCTGCGAAGTGGGTGCCTTCAGGCGGATTAGTGGGGACTTTTTGCGCCCCCGTTGGCGGGGCGGGCGGTGTGTGACTGATATGAGTTGATCTTTGGTTGACGATGCGTCATCTGGACTTGGGACTGTGAAATTTGATAAGAGGTTGAGGTGCAGCTCTGAATTCGAAATCGAGAGCGTTAGACTACTTGCTCTTTGATCGTTTCTTCTCTGCACTCACGCGAATCTTTGTTGCTTGTTTCACGATTATTGAAGAGATTAGGATCTAAACGAAGCCATGGCGTCGACCGACCTGATCAACGCAGAGTCCGAGTGGAGGCAGCAATTCGAGGCCATGCAGGCGGCCCTTGCTAAACTCAAGCTCCCTCAGAACGATGCCAAGGCAGATGCCGATCTGGACGATGATGACTTTGGCGGCTACTCTTCGACGACTAGCGGCCACGACGTCTGGGACTTCATCTCGGACGAGGACGAGTATGAGTACTACAGCAGCGACTTTGCCGATGAAGGATCTGGTGCAGTCACAAGCGGCTTTGGGCTCGAGTGGCTGGCTACCAAATGTGCCTCCATCGCGGCCAAGAATGGCATGGCCCCTGATGTTTTTCAAACTCAGCTGGTCAATGTACTGTCCTCTGGCCAGCCTGAAGACGAGCTACAGCAGCATCTGACTGACCTGGTCGGCTTTGACGACTTGGACTTCATCATTGAGCTGCTTAGTCACAAGGATGAAGTTGTTGCGTCTGCAGCCGATTTTCACGATGCGCCAGACACCAAAGGACGACGGCTATTGACCAAAGCCGAAAGAGACGAGGCTCTTCGTGCGCGAGATTATCAGCACAAGAATGCAGCCTTGGCACCCAGTTTCGCCAAGGAGCCTCAGTATCCTCACGTCTATAGAGCGTACAATGCAGGAAACACATTGAGCTCTTCTGGTAAGAAGTATGGCTTGCCGGTTGGCAGTGAGCGTCTCCAGTTTGAGAAATACGAAGAGTACTCTGTACCTGCTGGAAAGAAGGGAGTGCCGGGCCCCGGAGAGAAGCTCGTCAAGATTTCAGACTTGGACGGACTTTGCCGTAACACGTTCAAGGGGTACAAGTCTCTTAACCGAATGCAGAGTCTGGTTTACCCAGTCGGATACAAAACAAGCGAAAACATGTTGATTTGTGCTCCAACTGGTGCGGTAAGTCTATAACACGTATAACACACTCTCCATATCAATCAATGCTCATCGCTGTATTAGGGTAAAACTGACGCAGCTATGCTCACTATCCTTCACACCATTGGCCAACACGTGGAGCCAAATCCCATTGAGAACCCTGAGGCAACTGAATTTGCCGTCAATACAGACGACTTCAAAATCGTCTATGTAGCACCTATGAAAGCCTTGGCAGCCGAAGTTACCGAGAAGCTGGGCAAGCGTCTCGCGTGGCTGGGCATCAAGTGCCGAGAATACACTGGTGATATGCAGCTCACCAAAGCAGAGATTGTCCAAACCCAAATCATTGTCACGACCCCTGAAAAGTGGGATGTTGTTACAAGAAAGGGAACTGGCGATACGGAGCTGGTGCAAAAGGTGAGGCTTCTCATTATCGATGAAGTCCACATGCTTCATGATGAACGTGGAGCCGTGCTGGAATCCCTGGTGGCTCGAACCGAGAGACAGGTAGAGAGTACTCAGTCGCTCATTCGAATCGTTGGCTTGAGTGCCACATTGCCTAATTATGTCGACGTTGCTGATTTCTTGAAAGTCAACAAGTACGCCGGCTTGTTCTACTTTGATGCTTCGTTTCGTCCTGTTCCACTGGAGCAACACTTTATTGGTGTCAAAGGAAAGGCTGGATCCAAGCAATCCAAAGAGAACTTGGACAATGTTGCTTTTGATAAAGTCAAAGAGATGTTACAGCGGGATCATCAAGTCATGGTCTTTGTCCACTCTCGTCGAGATACCATGGTGACTGCAAGAATGCTTCATCAGAAAGCGATTGAGCAGTTTTGCGTTGACCTTTTCGACCCAACAGGGCATCCTCACTTTGGACAGGCATCTAGGGATATGAACCAGTCCAAATCCAAGGATATTCGCGACCTGCTTTCCAAGGGTATCGGTGTTCATCATGCCGGTATGGCAAGAGCTGACAGAAATCTCATGGAGAGGCTCTTCGCCGATGGCGTCCTCAAAGTTCTTTGCTGTACTGCGACGCTCGCATGGGGTGTCAACTTGCCCGCTGCTGCGGTAGTCATCAAGGGCACTCAGGTTTACAGCGCTCAGGAAGGTAAATTTATCGATCTCAGCATTCTTGATGTGCTTCAAATCTTTGGTCGTGCTGGTCGTCCCCAGTTTGAGGACACGGGTATCGGTATGATCTGTACCACTCACGACAAGCTTCCTCATTACTTGTCGGCCATCACAGAACAGCAGCCCATTGAATCCAAATTTTCGACCAAACTAGTTGACAATCTCAATGCTGAAATCGCTCTGGGCACTGTAACGTCTATCCCTGAAGCCGTGCAATGGATAGGATACTCCTATCTGTTTGTGCGAATGCAGAGGAGCCCAATGACATATGGCATTGAGTGGGCGGAAATACGTGATGATCCGAATCTGGTTCAACGACGCCGCCAGCTGGCGATACAGGCCGCACGAACTCTTCAGCAGTCTCAGATGATCATCTTCAACGAAAATACCGAAGAACTTCGCAGCAAGGACATTGGCCGTATTGCCAGCCAGTATTATATCCTCCATACAAGTATCCAAGTGTTCAACACGATGATGCACCCTCAAGCCACCGAAGCTGATGTCTTGAAGATGATCAGTATGAGTGGAGAGTTTGACAATATCCAGTCAAGAGATAATGAGGCGAAGGAGCTAACCTCGTTCAAGGATATTGTTCCTTGCGATGTCGATAAAGGCATCGATACGCCCCAAGCAAAGACAAACATTCTCTTGCAATCGTATATTTCCAAAATCCAGCCTGATGATTTTGCTCTTTCCAACGACATGAACTACGTTGCGCAGCAGTCGGGTCGTATCTGTAGGGCATTGTTTATGCTCGCTCTTAATCGCAGATGGGGCCATCAGTGTTTGGTTCTTCTCACTCTATCCAAGTCGATAGAAAAGAGAATCTGGCCGTTCCAGCACCCCCTTCATCAATTCGAGCTTACCAAGCCCGTGCTCAATCAGCTCGACTCTAAGGAAAACCTGACGATTGACACAATGAAGGAGATGGAGCCAGCAGAGCTGGGGAGCTTAGTGCATAACCAGAGCGCTGGCAAGAATATTGCCAAGATACTCAACAATTTCCCAATGGTTCATGTGGAAGCCGAGATTGCGCCCCTGAACCGAGATGTGTTGCGCATTAAGCTTTATGTGATTCCTGAGTTCCTCTGGAAAGACCATATCCATGGAACCTCGGAATCTTTCTACATCTGGGTTGAGAATTCGGAGACCTCAGAAATTTACCATCATGAATACTTTATTCTTAATAGGAGAAAGCTTCATGATGAGCACGAACTGAATTTTACGATCCCTCTCTCAGATCCGTTGCCAACTCAGATTTACGTCCGCGCAATCTCTGACAGATGGCTTGGGTCAGAGACTGTCACTCCTGTATCTTTCCAGCATCTTATCCGTCCTGATACAGAAAGCGTATATACGGATTTGCTCAATTTGCAACCTCTGCCAATCACCGCTCTCAAAAATCCTGGATTGGAAGAGCTCTATGCTAAGCGATTTAGCTTCTTCAATCCTATGCAGACTCAAATTTTCCATACTCTGTATCATACTCCTGCAAATGTTCTTCTAGGTTCCCCAACGGGAAGTGGAAAGACTGTTGCTGCTGAACTCGCCATGTGGTGGGCATTCCGGGAACGACCAAAATCCAAAGTCGTGTATATTGCTCCCATGAAAGCTCTGGTGCGTGAGCGAGTTATTGATTGGGGGAACCGGCTTGCCAAACCTCTGGGACTCAAATTGGTCGAGTTGACAGGTGACAATACTCCAGACACGAGGACTATCAAGGATGCAGATATCATTATCACAACTCCCGAAAAGTGGGATGGTATCTCTCGTTCATGGCAGACCAGAGGTTACGTCAGGCAGGTCAGTTTGGTGATTATCGACGAGATCCATCTATTGGCCGGAGATCGTGGACCAATTTTGGAGATTATCGTTTCTCGTAAGTGTTCCCTATCATAAGCTCAAGAATGATTGCAGGTTGCTAAATAACATGTCAGGAATGAACTACATCTCATCATCGCTAAAGAACAAAGTCCGATTGTTGGGTATGTCAACAGCCTGTGCCAACGCTACTGACTTGGCCAACTGGCTTGGTGTCAAGGAAGGCCTCTTCAACTTTAGGCACTCCGTCCGTCCCGTTCCTCTGGAGCTTTACATCGATGGGTTCCCAGAAATTCGAGGTTTCTGCCCACTGATGCAGTCTATGAACCGGCCGACCTTTTTGGCCATCAAGAATCACAGTCCTGAAAAGCCTGTTATCGTGTTTGTGGCATCACGTCGACAAACTCGCCTTACTGCTAAAGATCTGATCAATTACTGTGGTATGGAGGACAACCCGCGACGCTTCCTGCGAATGGACGAGGAGGATTTGCAGCTCAACCTGTCCCGTGTCAAGGATGACGCTCTTAAAGAAGC